TGGAGAAAAAACTTTTAGTAAAAACTACAAGTATATAAGAACGTATGGAAGAAGAGTCAACCTATGGGACGTTCTCGTTGCTTAAAGTATAAATATAGTCTTTGTAGAGTCTTGTCAGGTTTTACGTGACACTGCTATCGAGAAGCTACTGACCGAAGACTTCTAGGAAATCATAATTTCCAACAATATTTTATTTTTATTAAACAGAAAAAATTACACCCAAATAAAGGCTATTAATGAAGAGAAGTTTGTCTTACTTATATTTTTTATTTCTCCATAAACTTCAACAATATCTTCTTTTTCATTTTTTAAAAATGATTTTAAAAAAACACTTAGTAACTTTAATCAACGAATAGTTTATGAATAGTTTTATTAATGAATAAAATGGCATTGTCAAAAATGAAAAAAATGTCAAGCATGTCATGTCATAATCATAAATATTTATTTAAATTAATTGTTGTAATATTTTCAAGCAGAAAGAAATCTTTTCGAATGCAATAAACTATTTATTTTGATTATATACTTAAACAATTTATTATATAAATGGATTACTTTAATAGAGAAAATAGCTAATTGAAATCATACATTCTTTAAATTTAATTGAATGATTGAGAAAAATATTCTGGCCAAATTACTTTCCAAGGAATACCAGAGAAGATAGTTATCATTATATATTAACTGTTGATAACAGGCGATAAAATAATGGCATTCAGTTTACCTTCAGTATGAATGCAGCGTCAAAAAGTAACGCAACACGTTATTTTTATGAAGAGCCTGGGGTGAAACACGGGCCATCTCCAAAAGAAGAGAAACCTCTACCAGGATTTTAACCCTAAGGCAATGTTGCTTTATTGCCGCTTTATTATCTTCCCCAGACTCAGCAAGAGATTCTCCTTCGTTTCGTCTACATCATGGAGTCTTCACCAAAAAACTCCGGGCCGTCAGTCAAAAAGAAATTGCGCGTGCCGTAGGATGAAAAAAAGCATTTAAGTATGCAATTATTGCAATTTTGTATCAGTTAATTATGATGGAAACAAAATAAAATTATTTTTTTTTTAACTTCAATCCATGCACTTTTGAAGCTTTTGCAGAAAAAAGAGTAATTAAAAAAGGCTGATTGAAATGTAGGTAATAATTTGACATCTCTTTTAGGAGAAATCTAACATTTAGATAAAAACATCAAAGAAAACTTTAATTAATTATGCCTCAAATAGTAGGAGTGAAACAAGTTTAGACATCAATGTTCACACGTTTATTTGAAAAGGCCTGAGATGAGGGTCGAAATGAATAGGCCCGGGTTCTTTGTAACTTTTGTTTTTATTTTTATTTATTTCCTTCATTTTTTGTGTGGCGCCAGGAAATATTATTTACTTTTATGTCAATGGTTTATGAATCGATGTGTAACTTTTCAGTGAATTGGATTTAATTAATCGTTACAGACTAGGGGTGGGCTTTTCACAGTAGCTGACTTTCATAAAAAAGAAATAAATATTTTTTATGTATTCTCAGAATAAATTATATCAATAAAAATAAATGTTTATTCAAGTTCTCTTCCAGAAATTTGATGTAATTTTAAAAAATGGCTTGATTTAAAATTTCAAGAAGGTTTCATCGTTTTTTATTAATCATAATTTTCAATCTGAACTTGGCATTCAATTTATAAGTTTTTTCACATCCATTATGTGGTCAATTAATTTCACTGGTACCCAATTAATTCACAAATTCATTCAACAAAATAATCGACGTCGAGGATTACGAGGGCGTTTCAAGGAGATCAATTGTGAGTATGGTGAAGTCGAGTAATTTTTACTTTTTTATCTCGTAAATGAGATGATGGGAGCTCATAGGGCCCCATGGAATTTGTACTCCGAGCACGTACTCGATTCAGAGTGTTGCTTTGCATGCACCGCCACGACTGCATTTAAATAAGAGTAAAATGACGGAGTGTGCAACAAAAATAAAATTATTTCGGGAATTGCGTGCATCTGAGGGTGCGAAAATTTATAATTGCTCATTACAGTCAGTTTGGAATATTTTACAGTAATTTTAATATGGAGATAAATATTTGTTTATACCACAAAAAATAAACGTTTCAGATGAAGAATAAATGAAAGACAATTGATGAGTGTTATAAAAATATGATTCTTCAGGTTTGTGGTAAACATAGAAATAATTCAAATAATTAAGATTTTACTAATATGACATGTGCTGAGTCATGGACCTTTTCAAAATTGGAGAACTTTCTCTCTTGGTTTCTCGCATCCGTTGCTAAATATAAATTGAAGAAAAGCCGGGTGGCACAAACGAAACTGTGGTCTAACGTCTCAGTGTCACGATTTTACTACGTTTGAACACGACATATCCTCTACTATATAGATCATAAACAAATGTTTAAATGATACTTATTCTCACTTGATGCATAAATTATTCTTAAATGCATTTGTTTTATTGTGAAAATTTTATTTTCTGTATTAACGTCAATCTTTCGGGGAAAAGTTAAATGAAGGATTCGTCGAATGATGATTGTGTGTACAAGCTATCCATTTACATTTAATCTAAATGTCATTTAAACATGATTAAAAGTAGAATCGAATGGTCAATTGATCATTGACACTTACCGTTCCTAAAGTTTCGTTTGAATCCTCGCGCTGCGTCACTAATATCCCACAAGGGCAAAAGTAAGATAATCAACAAGAAAGTGAGCCTCGGGGCTTGCTTGATGTTTTTTAACACCATTTTTACATCCAAACATTAAATAATAACCAATGGAAAAAATGATTTTATGCTTTCACTAATTATTTTATTTATTTCACTAACAGAGAAAAACACAACACTTATAACATTCGTATTTATTTCTGGAGCAAGTAATCCGAGACGATGGAACAAGTCGAGAGTTACTCCACTTCTCAATCGCCCGGGGTATTTAATTTGTCAGTGTCCTGAATTTTTCAGTTAAAAATACATCTAAATGGTAAAATGAAAAAGTATAAAAGAGTACACAAAACACACCGAAGCACTTTTAAAAAAAATTATCCTCGTGTATATATATATATTTGATATTTTTATTCATCACCAGAAAAAAAATGATAGAATATTCAAAATAAGCAACTCTGGTGAATTCTCGAGACTCTTAAACCTCATTCTTCTCAAAATTCTCCCTCGAATTTTTAGCGTCATTATTTTGACGAAGTTGCGTGGGATTTTTGTGCGTCGTTCGTTCGTTCGTTTGGAGAATCCGTTGAAATAAATGTAAAAAATAAAAATAAATTTTTTTCTGCTGATTGAAATGATAATTGCCGGGGTCCTCGTGGCTTTTGATGTCGCGTTAAATCCGTGAAGAAGCTCACGTATGTCGGAAAGCGGCCGCGCGTCGTAAACGCCGCAAGCAAACTAAGACCCAAGTCCCTGAACCAGACTGCCGCCACCTCTGAGCTCACGAGGAGCCTCACACAGTTCACTTCTTCTCTCGGACCTATAACTAAGATGAGAAGACCTCTCGCGTAGTTCGTAACACCCCCACCGACCCCCTTTAGTTGTTTGCTACCTCCAATCCAGGTAGACAGACTACCTAGCCAGTGAGTAAACTCACTTACCTTCGACTAAGATACCCGAAGATGCCCCCGAGGGCTTTATTACCTCCTACCATGCTCGCACCTTGCATTCTTAAAACCCAAAATTCCGCTTGAGTCAAGCTGAGATTTACAAGTGCACGTGTCACCTGTCACTCTTGATATACCTCTCATCCTAATGATTTAGCAAACATTCAATTTGTCTACAATATCTATCTCGTTAAATCAACATATTGCTTAAACAATTCCCAAAAATACAATATTCTGCTTGTTTAGTTTACAAAATATTTCATTCTGAATTAATCCGTTCTACACCCAATGATTCTGGGTAAGAAATTATGCGAATTCATCTGTTTTATGCCACATTAGCATAACTACTAAAAGTCCAGTGAAAAAAATCTGGTGTTCATTAAAATTTTAATATTTCCTGGCTCTTTCTATAAATTATGAATAAAATTTCGCCAAAAAAGTCACGATTTTTCATTAAATTAATCCATTGAACATTTAAGAAACATAATATTAAATAGTTTGAGAGTTGTAGTATAATAATATGCTGTTTCTTTTACTTGTATACAAGTTGCAGAGTTTAAATTGAAATTATTCAATCGAAATTGTAAAATTGTGTTTACAGTTGTTGATAAACTAGTAAAATAATAGTTATTTACATTTGAAAACTAACTTACCGATTGTACAATTACAGATTTCTAATCTATTCACAAAAGAGAATGTGCTCTCTTCTAGCTTGTTGTCTGTTTTCGTCAATCTGATTTGGGTTCTTTATCTGTTATTTATCAGTAAAATTATTCAATTAATACTATTAAATGGTTGATTCAAATATTAATACCCTCAGTGCACTGATATTTTAGTACCACTCAATAAGTAGAAGCTTTTTATTATCAACTACTTTTTGGGGTTAATTTATTTCACAGAAATATAATCACATTTATCACACTTTACGTTTCCATTACTTTTAGTTTAATTCATTTTTATTAACAAAAACGGTGAGTATTTGGAGAAAATAAATATTATTTCTTTCTTTTATGATAATAAAACCATGATCAGCCTTTGACTAATAACGGGTTTTTTTTTTATTTTCAATTATATGTAAAACAAAAGAGAATTTCGTGCTGCTAATTTCATTCTACTATCTAGCACTAAAATTAAAGATCAAGCGGGCATGGGGGAAAACAAACAGTTCAAATGGACGTATGTAATAATTATTCACTCATCGTTAGTTACATTGTTTTATTCCCTCATTGTGTCATTTTTACCATATTCATATAATATTAATAAAATATAATTTTTAGATTTTATCACATCTCGAAATACGTGATATGGAGTGTTTAAATACTTCAATTTCGTTGATCAACAAATATCTAATTATTTCATCTACTCATCAGAATTAATAGTTTATGTATTCTCATGAGATTATTATTAAACAAAGAATGGGATTTTGAAATAAGAACATTTTCGACAAATAAACATCTAGTTTTTTATTTGAAGATATAAACAGCATATACATGACAAAAAGTAGAAACGAATAGAATAAAACCAGGTATATCTGTTTTTTACTTAACTTTTTTCATCAAGCGTTATATTGCTTTCATTTAGTTCTTTTTGAATCAACTCTATCCTGAAAGTTGTGTTTTTATGTGGAATACAAGTGTATCATCAAGTACTTTATAATGATAGAAAGTAAGAATAGAAATAAAGATAAAATAAAATTATAATAGAAAAAACAAATGTGTTTTTCTGTGAAACTTGTACAGAAAATGAAATGAAGTTTCATCTTCTACAGTTTGACCTTTACAAAACAGTTTTAAAAAATTTAATGGTGTAGCATCTTGTAATATTCACCCTGTTTTGTACATACTCAGATTAAACTTTTGCTCTAGTTTATTATTAAGATCATTAATTCGTCAGTAAAAACTATTTAATCTTCAACTGAGCTACCTTATTTGTTTTTTAGTGAAGTGTCTATCCGTGCCTAAATGAATTAAATTATGTTACGATGAAGATAATATTTTTATCATATGAATAAAAATCTTCAAAAATACAAGAATATATCCACGAGAAGTAGACTTTGATGAGTCTTACATTTATTATCATAGATATTTTCTCACTCTGATATGTATAGTATTATTCAGTTATGTATGATGTTCAAATGACACCCATTTTTTAATAACATCACAATTGAATGATAAAGTTCACCAATAAAATACGTAATATCAACATACACTTCTCACTTAACATCTACCTCAAACTTATACATTCATATAAATTTATTTATGTAAAAAAAAAAATAAATTTATATAAAAATATAAGTTTAAAATAATTTAAATATAAATTTATATTTAAGTATTACTTATTTTTTACTTTCAAGTCTTATAGGGTCGCAGTGCTTTTAAACTTTAGTTTCATCGATTTTTGTAAATCTTTACAAAACTCGTGCATAAGTACACTCATGAACAAAATTATAAAGTATCTGAGCATATTCATTAGACCTGTATTTACATTTCCTTATGTTTTTGTTTCAATATTTATAATTATAGTATTGAATATGTTTCATTTATATTCAAGAATCACTTTTAATGAATCAGTAGTAGAATTTATATTTAGAACTAGTCACGTAAAAAATCATTTTATAATTATTACGAACTTTAATAAATAAAAACAGAATACTTTAAAATCTAATTATTTATAAAATAATTGCATAACTATTTTTTAATTAAGTCAAAATAATTTGAGCTAAAAATCATCAATAAACTCTAAACTAATTTTGTTCTTGAGTGCCATAAAATATTTCGTTTATAGAGTCATCAAAAAGGCTAGGTCAAAGTATATACCAATATAAAATAGGAAAATAATATGTGCAGTGTTAAAAAAAAAAGGCACTTATCAATCATTAGTGTAATAAAAGTTCATTCGTGAGCTTCATCAATTATGAATTAGGATGATTTTCCTTCCTTTGCTGTCATGAAGTAGGTCAGCATATCAATAGGTAATGGGAAAACAATTGTTGAATTCTTTTCTGCTGATATCGTATTCAAAGTCTGAAATAAAAAAAGTAGTTGAATGAAAAACAATTTATAATAAAATCATAAAAAATATCCTCTATCGAAAAGGTCAATCGGTTATTGAATAGTAATGATTCTTCATATTTTCAATCGGAATCAAATTTATTCTTTTCTTCTTTTTTTACTCAAACACTTGTTTTCAAATAAATGGAAAGACAATAAATGAATAATCGATTAAAAGTAAACAAATAAAAAAATTTATTATCAGATAAATAAATTATTCAAATCAAACATTTATGTTACCTGTAGATAACGAAGTTGTAAAGCTGCTGGAGAATCTCCAATAACTTCTGATGCTTCTCTCAGTGCTCTACTGGCTTTCTGTTCTCCTTCAGCAGCAATTACCTAATTTAATACAGACAAAATTGATTGATTAAAAGAAAATAATCAGAAGTAGAATGTAATAAGAAGTATAAAAATATTTCTATACATCTGAAGATTAAGTTGGAAACATTTAATATCAACTTTCTAAGTTGTCTACGTTTGATATTCTTCTTTACCAACTATAAGAAGATATTATCATTCTCTGCTCTACTAGACTGTCTCAAAACATTTAATTTAAAACCAATTTAAAAGCAAATCTTACAACAAAAACATTTTCTTTCTAAAATTACCCTTTTTCTTTTGAATAATTACCTTAGCTCTTGCTTCTCTAGCAGCTTCAGCTTCAGCAGCCATAGCTCGTTGTAACTGGACTGGTAGTCGAACATCCTTACTAAGAATACATTTATCATTAAAAATTGATCAATACTTTGAAAAATTCAATCATAAATCAATCTTACATATAGACTTACATTTCAACGCGTTCTACTTTTATACCCCATGTATCTGTGGCTTCGTCCAATGAAGCCTGAAATGATATTCAAGTATCAACAAATATTGATTAAATAACCGCTATTGATTCTAGTAATTTGTAATTCTGACCAAATACCTGCATAGTTCCAGAAATTGTTTCACGTTCACTTAATATTTCGTGTAAAGGCCTTGTACCCATAGTGTTTCGTAAAGTTGTTTGTGCTAGTAATCGTGTGCTATGATGAGCATTTTCCACGTTTGCAATCGATATCGTTGCATTATTTACACGATAATAAACAACTGCGTCAACAGAAACTGTCACGCTATCCTTCGTTAGCACCTTCAAAGGAAGTTTATGACAATAATTGTTAATTTCAATTGCTTTATCAGAACATGATTTTTTTATGATTAGTATGATAACGTCTATTACGATTTAAACAAATCATAGAATGATCAAAAGACTAAAATAATAATAGAGATGAAAATAATATTTTCTAGTACCTCTTGAGGCGGGACATCATAAGTCCGAGTTCTCAAATCTACCCTTGCATAACAATCGATGCAAGGCAAGATAAAGAATATTCCTGAAAAGAAGTATTTTTTACTTAAAACCATGCAAATAATTTAGATGCTTATTCAGTTACAAAAAAAAATACCTGGTCCTTTCGCTCCACCTGATAACAATCTTCCAAGACGGAATATTACTGCTCTTTCGTATTCTTGAACGACCTAAAAGAAAGATAAACAGATTATTTATTGATTTTCAAGGCAATAAGTGAAATGGAAAATTTCTATATTTAAAACCAAAGCTCTTTTTGTTTCTCTTTTACTAACAGCCCTTGATTAATCCATTAACAACTATGAACTCAGTATAGCTTAAAAACTTTTCAAGTAAATTAAAAGAGCTTTTCATCATAAATTTTAAGCTTTTAGATGATAAAAAATATACTAACTACTTATTTCTTATTTTTCATCAATTCTTCGACATCAATATTTATTTTTTTAGTAGCATAAAAAATCCATTCATTTTGTATTTTTTATTTTCAATCATAGAAATAGAAGATTCTCATTATTCTAAATAATACGATAATTTAAAATTTACATTCATAAAAATTTCATAATTTTTTCTAACTTGTAATGATAAGATGAGTTATTTTTATTTATCTATTATTTAGATATTAATAACTTTTTACTATGCTATTGAATTATTAAAATTTGATAAAATGTTTTTATTTCATAAATTCTAATGATATTAAATAACTTCAAGGATAACTAATAAAATGAAACTTTAATAAATTTTATTGATTATTAAAAATGGTTATTATGAGATTATAAATTTTACCTTAAAGCACACAAAAAGCGAGAAAGGCATGGTAAGGATGACAACAATCCAGGACAGTACAACGAGAATATTTCCACATTGTGTTGAATCACCTTCCTTCGTATCCTCAGCTGCACAAAATAATAAATTTAACGTGGATATACAAAATACTAAACATAGCGTATGTAAATAATAAATCACCAAGTTAATTACCTCCAATAATGCGTTTCCGTATATCATCCGGACGTGTATTTACTTGAATAGTCGTGTTTCCGTTACTCATATTTGCAAGCGGAAGAGACATTCCCGGATTGATACGCGCGCTAAAATGCGCCACCTGATTTTATCAACATTTTCGTTTTAATTTCAAATTAAATTGTTTATTTTTAGTTGACTATAAATACAGCACACAATTATTTATTGTCTGGACTGAATTTAAGCCATTATTTTACTACAACATTTTTATTTCTCAATAAAATCGCTATGTGCCGATTCACAATTAGAATCATTACTAATAATACTTTATCATTGAAAGTGTCACAATAAAAATGTTTCATTGATTTCATTATGATTGTTAACATAGGAATCATGTGAACATACTTTTTATAGATTGTATTCGGAATGTAAATAATTGATGTATGGCTTTGACTATTGTTGGGTCCTCACAATTTTACCAAGTCAACGTCCGTATAACTTTCAGCACACTCAGACTTGGATACATTTATTATGCATAAATAAGAATAATTCTCTATATTAAGTAAGATATTTTCTGTGTTATTTTTACTTTGATTGATGTCAATAAATATTTCTTGAAAACTAATCACTACACGCAGAGAAATGTATAGTAAAAATTACCTTGAATTTTATGATAATTTGATGACACTGATATGTGAGGGTAAAAATTACTAAACTGCATAGTAATTTTTACTTTAATTTTACCTTTTAAATTACTATGCAACTCAGTTATTTCTACAATGTGCACAGTAATTTTTACAATCTGTATAGTAATTTTTACCCTCACGCAGCAGTAACACCGAATTACCATAAAATTAATGGTAATTTTTACTATACATTTCTCTGCGTGTAACTTTTAAACTATTGAAATGGAATTGTAAAAATAGAATTTTATTTTATATCAATTTTATTTAATCAGTTCATCCTTTAACAATGATTTCAAATAATTTTCAATGTAATATATGAATTTGATCAATTTAAATTAAATAAATCGATTACTTCAAAAAAGTTATTTCTGATTACTAAGAATGCATACATATGATTCATTTATCAGTAATTTCCGCTCAAAATCTTCATTTTCATTCTTAAATGAATATTTTAAGGACAAGATAAAAATAACTATTTGACAATTATTTTGATTTTTTTTATTAACTTTTAAAAATGATTGAAAACATATTTTTTGTCAATATCAAATTTTACGTCGTTTAATTATCTCGTTTGACAACCCGAGTTATAAAAGCAATGATTTATTATCTGTCAAAATTTTTCATTTTTATTCGATGTTTTTATATAAAGAATCACCTAAAAACTGTAAACTACCAGATAGTACTAAAGTATTTTAATTTTTACAATAAAATTAAAAACACTCATTGACCATGGTTTGATTGACAGCTTACGTGTGATGAAAGTACAATGATACAAAATTTTAAATCAAAAGCTTGGCTGTAAAACAGACACATAAACTGTCAATTTGTAAGTTGGAGTGACGTTGAATCCTTTTTAAAACTTCCCATGGATTATTCGCACTTGGCATATTATCTTTGTATTGTTGGAAAATTGTATAACTGTATAAATTATATAAATTGTATCATTCACATAACTCATATATTATCTATTCAAAACATTTTCACATGAAACACTAATCAACATGTTATAACTCATATAAACTTTAAAATCAATAGCTTCAAAACATCATTATTTTTCAGCAATATTTTAATGAAGGTATTTATAAATATTTTCATGAACCTTTGTTTCAAAATCTCAATTAATTTCTTGTTTATTTAACTAAAAATAATTTAATTTTAATGTAAATAAATTTTTCAATTAACGATCATGAAAGTAATAGTTAAACTTGATAAATTAATTTACTTTTACAATTGTTTTGAAAAATCCAACAGGTCTGAAGCAACAATCCCAGAATTATTTAGGGATCACTACAACGCAGGAAGATTTTTCAAACTTTGAGATCACCTTTATTTAACCCTGAATATCAAAAACAATTCTGGTCACTAAACCAGCGTGAAAAAGAACTCGCAACAGCCGGGAAAAAATGACTTGTTTCCTGATATACCTTGACAATTGTAACTGACGGTAGTATGTAGAAAAGGTTACCACGACGACAGATACTGTCGGAATAATACGTTAGTCGACGCTACCCTAATGACCAAGGGTAGAATCGTTGGTAGAATATAAATGCAGATAACAACGATTAATTATGAATAGTCCACGTGACCCACAAGTATCTGTACGCTACAAACAAGGAGCTCGTACACGCACTATTAGTTTTGGAAATGATTAATGAAAGACAATGAACAGATACTAATAGATGTTTGCATTATTTATTATTCTTTTTTACGTCATATATGATTTTCATTTTCCTAGAGTCTGAATCATTAATATTCAATGAAATTGACATTGTATTTACGAAGGTCTACCCTTTGCCTAGTTTACTATCATCGATTTTTCCAACCATCATCATATTATAACAATATATTTTTAGAAACATTTTATTTAATTAACATTCATTTTACTTCTAACTTTTCTTAAGAATAGGTATCGGATATTTCAAAAAAAACAACAAAATAATTATAGTTGATTAGAGGTTTGAAACTGAAGAAATTGATCAGAGTTACTGCTACGCTATTTAATTATAAATATTTAAGTAATAAGTATTACCTTCGCTTCCGTTGTAATTTTAAATATTACTGAAACAATGTCATACACGCGAAAAAGAAACAAGTAATATTATCTTCTAACTTAATTCATCCGTCAATAGTTTATGAAATATTTCTTTTGCTTCATACTTTTTCAAAAATGGGTTATCATGCAGAAACAGAAATTTACTGCTCCTTCTGAGAAAAGTAGTATTTTGTTGTTTGGAGTAAACAAAAGAATTATGACTTGGCTTTTATGATAAGATATTCAATCAATTTCAAGCTAGAACGATTACGAAGCTTTGAAAATGAAGGTTTACTTTTACATGTTATTAAAAGTATTAACGTAATTGTTGTCTCAATTCGAACTGGAAAATACGGTAGTCTTTAGAATATTTATAACGATTTGGGGTGACAATCGTTGAGAATATTCCAATTTATTTTCGAGACAAGAGAATTCGAGGAAAGATAAGGTGGTAGAGTGTAATAGGGAATGTGAAAATGGTTGAGAAATTCATTGGAATTTTTTATCTTTGTATATGAGTCGCAGATTTATTTTTTACAGATTTGTTACTTCAATTTGCTATAAAGTACACAGAAATAATGGTATATTTTTTTAAATCAGTATAAATCAAGAACAAATCCGTTTTATTTACACATAGAAAATACAAAAGAGCAAAAAATCTATTGAATATTTTTAAGCCAACATTTATTCATAATGAATAGATTCCATTTTATGTAATGGGTAAAGTCTAGTTGAAACGAATAGAATTGATGAAGTTGTAATAGAAAAATTTTTCAATATTGCTTATCTGTGCCACTTTTTAATGTATACATAATATAAAAAAAATTTATCCTAAGATATAAAATAAAAAAATTGACAACAATTAAGAGACTGACAGTTATTTCTTTTCTACTAAAATAAAAAGAAAGTTTTTTTATTTCTAATAAGTTTTAAATACGTTGATTAAATTTCTATTCATTGGCAAACATTGTATAGGTAAAATCAGATACTTGGTTTGTCATCAACATCTATGTACTAAAAAAACATCGTTGTTTCGATTATATTTTCGTATTCTATACATAAATATTTAGTCACAAGTCCATGTTATTTTAGGAGGATTCAAACAATCGATCTTGGTGACATAAGTTATTAATATCACAAACGATAAATTTTGAATGGCTAATAATTAATACCGAGATCAATAAATTTATTTTATTACCAGCAAACTTAATAAAGAGTCGTCCAATACAAATCATCTAATTTACTTATAATTATATCTTCGAATAATAAATTGCTTGATAGCAATTAAATAAGCCAATTAATCAGATAAACTGAAACAGTAAATGAAACGATATATTATTTTTTTAATTGATACGTGGAAATATGAAAAAACTAGAAGCATTTAAAGTCATTTATCATTCAAAAATATTTCTACTTCATAATTGTTTCTCGTGAAGTTATTTTCTAAGTTATTATTGTTCTTGTATTTTAAACCAAATATGATGTCAGAATTGTTTGAGCAACAATAACATTTCAGAATAAGTATTCTTTATCTAATAGTTTTTATACCAAAAAAAACTTCTCTTAATGAGGAGTGATAAAAAAGTGTTAAGAGCAGTCTGAAAATATATCATTACCTTAAGTATTTTTTTTGCCCTAGATTCTCTTAATTTAAAATTTTCCTAAATCGTTAATAGTTGGATTACTTTGTTTTTAGCCATAACAATCTTAAGCCACAATAATGTACTAGACTGCAGTAACATACATCTACCTTACTTAAGTGGAGATCTCGCCGTTAGCTTAATTGTTGGTAAATGACTATCGTATTAAATAACTCATTCCTAATTTCACTTGCAGTACTAACTTTCGCTTTAATTATTTCATCAATAGTGCATTCTCTATTTAGTATTAAATTCAACTAACCAAAATACTAAACTTAACTTATTGTTAGCATGGGATAATTGAAAAGTCTTAATACCAACTCACCAAAATTTGATGGCTTAGCAAGAATAAATGAAATTAGAAACTGATAAAAAATTTTCTAGTGGATTCATTTTATTTGATCGTCATCTTACTCATAAATGTTAGGGTTATAAAGTGGGGATTTGATTTGATAATTGTTTCTATGGATGACAGTGCTATGTATCTTATTTATTGTATGATTCACATTTGAACAGTGATATTCATAATTTACATGACCTTGGTTCAATCTACTAACCATATATCTTTTTAAATTCATTTTTAGTACAATCACTATACATACACTTGGGTTCAGTTACATATTGTAAGCATTTTTTCAAATACTAAAATTATTTCTTCTATTTTAGAATTCATCTCTTTCTGATTCTTTCTCTTTTCATGAATTAAAATCACCATGAAATTTTATTATATCACTTATGCTCCCCTACATGAATGTCTACGTATTTATTCTATTCTTAAATGTTTTTTTCTTTTGTAAATTACTGTCTAATTTTTCTAGTCAGACTTATATTATTTGTAATCTAAAACTTCGGAGTATTTTATATCTTCGAACACCATTAAATCACTTGTCAGTTATAAAGAAAAATTGATTTTTATGATATTTATTAATGGCTATTAAAATAGTCTCTTCTATTTAGTTTTGCTTTTTTTTCATCATTTGTACATTGGATCTGTCAGTCTTTAAAAGTGACCTGACAAGCATTCTGATTATCCGATAAATTATAAAAACAAGCATAGCCAATACCATAACAAGTACGATAACAACGTCGATCAAAGTAATCTGGTACCAAGATAAAGAAGCTGCTGAACTTTTCAAATATTTATTCCCATTCCCTCGAGCCACATATTCAGTCCACCAAACAGCAGTTTGCAATGGAGTCTCTGGACGATCATTCCATGCTTTTTGAAGAAGTTTTGCATTTTTTTGATAACTGGAATGAAAAATTACAAATGCAAACAAAGAAACCTAACAAATGACAGTTACATAGCAGTCGTAATGCAATAAATAAAAGCTTGGCCTCTTTTACCTGGAATCATTGAAGACGCGATCAATCGCAGATCTAAGACTTTTTGCATTAAAATTATTCCATTCTAGAACAATAGCAACTCCGCGTTCTTTTGCAGCTGCAGCATTGTTGAACTGGTCTCCGTACATTGGAACGACCACCATGGGAACTCCAGCACTAACACCCTCACTGATACCAAGCATACCCCCATGGGCCAAATAACATTTTACATTTGGATGTCCTAGAATAAAATGTCCCTAGTCAGTTAGCTTCATGTGTTTCTCTGATTATGCTTCTTATTCTACTGAGAACTATATAAATTTTACTCTGACAAGAAAAAGTATTTTAGTGGTCAGCGACATTCTATGAATACTAAAACAACTGATCCTATTTTAAGGCTGATTTTGACAAATATTATTTATAAATAAATGTAGCAGTTATTTATCATTGAGAAAAAGTTACTTAACTTAATAATAAAATAGTATTATAAATCAACAAAGTTCTAATTTAATCAGAAAACTGTAGTATGTTCATTAACAGTTTATTTATCACTAGAAACATTGAAATAAAGTGATAAAAATGACTGGCGTATATCGGAATGTGAAAGTAAAATAAAAAAGATATTATCTAGAATAGACAATAGATATAGGTAGCTTGATAATTTTTCTAAATTGAGTGTCAATTAATAGTGCTATAAAATAATATAAAATTTATTATAATTGTAAAAATATGATGTTTTAATTCTTTTCTATGAACTTGGAAAGATTTTGATCATTTTTTTCTAACAACTTAATTTATAATTTAATTATCAATATTTTATTAATCCTAATAATAATGTGAATGGTAATGTCCGTTAGAATTTTTATAAGTTCATGGTAATTTAGTTCATTTTTTTAATGAGAAAAAAATAATTGATATGAATCAACTAATATATTATAAACATCACTCTCACCCATATTACATTTATATGTATAGATTGATCTTTCTTATTATATGTTACCTAGTTGTTATGCCAATTCAATTACAGCAAATCAATTATTTTTCACAATATTATGATCATAAAAAACTGTTTCAAATGGATTATTTTTTTTGTAATTGACTTAACATATTAAAAATAAAATAAGTAGTGCAAACTATCTAATCAATATTTTAGTTAAAACATGATAAGAGTAATGACTTTTCGTTTACCTCAGATAATCAATAAATATAATCAGTTTTGACATCAACACATAATGTAGTTATGAATTCGGTGATATTATCATAATTTGTGTGAATTATTATCACTTAATATGTATACTTACTGAGTATAGCAGCTTGGGGTAACCATTTCCTGATTAAAACATTGGGAGGTTTATTTGGCAATTCTTCAACTTCCCATTTCCAGATGACTTTTCTTGGAATGCTTCGAAGAACATAAAGAATTTTCGTTAATGTCTTGTTGGACATTGAACTTGCTCTTATCATTGATCCCCAACTAAAGAAGAGAACACCCTCGTGAGCATTATCAAGAAATCTTTTCAGATCTTCAGTAAGTGGTTGAACAGATGTTACATGGATTCCACCAACTTCAATTACACTCGGGAGAGTTGGCACAGCACCGTGAAGAGAATAATGAGAGTTAACAAAAATCATCGACGTATTCTTGGCAATTTCACTAAGTGGTGGAACACCTGGTCCAAAAGCCTCTTCAACCAAAGGCTGGGTTGGCCAATTAAAACCAACTTCATAGAAAAGTTCAATGAATGGCCAACTAACAGTATTTATCATTCGCTCTATGAAATTCATATTTGTAGAAAACCCATAGAAGATATGTGGCACATAACTAGGATTATCTAGATTAGCAATGCGAGATTTAGCCCAAGGCATCATTATATGAGAAGAAAGACTGATAAACGGTGCTTTGAATCGATGAACGAACCCGAGGAAGCAGTCGCTATTAAAGACTTCAGTAAGGATAAGATCAAATTTCTCGTTCGATCTAATAAACTCTTGAACTCGAGGCAACTTGAGAGCCTTTTCACAACATAATAATCCTTTTTCTCTTAGTACCATCAATTCAGTGATGAGTTTCCACGGTGTATGTTTAATTAAATTTAAATTTACAACATTAACATCAATATCCAATTCATCAAGAAGACTTATATCTCGATAATTGGGCAGTGGAGAAGACACATTGTCTCGTGGGAAATATGATATAACAGTTACATCATGTCCACGTCGTGCCAATTCTTCTAATAGCACTTTGAAAACATCGAAGTGGCTTTTACCGATATGCCCAAATACTCCCAGTATTTTATATTTCTCTTGTTTTTTATTAATACCAGTTTCACCACTACTTATTGTGATTGAAAGTAATATGAACAACAAAGCAAAAAAAAAACAGTTTAAACTCATCTTCTCATCAGCAACAAACGTATTTACACGTGTGTATTAGTCTGATTAAGCTTATCAACTTTACAATGCGGTTTTAAATTGTATTCACTTAGACTCCCTCTGACTTATGACCTTGTTAATGTATTTAAAACACAGCTAGCCACCAGATTAGCACAGCAATGGAACTAAACTACCTCTACCATTAAGCTCTTGACAGTGAACTCAAGCTTCAGATGGGTTTAGTTGTATAATCTCTTTGCCCCACTACTCTTTGACTCGAGTTATATCAAGCGAGAGATAAATTAGTATACAGTTTCTGGGACCACACTGACGAAAGGCCACTTAGTTTGTGTCATACACTGTCCTCAATCACTAAGTTGGTGCTCAAGCTGACTTAACTCAATTATCTACCTCATTTTTGCAATTACAATTATCAATTAGCATGCATTTTTGTTTAAAATATTGTTTTCCTTTTTCGTTCAGCTATTTTAATAAATTACCATTGATAATTGACAGGATGAATTATTTATAACAAGCTACAGATTTAATATTATGTAATATCTATTACATTGTAAAGAATGTCCTTAAAAGTTTGAGTTAATTGCTTGAATTTTTTACCCAAGGTAAATGACATTTGAATTTCAATTATGCCATAGTAACAATCCTAATTTTAAGGACCAATTAGAAATTCATTTGAAACTTCCAAACATAAAATCAACTAATCTAGTTTTCATCCTGTACTGTTTTCCGAGATAATCATTTTTAAATGACTGTTATTTAATTAGTCTAAAATTATTGAACTTTACATACACAAAAGTTCCATTATTAAATTAATGACCTTTATTATAATTTTTCGATTAGTAAACAAATGTTCATTTAAATATTGAGGCTGATTGGATTTACTTTTATCATTTTTTTATGATGCGTAAATATGCCATTTGAAATAACATTTTAATCTTTAAATGATATTTATGATGTTCAAATGGACCAAGTTTTCTATTTCACTCACATATTGATAGGTTTTAAGACTATTTTCATGTTCTTCTTTCACCTTTTAGTGAAAAGTTGCCTCGTAGGGATTTTTTTTAAATTTAACCAAGTGAGAGTTCTCAAAGAAAAAATGTACAACTTTGCTCCAAATCTTGACACAGCTCAAGGTCATAATTTCTCATATACTCGGGTTCTTTATATAGAAATAGTAGACTGAAATGTTATCTAAGAAAAAAAAAACAAATCAATTTCGAAGAAAACAAGTTGATGAGGTCAATGTTAATGGATAAAAAAATAATTACATTTGAAATTTAGAATATATAAAAAAAACTAATCGATTATCATGCTCTTGACCTTTGAACCAATTAATTATCATGAGGAAGCCAAGTTCAAGAGTTACCGTAATTGCTGAAGTAAAATGTGGCACAAATAGAGTGTAAAAAATACGCAAACAATTTAGAGTATTTGAGACTTTTTAATTTGTTGAGAACAAAAAAAAGCAAGTTGAGAATCGATTGATAGAGGATTTGCCGAAAAATCGACAGATGTCGCCGACCTTCTGTTGACGACGTTGGGAGTTGATGAGCGTCGAGACGAGGTTCTAAGCGTCGCCGTAGCAAACTGTGAGGCGCCTCGTAACCAACAGCTTTGAAGTGAGACAGTAATCTGTGAGTAAGGGTCGCAAGAGGGTGGAGGCAAGAAGGAGAGTCTGAGGGGTCGAGGGGATAGGGTGCAACGAACCTTCGACTCTCGACTCCGGTCTACGTGAGGCGGAGTTGAGTTCGAGTCATGGAGATACCCGACCCCGTAGACCCAGCCACCCTAGAGATTAAAACCCGTAGCATAGAACAGACTCTTCTCCCACTAGTGAAACAGGTAAGACTAAGACCGGCACAGCCGTCATTCCTTCTCCCTTAACTCCACCGGTCTTGATCACGTTGTTCAACTGGATTTGGCACGATTTAATCAATTCTCACGCACTATTTTTTGTATCCCTCTACACCATGCACATAACCTCAATGAGTGTGTCGCGGTCACAAACTGTAAGAATGTTATGCTATTTTAGATATTTAATGATGGAAAGTGAATGAAAAGTAAACAAATGATTTTCTCGACCATTTTTTGTTTGCAAAGTGGACAAAATATATATTTGACTTTGATAAATATTTGAAGATTAAAGTGAAAAGCAGTGAAGAGCGAGTCAGTGGTGAAGAAAATGCAGTGATCAGACAAGTAATCTCAGGTTCTATTTTTTTCCATTCATTTTCAAATACTACAATTATATTATTTTATCCATTTCTTTTTTATTCAATATAATTGGTTCTATATTCGATGTTATACTTTTGTGACGTACACACGACTTTCTAGATCAATTTTATCTCGATCCAATAATAGGTCTTAGGGTGCAAGACAGAGAGAGAGAGAGTTTACCAAGTGTTTGACAGCTCGGCGAGCATGCGCTTCCGCTCGCTTAATCTCGAAGTGTTTACTAGCGATAAAAGACATAGTTTTTTTTATCTTAAGACTAAGATCTTCATACTTATTTTTTTAATTTCGTATTATTGAAAAATAACACAATGTCGTGACAATTTATTTATGTTTCCGTTTGACACCTTATAACTTTTTTTTACACTTACATTGTATCTGAAATATTTTTCTGTTAACTTTATTTAATTTAATAAAAATATAAGAACATCCAAAGTCTTTTATAACACTTGTATAATAATTTTTTTCTTCTTAATTTAATAATAAATAATAATTTTCACGTGATAAATATTGTCACGTGTATTTTTTCACAATAATATAAAAAATGAAAAATAGTTTTTGCAAGTATTTTTAAAATAATTAATTATAATTTATTACCTCAAGTTGATATTAATGCAAGTATAGTTAATGAATTAATTGATTATTCCATAATTAGACAAGACTTTTGTTTTTTGATATTTATCGAGCGAGAGAAATTCATAATAATTACACATCAATCATTCATGCAGAATGACCCTGTAGATTATGTACTTTGACACGGGTAATTGCGGTTCTGAAACCATCAAAAGTTGATAACCCACTCTGTGGCTACGGTTCATGACGAAACTAGCGAGGTAGTAAACTGCAGATAGCTAGAAAATATATCTGTATTTGTTGAAACTCAGCGAGAAATCCACAGGTGAAGTCGTTAAGCGAAAAACAAGAAAGATTTTTTTTTTTTTTCATCTCTCCCCCTATATATTCACATAACACTGCAGACAATAATCAATTTTAATAGATATCGTAAAATCTAGATAATTTCAATATAATATCATTCCCTCAACGACAAAAAAGTTTGTACGTTATAGAAAAAAATTGGTTAGTTATCGTGTAAATGTTTTTTTCACCCAAGTTATGAGGATATTCACGAGGGTGAGAGAATGGGGGTTGATATTTTTATTAAAATAAACGACAAATTAATGGGAAATAAAGCAGACATAATCGGATGAATGAAAAGTTAAAAATAGAAAATAAGATGATGAAATGGAGATGAAAGGGGGAAATAAAATGGAGAGTAGTGTGAAAGAGTTAGAAGCAAATATTGACATTCAAAGACTGAAGCAGAGAGAACGGTCTAGTCTGGGTATTGATTGTCGTTGTGAGGATGCGCGGTGTGCCCCAGAGAGGTACTCTCTCTAGCAATGATTCCTAACTGCCTCCGGAGGTCGTCAAGCTGTCTCTGTCTTCCTTGCATGTCTACCCTTAGGATCGTCGCATTATTATAGAGTTCAACCTCGCTCCACCTCCAATCGAGGCTGCAGCGACGCCGCGCTTTTTGCCCCTCAGTCTTCCCTAGGCACTCGGCAAGCCAGTATCTATTATATTGAACCATTATCTTCACCACTGGACTTGGCTTCACTCACATTCATATATATAAAAACACACCACCCCAATGCGGATTTCGCCGAGATTAACAACATTGGCATCGGACAACACTAACTCGATAAATAAATATTTTTGTTAAGGATAAATATTTTCTATCTGTTGTGAGACAGCAAGCAAGACCAACACAAATTTAATATTCACATGGGCATTTTATTATAACGTGCATTTTCTTATCAGTAAGCTGCGTGACCGTTTATCGAAACTGTAGTCAGTGCAATCCAACCATCGTCTTGAAATCGAATTTCGTGACGTCTGCATTCAAGGCCCCATTGTAATAAACTTGGCTTGGTTGCTATACATTTAAGTGCATCTATAGAACAACATGAATGTGGCCAAGGATGGGTGAAGGAGAATAGACTTGTTTGTCTATAGATATCTGGCTCCAACTTGGTGCATTTAATACATCTTGAAGGAAATTTTGGAAAGGAAATAACAATAAATTATTATGGATCGTCTAAAAGGTATTCGCATGAAACCATTACCACATAATACATCAACTATTTGAATCAAATTTTCAACAAAATCATCAGTGAAATACAACCACGGAATTTATTAAGAGTACAATAGAAGTGAGATTAAGTGAATATAAATTTTAAAATAGAAATTTTGATTAATAGAGAAGATAAGATTCAAGAAAAAAAAGAAGGTTGGACACATTTTCTTTCAATTTTCTGCTCAAGAAAATAACATGAAAAACAACCTTGACTTTTTGATTAAGGCAAAAGATTATTTATCTATAAAGTATCTCGAGACAATATTCAAGGTCACTAGTGTAATCTAAAACAGCAAGACAAAAAATATCTTCCACTTTTTGTTGTAAAAATAAGAAAAACTTAGAAATATTTAAACAGATATTATATATCATTAAATGAAATATTTTTCTCATTGATTGTTATGATTCCAGAGAAAAAGAGAAACAGTAAATAAAAAGGAGTAAATAATTGTCACGTTGACAATATCAACAGTTGAGATATTAGAAATAAAAAATATATAAATTTCATAATAAAAATAAATTTAAAAAAACAATTAAAAAAAAAACGAAGCTAAAGTCTTAGATAGACATATTTCATATCATCAAACTTGCAATTTGCCTTTACATCGTTGTAGAAAAGAAAAAAGAATATCTTAGGAAATCATTGAATATCAAAAATTAATAATAAACTCACTGAAATAAGGGTAATAATTATTAGAAAAACAAATAATTATAATAATTTAACGAATATATAATAGCCTAGATATAGTTTGAAAAAAGGCAATAACATTATAATTAAAACCACCATTATTATTACAACAATAATAACTACAACAACAATATTATTACAATTATTATTAACATATTTCACTTGGAAAAAAATACTACGAAATATTTTTTCTGATTCATAATTTATTATTCACGCTTGCAGAGAAAAAAATAAATAATAAAAATATAAACACTAGTTAATTAATTGCGGTATTTCGCAGGCACTTATACAAATCAAATACGATTTATAAAATAATATTATAATTTATAAATAAACAAAATACGTAAGTACATCTACGGAAGCACATATCTAAAGTAGAGGATAAATGTTATATTAATTGAGAGTATATTTTACTGATAAAATAAAGGACGTGAGGTAATTGACAAGATAATTAGTGACGAAAACAATAAATATTATTATGAATAATAATCTTTAATAATAATAGTAATCAGTTAGTTAATATATAAAATAAAGTAAAGAGCAAAATCGACTGATTCGCATTTTATTTTTTGTCTGAGACTGATACAGAAATAATTTTTATTAAACAAAGATAAAGCTGAAAAAAGCCACCTGGACAACAGAAGACTATTGAAAGTTGTATCGAAGAATAAAAAAAAATCACATAAATATGATGTATGAAGGAGGATTGACTACTGACCATCAGGTATGGCTCTTTGTTCCTACGCGTTCAATAATGCATGTTGTCCATATATTTTTATCGAAACAAAGCTCTGTTGTCCTGCTGTTTACATATTAAACTCATCAATAATATTTATTAGAAAAGTCATCATTGTTCATACATTTTCGTATCTCCATTGATATATTTTTAGATCCATTGTTCAAACAATCAATGTAGACAAATAGTTGTTACTATTCAACAGTTTTTAAATATTTTTAATGCAATGGCTAAAATGCAAACAATATTAAATAAAGCTATTGTCGTCTTTAGGATGATTTGATGTCAGTGCTATGGCTCCTAGACTATTTATTGATTACATTGTAGACATGGCTGTTTAAATGTCTATCATGCAAAGTGATTAGAAACATCGGAAATACCAGCAATAAATACCAATATTATTATGTACATTCAGGAAGAAGACATGTAGGAATACATTAAGATTTATCACCACTAATAATACTCGACATTAAATTCTAACTTTAACACATATTCAACACAATAAAGCAGCAATACTCTATTTTTACAACACTATTTACTACGTTATTTGCAAGGCAATATTACACATTTGAGTACACCACTGAAGTTTCTAAAATGGCCGAGGAACTCGTTAAAGTTCCGGTTATGTATAACACAAAAAATTATGGTCATATTGAGAAGTACCACAAGAAGATTACTATTATTAACGAATAATTTATTTTGTCACAGATCTCCACACTCGTTTCGCACAGAGAGCGACCACTATGCTCCGAGAGAAATCTCCGAGCCATCGCGAGGGTGGGTCAAGCCGTAAATCTTGCTGTCGAGAGATTCGTAACAGTTGGAGAAACAATAGCAGATGACAATCCTGAAATCAAACAAACAATGTATGAAGCTTGCAAGGAAGCTAGAATTGCTGGTAAGTTTGAATACTATTCATGTTTATTTTATTTTGAATATATATACTGGCAAAAAGTAGAAAAAGATGGTTTGCAGTCAGACAAATGTTTCGTGAGAGAATACTAAATTTTAAATGTAGAGTAAAGAAAATAATTTTGTTTTCTGCATTAGCTGATAAAATATGTAACAAAATTGTACCATTTTGTATTATAAATATTAAGCATAGATTTTTTTTTGGAATTTCATGAATTCACAATTCAGACAAGTAATCGATTATTTATGAGATCAGTTTCAAAATTTACATCATATTGATTTATAAACCATAATGACTTTACTACGACTTCATTTCAAACGTAAAAAATAATTTAATAAAAAAAGTTTTCTTTAAGATTCTAATTTAGAAACGTTTACAAATATTAATCATACTAATGATGATTTTTAAAAAAGAAAACACGTTAAAAGCATCGTAGTAGGTCGAAATAAAATAACTTATATTTAGAGAAGTTGTACGTTTCCCGTCAAAAATCATATTTTACTCTTATTTGAAATATATCAAACTCCCCTTGGAGCAAAACAAGATTTACCGGAGATGAAATAAAACTTTACTACTTTGTATAAGTAGAAAATGATGTTATGAAAACGACGTAATACATTAATTTGCTATGAAGTAGAAAAAAGGCGGCTTAATATCGCCTTACAAAAGAAAAATATCTTACTTAAGAATTAAGCAGAATAAATGAGATTCTTTTTTTTATTTTTTCTTCTACCTTCATCTAATGAAATTAGGTAATTTACTAGCAATTTATTTACACAGGTGGTGCGATAGAAAAATTGTGCGAATGTGCAATGGAAGATAATTTAGCAGATAGAGGCTCAGTTGTAAGAGCAGCAAGATGTCTTTTGGGTTCAGTAACAAGAGTTTTACTTCTGGCTGACATTGTTGTCGTAAAACAACTGCTCCTGGCTAAAGACAAAGTGGCCCGTAGTCTAGGACGACTCGAGAGTGTTTCAAACTTTACAGAATTCGTTAAAGCATTCAGTCAGTTTGGCGCTGAAATGGTTGAGCTTGCTCATTTAACTGGAGATCGACAAGTAAGTATGCTAAAGATTCTCAACAAATATCAAATTCAAACACTAAACATTCCTCATCATTTCGTTTTTATTTTTTTTTTTATATTTATTTGAACAAATACTTTTTTTTTGACAGTTATTTTTTCACTTTTTCAACATTTCTTTTTAACTCTTAAATTTTTTTTCATACTCAATCAAAAGCGAATATAAAAGAAATGTTTGAATAAAATGGCGAAATAATACAAAAGAAAATAAAACAAGATTTTAATTGAAGCACGATTTTGTTTAGAATGATTTAAAAGATGAAAGACGAAGAGCACAAATGGCTGCAGCAAGGCAAGTTCTCGAGCGAAGTACTATGATGCTTTTGACATCCAGCAAAGCTTGTCTGCGACACCCTGAGTGTCCGTCAGCCAAAGAAAACCGAGATACTGTATTTTGCCAAATGAGAAGGGCTATGGACTTGATTCATTATGTCGTTAAGGACGGTGTACTTGATTGCAGCGAATCTCAGTCTTATTCAAACTCTCAGGTTTGTTGTCTCAAGTATCTTACTCGTTTTACTATCCTATTTACATAACCACGAATGCAATTAAGACCAACGAAACCAGGACAAGCTCAAATATTCACTGCGATACTCTAAACTAATTTCTAACTTTCGTTACACGTCTAAGAGCTACTTTAATCTCTCGACTTATAAGGAATATTGCAGTCGAATGAATATTTGTTTCATCTTATATACGCTAAAAATGGTACTCTTCTTAACATTAACTTTCGTATCATTATTTAAATTGATTTTGTTTTAAACTTTTTATCCATTAAGTTTTTTAATTAAATTTTCTTACGAGATCTCGATAACAGAATTTGTTATATCTACAAATACGTTTTTATCCTTCTACTAATTCTATTTTCATTTTATTAACTTAATTCAATTGATATTTTTTACTTGTATAGTAGTTTTTATTCTTTAATGTATATAACAAACTTTTTCGATGTGAAAATGTGTATTTTTTACGCAACATTTACATTATAAGTTCTCATTTGAACACTGACAGTCGGACAGAATTATGCCTCTAGGGTATCTAATCTTAATTAAAATTTTTTTCAATTCGTTGACTCATTCAAAATTTTTAAATGAATTTTATTCTATTTCTAGCCAGATTTGCTTTATTAAAACTTTATTTTCTATGATTTAAAGGGGAAAAAATTTTTCATATGATTCAAACTTGTTGAAATTATTTATTTAAAATTTTTAATGAATTTCATTCTAGAGTCCACAGCAGCAAGATTGGGATAGCAGTACACTGTGTGCAGCTCTAAAAAATTTCGAAAGAATGGTCGAAACCACAAGAATGACGTTGATGTTGCCAGAATGTAGAGATTCTTTAACCTCAGCCTTGGACACTGTAGTAGAGAGGACACAAGACTTTACTGACAGTGCTTACACTAGCCACGAACACAGAGAAAATATCCTCCTTCTTTGTGATCGTGCTAAATTGGAACTTAATACGCTGCTAAGACTTGGAAATAGCATGGTAATCCCACAAGAACAAATTAACAACATTAATAAAAGAAAAAAAATAGAATAATGAATAAAAGAAATAGTCAAATAAAAACTTACAGGTCTGTGTAAAAATAGTCTTTTTATGGAAATAAATTACATTGTTTAAAGGCATTTTCGGTTTTTAAAATAGTAGTATAAATAAATTCATTTGTTTGAATAAATTCACATTTTGCTACAAATAAACACAAGATATCATAATTGCTATAAAATTGCATTTACTGCAAATTTTAAATATTTGTCACACACACAAGTATATGTACTATCGCAGCCGAAAACAACTTGACAATTAAATTTCACAAACCTCCGAATAAATACGTAAATCAACAATTTACGTATTCGTGAGTTCGAACAAGGATGTTCGATAAAAACAAAAACAAATTTTGGTATTTACTTTTCCAGACCTGGTTTATTCAATAAAACCACTAGTTAATTAATCACCATTGATAAAAACAATTTCAATATCCAGAATATTTTTACATTTAGCAAGCTCAAGAAGGTGGTCCAGGATCGCCAAATTCTGAAATGGATCAAGCAGTTTTAGGGGTATTAAAAGCTACACGAGATCTTAGGCAGCAATTAGCAACAACAACAATGGAACAAGCTGGAGATCTGGGCCAAGTGACCAAAGCGGGGCAAGAATTAGTTTCAACCATAAGAAATTTAGCACTTACAAGCGAAATAGATCGACTGCATGAAAGTAGTGATCGTTTCCATGAATATCTTGAGCACATCTTAGAGGTAATTGTCTAGTCAAATGAAAAAGTTGATTAGTTTTGTGTTGTAGTTGATGAATGATTTTCTCTTAAACTGTTGCCTTGACCAGGTTTGTAAGCTGCTCAGACATATTGCATTGTCCGAATCGCTGCAAGTGTCTGCAAAATTTACTGAGATTAACTTGAGAATATATGGGCCACAAGTAGTTACTGCTGCGCACACATTAGCTAGATATCCTACTAGCAAAATAGCTAAGGAAAATCTCGAAGTATTTGCGGATATGTGGCAGTGGCTTATGTCTGACGTGACAACAGTAGCTAAAGATGTACTGGAACTTTGTCAAAGTCGACCGGAAAAGCAAGTTTATATGTCACTACCAAGGCCTGGCGTAAGTATGAGTAGTAAAAATTTTTATGTTTTACGAGGTAGACTATAAAATCAGTCTGCTAACAGAAAAGCAAATATTTTATACTAAAACTATTTTTATTAGAAATTTTAAGGATGCAATTTCACCAAAGAACTCCTTGGAGAATTGATTTGAAAAATTTTATTAAAAAAAAAAATGAATGAAAAAAAGGGTATTTATTGTTAATAATTTGTTGTCAAGGAGTCAGAAAATAGATGGCATTTATGAAATATATAAAATTAAATTTTTTTGGTGAAATTTTTTATCTTAAGGTAATAAAAGCGAATTTTTATGACCTCATATTTTTCTCCAGAAACATGGAACCACAAGTAAACCTCTGAAACCGGTAAGATTAGACAGTGAAGAGCAAGCGAAAATAGCAAAAGCTGGGCTTGAGATGAAATTAATTACCTCAGAGATGGATGCGGAGACTGAGAAATGGCAAGAAAGTGGTTCAACTTTAGAGGAAAATAATGACATTGTGAAGAGAGCAAAAAATATGTCTTCCATGGCTTTTTCAATGTATCAATTTACACGAGGAGAAGGTGCACTAAAGACTACGCAAGATCTTTTTACTCAGGCTGAATATTTTGCAGAAGAGGCTAACAGATTGTACAAAGTTGTGAGGCAATTTAGTTATCAAGTACCAGGTGGTCCAAATAAAAAGGAACTTTTGGAAAATCTCGATCGTGTACCAACATATGTTCAACAGTTACAATTTACAGTAAAAAATCCAACAGTTGGGAAAGCAGCAACGTTTACTAAAGTCGACAATGTCATTCAAGAGACGAAAAACTTGATGAATGTCATTTCGAAAGTCGTAACAACGTGCTTTGAATGCGCCACAAAGGTGAGAAACTGGACGCTGTTGAATTAACGTGTCTTAAGGGGCGAGAGGAGGAGGCAGGATAATTTGAACAAAAAATATTTCAGTACAACCTGGATTTCCGTGGTCTGAGCGCCCGCGGTGCTGGCGGCTCACCATACCGAGGAGGAGACAATGCAGGAGATGGTGACGGCACTGGGGTTGGAGCTGATGGCAGCAAAACGGGTTCCGCCCCTGGCAGTGACCCGTCTGTCTGACAGTTTGGTATGGCCCGACGGGCCAAAGGGGATGCGCGGCGTACTCGAGTTTCCTTTTTACTTTTCTAAAAGGAAAAAGTCATCTCGACCACACTCACACACAACTTCCGTCTTCTCAGGTTCTTTTTTCTGCGCCGGAAATTTTTTAGTAAAAGTTTTGTCGCGATATTTTATCGTGAGCGAAGGCATTCTGGCATTTTTATCTTTTCATAAATATTTTTAAACAATTTTTTTTACCTCATGATCGAGTTGAAAGAGACTGTTTTTATTTCTATTAAAATGCCTCGACTTATTCTGTTTAAATTACGGTTGATAAAAAACTTGAAAGAAATAATAGAACAAAAGAAATAAATAAATATTATAAAAATAATGAAAAATAAATATTTGCTCATTCATTTTTAATTATTTTATTACTTTTATTTGTTAAAACTCGTAACAAAACTGTTTGTTAGCAAATATTATTGTATCAAAGTTACTTATAATTATTAATATTAATTTTTTTGGATACCATTTTGTTTAACAAGCTAATGAATTTTTATCGATTGTATTATAAATCTTGCCAAATGTCCTAAACTTATATCTTCCATTAACTTTTGTCATCGTACAGACGATAAAAAATTGCTAAAAAATATTCTCCGCAGATAATCATGCGGCATTTTCATAAAACCTCATTATCAAGAGACTTTTCCATATAACGATTAAAAAAAAAGAGGTCTTTATAATGGTAATGATAATAAATATTGCAATACGAGACTAATTGGTGGGTTTTTCAAGTATGTTTTTTAAGATTAAAGCATGGTTAGATTGACTAGCTAGATAATTATTCTTTTAAAATGGACGTGATAATCATTAAAACGAAATGATTGTCAACGGTCTCGAGAATCTTTTACGTAATTTGTATGAGGAGAACTGTTGAGTTAATTGAATTTAGAATTTTCAATGAATGCATGCAGTGATACGAAAGAATAATTGAATTAATTATTATTTACTAGATGAACGGACTCTTTCGTTAATGAATTCATTAAACTTAATTGAAATAAAATTAATTAATCCAGTGATATTGATAAATGTACGTAGAGACATTAGAATCTAATATCTGAAATCTTGAAAATTTGATGAATGGCGTGTTATTAACTTATTATTCAATTTTGTCAAAAGAGCAACGGTCGGTGTATCTGTGTTAATTTTTTGATCTAAATGTTTAGAGCAGAAACAACATTATATGACAAAATATGAAAAGGAAAAAAATTGGTGTAGAAATAATAATTTTTATGAAAAAAGTTGCTCAAAAATCTAGCATTTAGATATTTGCGTCTTTTTTCTAACGAAAACTATTGACGTTGAATGGTGATTGTTCTTAATTTATATTTACAAAATAAAATTGTAAATTAATAATAATAATAATAATTATGAATGAAAAATAGAATTGGGAAAAAAATTTACTTACTAAACAAAAAATAAGAAAAACAAAGAAACATAAACACAAATATTTACTGATAGTATTTGGTGTATCATTTAATCGTTGGCTTTCGATAATTGAATTTGTATAATTGATTAAATAATGGTGTTAATAACCAACTAATTGCTGAATATGGATGGCAATTCAAATATAGAATAGTTCAGATGGAAAACATACAAGCATTAAAATCATTTGCTGGAATTCAATTAATTATTATGGGATCATTTTTTTATAAATTTTTATGTCAATTACATTTTTAATATTCGAATGAGTATTTTTTCATTACTGGAAAATTTTTTATGTTTCCGGAAAGTAGAACTTTATCACAAACTTTTTTAATGAATAATAAAACGATAAAGCATCAAGTGCATTAATCGTAACAGGCTATGATTCATTTTTAAAATCTATTATAAAATTTATTGTCATAAAAAATTTATCAACAAATTAGCCGTCCATACATGGATTTAGTATTTGAAATAATTTCAATAATTTAAAGTGATATATGTTGACATAATTTAAAAAGGCAATCACCAATAAAATCCAAAAAAGATTGATTTACTGATAATAGTAAACTGATGTAATTTAACAAGTCGTCACGTAAAAAACGAGTCACGTAAAACGTTATACTCAAGATGGGGTGACGTCTTGACGGATACGTCACAAGCACTTGACCAAGATTTTTTAAAGAGACTTTCAAATATACAAAAAAAAAGTTCTTGGGTAAAATTTTTTGTCTTCTTAACTTAAAACAAATGAATACAAAGTATATATTAAAATAACTAGAGTTTTTACGAATAAAAATAGTGATGATAACAAAAAAATAAAAATTCACTGATTTTTTGACTGAATTTAAATGATCGTAGACAACACAATAATGGTATACATGAAACTGAAGTTAAGAAATTTACGAATTTTTGTGATCCGTGAAAGTAGTTATACCGGTAAAAACAATTGTTTAGACCAACATTATTAAAAATAAAAAAAAAAAACCAGAGCTTTTTTTCAATGACTTAATTATAAGAAATAAATAACGTGATGAAATTTAATTAAAATAATTAAATGAATAATTAACTAAAGTATTTGGATTTTCATGTTTAATATTGTTATAAATAAATATTGTTAGTGTACTATATTGTTTATTCCTGAAGTACAGGTGCGAAAGTAATAACATAAAATTAATTTATTAAATATATTCAACTATTTTTCAGTCCATTAGTTATTTATAGGAATCAATTAGTTGATTCAGTGATTAAATGAATTAATTAAAATTATTTATCACAATCTTTACGTACAAATAATAAATCTATACACTATAACCAGACTATAGAATTTGACAAATAAACCGGAGAGTTTAAAAGAAATTTTTTCTGTCTTTTAAATTCTCAATTATTCTTCTCTACACGGCCTAACATTTAGATATTACTCTTATCCGATCAATATTAAAATTTAATTTACTATAAAATCTATTCTCTGTAAAGTATTTACAATGAACTGTGGAATGAGATTTAAGTGATGTAGAATGAGAAATTAATTTTTCCTCAGCACAAAAATGTAATAAAACTGATGAAAAAAATTCCTGCTTCGTAATTCTGAAGGCACTTGATTTATAAAAAGGAAAACGAGAAAATTAAAATTTATTTACGTGCCTTGGAAGTTTAAGGCAAATTGCTTTGACTGGAACTCATTCTCATTTGACATCATTTAAATCTCTTCTATTAAAACTGACTTTTGGAAAAATATTTGTTGTAAAAAAATCAATTTGTTAGAATATTTGGAAGCCTCGATTAACACTGAATCACGTTAAATTTAAGCCAAATAAATTATAAATAAATTTTTGTTATTGTTGTACAGACTGAATGCAATAATTAATTAATCACCGCGCATAAATATTTTCTTTTGTTCTAGTCTGTACATCAACAAGTATTAAATGTCATGTCGATATTAAAGATTTTACGTTTCCATTAGCGCCTAATGGATTAATGTGAAATCGAAAAAAACATCCAACTTATCCAATGGTAATGCTTGCGTATTACAAGTATTTGGCTCTCGTTTAGCTTCAATTCCATCAATTACATATGGAACAAAGAAACACCAATGTTATCAATTTATAATACTGAAAAACTATGTCTATCTCACTTTTTCTCTGTCTCTATTTCTCTTTGTCTCTTGAGCGTTGCGATAAATTTCATTTAAACGTAAAAAAATGCAATACGTAATATCTAGTGTTCAACATTCTGCATGATTTACAAAAAAAAAAAAATTTCTGATTCAAATAATAAATGAAAAAAAAAATAAACACTTGTTATTGCAAAGCAAATTAAATCATCTTTATATTCATTTATTATATCCTCACCCAACTTAATAATATTTATAAACAAAAAAAAATATAGATTTAATATTCATTTAATTTACCAAGTGTTATGTAAGAATTGAATTTGGAGTTGTCTATTCTTTTTTTTAATTACAAAAGTGATTTATTTAATAATGAACTTTAATAAATGATCAATTTGAACTCATTATAAGGCAATATTGAGTCATTTAGTTTCACAAAGACTGTCAAAAGCACTCTTCTCTCTCAAAAGAACTGAAATATAAAAATGGACAGGTTTAATTATAAAAAATTAATCAAACAGTTAGAGAAAATAAACTAAGCTTTATTTATTACATATATTGTAGCAGGCAGTATGAATGAGTTGCATATCGATGATGTAGGATTTTATAACGCCATAGGATTGACATCATTATTAATAAATCAGATGCAAACCGATGTATAAATGAAGACCAGGAAGAGAAGATGCGATTAATCCTTGGTTCGCCCAAATGAATCGGGTCCGTAGCATTTTGTCTCCCTTCCGAAAAGTGAGTTATAGTGAAGGGGGACAAGGGATCCCCCGCCTTGCGTCACGTTATAAGCGCCATTAATTTGTAAAGATTCGTAATTGTCGTAGCATCGTTGGGTCGTAGTCTTAGTGCCTTTCGATATGCTGCAGCAGCTTGTCGATATTTCCCATTTAGATGTAAAATCGCCCCCAAATTAGTATGACTGCGCGCCTCGTGGGGTCTCAGACTAGTAGCATGTTTATACCAAATTTCAGCATCTTCATCTCGACCTGCTTGATGCAGTGCTGAAGCAGCAGCGACTGAGAGGTCATAATTTGATCTTGAAAGCTCCGCTGCTCGCAATTGCTCTCTTGCTGCTTCATCTAAACGTCCTTGTGATGACAAAAACATCCCTGAGGCATGAAAAATATTAAAGAATTCATATATTGAAGGAGAACATAATTTAAAATAGACAAAGCTCAGAAAATATTTTATTAAAAGTTTTATGAAAATTTTTAACAGAATTATTTACTTCCTTTTGAAAAGACTGACGTATTATTTTCTTATAATAAAGCTTTGGAATAAAATAGATGAAAAAAAGTTCATTTCATTTGAAATTTACGCATTAAATATTTGAGGAAACATTCCAGCAAGTAAATTATTATTTTTATAAAAGTGCTTCTGAGATAAAGAATTAAACTATTTTTTTTCACACAAACAAAGCGGCTTTTTGAATTTAAAATAGAAGAGTTCAACTAAATAAAAAATATCCAAATGGAATAATAATTGTTAGTTAAAAATAGAATGTAAAAAGTTGTTTTTAATGTGAAACTGTAAAGAAATACTTCTTCACAGTATAAAGATATCTTGGTCAACGGGATTAATAGAGAGTAAAAAGGACAATATTTTTACCATAGCGATGATGAACATTTGGGTCATCTGGGGCGAGTCTTGTGGCTTTAATAAACCACCTCTCAGCTTCAAGAACCCTGCTAGCCTAAGAATAATAAATGAACGAACATATTTTACATTTGAGTAAACCTCTCAGTTACATTTATTTTACAAATGAATTTGCTGACTTACATTTCGTGCTAACAATTCTCCATAAGTAATGTGAGCCGGTACATAATTAGGCTCTCTTACTAAACATGCTCTAAACCATCTTTCAGCTTCTGCATACTGCTGCATTTTTGATAAAGTTTCTCCTAATAGATTGTAGACAGTCTAGGAACAATGATTTAATGTAAAGTTATTACGAGAAAATATAAACGATGATTTAGCACTAAGTAAACTTACTTGTGGAGGATAATAATCAGGTAAAGCTTGCAAAGCTTCTCTATATGATGATAGAGCTTCATGAAGATGACCTTCGTCTGCATACAAAGCACCTAGTCGTAGGAGTGCTTGTATTCTTGCTGCTTCGTGGACTCTCTTGTCTTTTAGTCCTACTCCACTGACTGAAGCTGCGGTTCGTAAAATATCTGCGGCTTCGGCTTTCCTCCCGACAGAAATAAGAGTCACTCCAAGATTTACGTAAGCCTCTGGGAAAATAAATAAAAAAGTAAACAAAAAAATGTGATGATTTACTCAAGAACTTGGAGACCAATTAAAAGTTTCTTAAGAAAGTCATGAATACGTACGAATAAGTGATGGTCGGAAGTGTATTGCACGTTCGTAACTTAGAATTGCTTCATCATAATTTCTTCGTGCTTGCTGTAATATTCCCCTTTACAAAACGGTTATAAATTATTATTCCTCTTTTGTGAAGTGCAGAAAATTAACTCATCAGAGCTCGAAGTATGAATGAGAAACAAATTTAAAAATCAAGTTAAATTGTTTTTTTTTCGTAATAAAAGGTGTAATCACGCCATTTTTCTTACAATCATTCTCTCTTCATTCCTTACTTATTCCTTTTCTTCATTTTGACTTTTATGCAAAAAGATGAAAAATCAATTTAACTCAATTTACAAATTCATTTTTAAAAGGGTACTTGATTTTTGAATTTATATTTTTTCTTGTTAGACTTGTAAAAATCTAGAGATATCAAAAAGCAATGAAAAAGACATTTTAATAAAAATAAAATTATTAACCAGAATAATAAATTTTTATGAAGGTTGTTGTTTTCATCAATTAAGAAACCGCTACTTCTCAACAATAGTTTCTGAGCGAATAATTAAAAAAATTCCTCCCCTGACAGCCAAGTATTGTATTTAATGATAAATTATGGTTTTTGATGAAGGGATGAAAATATAACATCTGAGATGAAATAATTATGAGAGGAGATAAATAAAATTATATCCTTAAGCTCAGTCATTTTCATGTTGAAAAAATGTTCATATATTTTAATTATCAAGCTTTGTTTCTTTTAAACATGGAAATATGTCACATATCATAGAAGAATGTTATGAAAGGAATGTAGCACATTTTTTTTAATTTTTCGTCATAAGAATATTTTAATTAAATATGAATTATTACTGTAGGTGATATAAAGTCGCGGATAAACGAGTTTAATGTCTAGTTTCATTTTTAAAAGTAATTTATCTTTTTGTGTGTATATATATATATATATATGTATATACATATATGTATTTATATATATATATGATAGGATATACTAGTTGAATAAAAAATCTCATAATTGTAATAGGAATAAAATCAATTATATATTATAGCTATTTAAATTAATTAAAATTAATTAATTCGATTGGTGAAACTGATATCGAGATTCATTTTACTATAATATGAATAATTGAATTTATCAAAACTATTTTACAACAATATTTATTAAATCCTATTGATTAAGTGTATATTCATTCTTCAATTGAATCGAATTCGATACAAATCCAATCCGATCAATACTAATGAATTATCAGTGGCTTTTATGATTAAAGAACAAAAAAATTTTTTTCCAAAAGTTATGGACTTCAATTTTCTGAACGATGTTCATTAATTGGTTGGCTCACTCTATAATAGTTGTTATCAAGTTTAATTGTAAAATTGTGATGATAAGTTAGTAAAATATAGAGTTATAAACTCAATCATATTAAAATTGAAAAAATTATTTTGACTCTTCCGATGTTTTTATTCAATTAGTTAGTCTTTTTAACAGAATAAAAGTGATAAAACAAGAAAATGATGTATTCAAGTTTAAAGAGATATTTTTATTCAATTACTTTGCACGCTAGGGATCGAAAAATAAATTTTTTTTTTCAATAAAAACCTCAATGATGAGGGAATAAAAAATATGTTTGAAGTTTTTTTGGATAAAAAATCAGATTGATAAAAATTATTTTTTTTGTTTATTAAAAAATAATAAGTTATTTGATGAAATGAATCTTTTGAATATATTTCAAACGTTCAATCAATTAATTCAACAAATAAAAACGATTGAAAACGAAAATAAATATTATTGATGAATATTGGAACAAATATAAACTTATTAATGATGATTAAGTAAGATAAAAGATAGCTTTGTAATTCTTTAAGGTTGATTTATGACTTAATAGATGAAAAAATAACTTACAAATTATAGTGTACATCAGCCATATTGGGGCGATATCGTAGCGCTTGAATAAAAGCTTCCTCTGCTTCGGCAAATCGCCCCTGTGTGCTAAGAATACCTCCAAGATTACCGTACGCTGTAAAATAAAATATGAAGCTGACGAATAATATCATTCATTTTCCGACAACGTGAGTGTGCATATTTTATTGTGACCGAATAAAAAATAAAGTTAAAAATCAATAAGTGTTGAGATTTTGAGGGGAGATTTTGGTTGAATGACTGTGAGAAAATTTTCACTGACCTTTTGGTGGATTGACGTGAAGAGCTGATCGGTATAAGCTCTCTTCATCATACCAATCCATATTTCGTCGAAGAGTCTTAGCAGCCATGAATCCAAGCAACAAAGCAGTAACGACAAGAATCAATCTGCCACAAGTCTTGGAGCCGTGTCGAACGATGCGATAAGTTTCAGCCACACTGGCGCCAATAGACAGACAGGCGCCAACACTTGGTAGATACAAAATCCTTTCAGCAATGACGAAGCCAACGTAGAAGAATAAATTGCTTGCGGGTAAAAATGGAAGCGCCAAAAAGCCTAAAGATATGATGACAATGCTGACGGATTTAGTACGACCAAACCGGGTTGATGGATCAGTAGTTGAAGCAGCAGCAGCAGTTGGAGTAGGTGTAGAAACATGAATGGCGGGTTTCATTGAACAGCAACAATCATTGCTGTCACTGTTGTTATTATTGTTAGCAGCCCGACATCCTTCAGTGTGACAATTGCCAGACTTTCTGCCATCACAAACAGAACATTTGCTTGAGGCTCTTTGATACGACCCAGTCTTCTCCATCGTTCGGTTGCGTACATAGACCTCGGTTCTTGATTGTTGGATTACCCACAAGCCCGCACTCGCTAAACCTATATACAAACACACGGATTCTAAATTCCTTGGATCCGTCAGACTAATTATGCGTGGAATGGTGTCCATAGACCAGTCGAAGCTGAGAGTACTGGGGCATAGAAACATGCGGAAGCTTGCGGCTGGTAGGTAGAGGAATGTCAAGGCTCGTGTTAATCTCGACGGATTCCTTGCAGTTGGATTGTCTGCACTGGCAAATTCTGGAGGGTTGGCATTTCCGATCTTAACTCGACCAAGAATCACCAGTATCAGACCTCCCCAAAGTATTCCAACGCTTCGATTTCGAGGCCATCTGTCTCTTTCCTATACATATTTTAAGTATATATATATATATATTATTTGATAGTCATCGTTTTATATACATATTGAAAAATAAACTCGCCAAGGTCAGTCAATTGTACCAATCGATTTGTAAATATTATTCAATTCAAGAATTTTCTCTTTTTCCATCAAATTTTATCAGATCCTTAAGAATTACAGACCCGTCAGTTTTCTCAAAGTCAAAAGGATAAAGTATGGGAAAGAGAGAAAAGGTCCAACTGTATGCAATGGAAATGCTAGATCAAACTTGAGTTGATCAGAGAAAAAAATTTTCATTAGAATTTTTTACTTAAAAAAGTTTAAATGTGTTTTTTATCAAACTACCTTTTCCTCACTGTCTACATGATAATTCGAAAACTTATTCATTTTTTTTTTCATCACATTTCTTAGAATACTTATCTTTATCATCTATCGTTTTTATTCAACAAAAAATTATCTAAAAAATATGATTTCACTAAAATTACCTGAAACAAACTAGAAATTACGTTGTTTACAACCATTTTACTAAATTATATGTAGAAAATAAATAATACTACTAGCGTTACAATTATCTACCTCCCGGATATCAATTATAACAATTAACGGTATATGTAATTAAAACCGATTGGCTAAGTTCTCTATGTAGAAACGATTGAATTTTCCAAATAGATGGTAAAATAATACCTCTATTTATTTTTCGAAAATATTATTGAATTTTTGATTAAAAAAAAAAAAATAATAAATCTAAAAGTTTCAAAATATAACGGTAAAGTAAAAATTTGATATCTATGCACAAGGGAGACTGTGTACAAATTTTAGTGTTGCAAAATTTTCAAACAACCACAAGTATGTAAAGAATGATATAGAAAGATAATTCGAAAAGAACTAAAGAATTTATTGGAAATATTTGCCATTGACAATTTTTAATAAATTATATCTAACTTTTCTAACACTTTACGATAATATATTTTATTTTGTTTCAACTTTTTTATCAGGACACAGTACTTGTCTGTACTAAACCCTGGCGCTGCTCCAGACCCTAACAGAGGTTCAATCCCTAGATCCTACCCTCTCTTATCCTCTCTATGTTGCAAAATAATAATCATCATTTTAATTATTAATAAAAGAAACTTTTTTTCATAAACAATAGTTTAAACATTTTCTCTCACTCCCTAAATTCACTATTCATCAGGAACAAAAACTGTTTTAAATATTAAAAAATGGCACTAACATTGGGTTGGATATTCTCAGTAATTAGCAAAAAAAAAAAGTAATAAACAAAAATTTCGAATAAAGTAATAAAATTAGCCAAGCTGTTACTAATTGGCAACCTAATGAATTATGATATTTACCAGGAATTATTTCTTTGTAGAGTGAATATTTTAAATAGTAGATATTTGTTCATAAAACTAGTTAGTAAATGTCAGAAGGGCCGTGAATAATAATTATTCAATTATCATAAGATCTATAGCAGATAAAATCCATAAATTATTAACGATGTTTGTGGAAAGTCAAGTGGGCGTGGTTTGTTGGCTGACTTTAGCAAGTACGTATCTACTGCTGGAGTATATTCATTACTCCTCTTTGGGAATTGGTCAGCCCGCACGAAATATTTACCTTCTGTGTATTTGGCTCGCCGTGACAGAATTCCCAAAGCAAACAGAGTGCTAGAGAGGATATACCGGTTTCCTTGGCAAGGGCTGCAAGGAGAGACGAAGTGAGTGCGATGAGAAGCATCAACGGAGACCTTGTTTGATCGCAGTGAGCGACGTAGGTGAGAAAGCCCCCGAGAGTAAGGAAACAGGCCAACAAATCAGCTCGGCCCACTATTCCAGCCACTGCCTCGCTGTGGATAGGATGAACGGCAAATAGTAATCCTGTAATCGCATGCGATAGCCATCGTCCTGGAATTACCTGAAACGGAATTTAAAATGACCAATACATTACACACTAGCATTTATTTTATTACATTCTAATGGATTCTATTTAATTAAGAATTGCCAATACTAGTATTGCCTACTGCACAGCAGAGGAGAGAGTAAATATTGAGTGTTCTGTTAATTCTAAAACTTCAAAGGATCTCACTTTTCTAGCCACCCGAACCACCAAACCCGTACAGGCTGCGTGGAGCGCGATGTTGACAAGGTGATAGCCCTGTGGATTGAGACCACCGAGCAGATGATTAAGCCGAAATGTGGCCACACATAGTGGACGATAACTCCCGTGAGACTCGCTGTCACGTAAAGGCGTGCCCCAAAAATCGTTTTCCAATAAAGGGAACCATGGAGAATTCGGAAGGAGGTCCGGATTTGTCAGAATGGCTCTTCTATAATATTGGACATGAAAAAAAATCGTTATTTCATTCTGGTTACATATACCTTTCTGTACACTCTTAGTACTATCATAGAAATCATCTTGAAATACGAAAATGAAGAAAAAAATATCATAAGCTAAAATCAATTTTATGAAAGCCGAATTAAATTTTTAATATCACTGGAGACAAATTTTCAATTTTACATTATTTAACTGTAATATCAAATAAATGAAATAATGAACAATGTTTCACTAATTGAGTAAATGTAAATTATTTTTGTAATTCACAAAATTGAATACTTTGGAATGTAATATTTGAAATTAGGAATTCATTCATTTCATTCCATTCAAATGAGTTTTTAATGAATATTATTTTTACGATTAAAACTTAATATTTAAAAAATAGTCTTGGTTAATAATGTATAACACAATAATTTAATTTTTATTAAAAAAATAATTTTAGCATACCAACTGTAGAAGCAAATTTATAATATATTAATGAAATAATATAATATACATCTATATAATAGATAATAAAATAAGTGGGTATGTCACATCAATAAGTGAATTAGTAATTTGAAGCATGAATTGTTAATTTAATAATTTGATTTCACATGCTAAATGACGAGATAGCGAAGTTAAAGACTCAATTAATCAATGGTAAATGGGAGAATATTCGGTAGGATATGGATTGATAATTGAATTTCGTCGCAATTACTGACCTGTCATCGTAGACGAAACCTGCATGAAGCGTATTGTAGTAGAGGACAGTGGCGATAAGGACGCAGAATATAACGAGGATATCCATGTCACATCGCGAATTCAGTTTCATGCAAGTCGGCGTCACTCTCTCTTAACTTGTTGCACACGTCTCCCGAGCCTTCTTCTGTTCTCTCTTCTCTTCAGTCAGCAATGGCGTCGTCGAAGGACTTTTTAGGGTCAACGATTTTCTACCCTTGCTCTATATATCTCTTCACGATTATTCAATTCACAAACATTCAGAGATCATCAAAGTGTCAAAAAGCAATATGGATACTCGGTTCGATTTAACTCTTCATTTGATTCACTTGTTCAAATTATTATTATTATTATTTATAATATATTTTATTATTTTATTAATCAATACAATAATGTATTGTTATTATGATATATTATAATAATAACAATTATTATTATTATATAGTTATGATTATGATGATGTTGATTATCGAAGTTACAGTAGTATGAATGTTTATCTTTATAATTATGTTAGAGATATTAATAATAATTATTGTCGCTAAAATTTGAGTTTTTTTTTGTTTTATTGCTAGAATTAAAGCATGTACCTTTTAAAGCTTAAAGATATACTATGTCGTTGCTCTTTTAATTTTACATACTCAAACTTAATCCTCAATGTAGTGTCTTTCACTCAAGATGCCACTTAAGCTTGCAAAAGCATTGATTATGAAACACTTCATTAATGAAAACTGAAGCTGTTAATGAGGATTGAGAGGCTGCACTAAAGTTTACTAACTCTCAATGCACCGAGCAATTCCTTTGTAGGTATATATTAAAATCCAAGACTCTTGAAATATTGTTAATAAATCTACTTGTAATCCAGCTATTTGGAAATATGATTTTTGTTGAAGATTTTCCTTTATATTATTGACGTTGTCAATTATTCAAATTAATATTCAGCTCTTATAAGAGTTTTTTTAATTATTATTAGTATTATTATTATTTGTTTGATAATATTTAAGATTTGGCTATATATGTTATAAATATATTCTTATATAAATAACTTGGCAGATGTTGAATTGCAACATCAAAAGAATTACTTGTAAATAATTTCACTCGAAATGCATTTCAGAAGCTAGCGGATTAATTGGAATAGTAAAAAGCGTAAATAATAAATGTCATGAAACGACCGTTACTCGCATCCGTCGTTGTCGTTGTAGTTTGTGCGTCGGGATCGTCGCAGAATGGACCAGATGTTATCCCAGCCCTTTTTTGCAAGATTAATCTCACAATGAGTATGACGTAACAAGAGTTCACAAAATTTTAAATTCGAGTAATCACAATAATCAGTCACTTTACTAACTATTTGATGGTTTAATTGGTTTAATCCGATGACACCAGTGAGATGGATTAAATCAAGATCCACAACACGGTGCATGATCTGAAATATGATGGTGAACTGCCGTGCGCCCCTCGAGAGTGCGAGCTTTATACGCGAGAAGCAGGCATCGATCCAGTAGGCGCTTGCGCCCATCTGCACCCTCTTCTCATCCTTTGCCCCCTTGTCGTTTCAGACTCCTCGCTCTGAATACGACTATCGCCAACACCACCCTCACCATGCACCACCATTGTACGTTAACTCCATGCGAGGACTCAACGCACCGATATGGGACAATGTGTACGTGTCTCATGTTATTGGTACCCTCGTGATCGTAGATTAAGATAACAGGCTAATGTCGTCGCGAGAAACGAGACCAGCAGTCCTGAATGTCGTCGACTGAAAAAAAAAATCATACTCTTCTCCTTTGATATAGATATCCAATAAAATACAATTATCTTTTTCCCTCACTCTCCGATCCTTAATGCTGACGATTATGAAAATTAATTGCAGATTATCATCAGGAATAAATTATTAATGAGACCAGATTCAAATTTTGTTTCAAATCCTTTGCATTGTTTCCTTTATCCATACACACATATTCTATTGTCAATTTCACCATTAAATTGTTATGAGAAATCAGTAATATTGAATTTGCTTCCGGTTTGTTTTATACAATGCTCCTGGAATCATCATAATAAATATCGTGACATGGTTAATCATGAAAAATAGCATTAACTTTTAGATTAAAAAACCTTTATTTGATCTCTATATAGACAGAAACCGTATGATCAATATTGTATTGAAAAAGTTTCAGTCATCAGCGTAGCACATTTATTGAAAAAATTATCTTACTTATCCACCAAGAAAAAAAAAATAATGGAAGAATTATGTTTAGACAAGAAATGTAATAAAAAAAAATTCCCGTCCATCATTAAAGATATATTATTCTTTGTTTTAAACACTAGTTGAATATAACTGATATTTTACTAACATATTAATGACTAAATTTACTTTCAGAAAAAAAATAAATAAAGTCGAGTCAATTTGTTATATTAGTTGGTATTATCATGATTAACTGGAGACATCATGATTATAAGTTGATTATAATGTGAAAGTGGCATTTATCATTAGATTAAAATTTTTTTACAAGATAGTTAACTATAGATAATATCTTCAATATTGTGTTAAAAAGTTTTAATCATGGCATTTATTAAGAAATAAATTATCATAGAATTTTGTTCCTATTTTTACGGTAATTTTTTTTTATTTAGCTTTTTTATTCTATTCTATTCTAAAAGTAAAAAGAAGCTTATATGGAATTATTGATATGAGAGTAATACAACGGAATATTGGATAACAGTTTTATTTGAATTTTATAGTCAAACAGAATATGATTATTATTATATTAAAAAACTTATGATCTTAACGTTTATTATAAGAATTATATAAATTCAACAATTTATTATACCTTCATTTTTTATCCAATTTAAATCAATCAATTTTTATTTCTATCGGTGATATAAATTGGAATTGAATTACCAACATCAGAGATTTTTACACTCGTTCAACAGTAATTTATTAATTAGCAAAGTCGAGTGCAACCGAGGTGTAAATAACATTCGATTTCTAATAAAACAGAATACGATCAGTATCATTATAAGTTACTTTTCAACGTGACATTTATAATGAAATAAAATATTTTCATTTAGCATGTTTTTTTATACTTGGTTCTTTTTTTTTAATGAAAAAAAAAATTTTATTGGAATATTTGAATTAGGTCAAAGGAATCTCGATAAAGTATTCTTGGGACGTATACTCGGATGCTTCGTTTTTTTTATTAAATATTTTTTTTCCCTCAAGAAGTACATAGTTAATAAATTTTTTCGATAATCGTCATATAACTACCTACTAAAAGTATAGATTAAAGCTTCCTTTTATACCATCGTATTTTTCATTTCTTCATAAACTTAATGGGAATGTCATCTGTAATGTGATTACAACATTTCCTATATCAATGCTGCAGAAAATTTCAACTCCAGAAAATTGCAAAAGATACAGTTTACAGTTATTTACAAGTTTTAATAATATCGTTCCAATAAAGTACTTATAAATAATTATTGATGGATACATAAAAAATTTATAAGTTCTTGTACATTTAAATTTATTTGTAAATGTCAAGATATTCATTTCCATTTCAAAGGCCTGAGTTAAATATTAATTCAATTTTATTAATCAAAAATAGTCTTATTTAATTATTTATAAAACTCATGTCAAACATGATTTACATACTTTAAAATACTACATCTAATATGGTTATTTATTTTAAATAATTTATTCTAAAAATAATATTTATCTCTGAGATTGTAATTATGTATCATTAAATTTTTATAATTATATTAACATTTTATTCCACTGATATATTATTTAAAAACTATAAAATCAAATTATAATTAATGATATATTAATGTTATTCATAATATGTAAATGAAGATTCTTTATTAATAATAATTATTACCATACTTTTGCTAACAGAGATAATTCAACAGATTTATTCAATAAAATTAGTGGTAATTAATTTTTTTTCTCCCAATCGAAGAAGTAAGGAGAAAAAACATTGAGAATGGCAAATAAATTGCAAGGAAAAACTATTACGTAAAAAAAGAGAAAAAATTTCGGAAGGAAATACTTTATTTTGATTTACTACCGATATAATCGTGCTCTTGGCATCGAATTAACATTGGTAGTGTCACTTGACCCTTGGTGAAATTTTTCGCTTGATCAATTCACCATCTGAGTCGTATTTGTGGCTTTAGTATCCTTTGCAGAAACCTACTTGAAACTGTGGTGGATTGGGATCATGCTCAAAGGATACAAGAGAGTTGGAAATCAAAGTTCAGACAACCACCAATATTTTAGTCGATAAGTTCTACGAGAAACGAAAAAAGATTCAATTTATCAAAAAAGTAAAAAAAAACTTTACATTTATTTATATTAAATGGAAAATTTATTTAAACATTAACATTTATGATATGCAATAAGACGGAAGCAACTATAATTTCTATAGCGTTATGAAAATAATTATCAATTGTTAGTTATAAAATTTGACATAGCATAAAAATAAGTCTAGTCCTATAATATATAAAAATGTTTTAGTAAAACAAAGTAAAATATTTTAATCAACATTATTATTCACTAAAACAGATTCCTCATCGTGACGTTGATTTTGAGATTCTTCAAGATCCAACTGCATATTTCCACTGCTCTCCTGCTGCTTCTTCTCTTCCATCTCCTCCTCTTCAGGATTAACAATAATCTCTTCTTTTACAATGACATTGTCTAAAGACTGATTGTCCTCTAGAGCTCGCGAATTTCCCACCAATATCTCTTGTGAAACACTCGTTGCAGAAGATGCTTTTTCATCGTTGTGAATAGCAAGGTGATGCTCCAGTTCGACTCTAAAGGAAAACTTGAGAGAGCAGGAAGGACAGTTATATGGACGGGCGCCAAGACTATTTTTCTCATGCGAATAATTTTCAAAAGTCACTGGTATCTTTTCATGGAGTGTACCAGTGGTATGCATTTCTTCATTTCCTTCAAACTTGATGGACTTGGTCTCATATTCGTTACTTTTTACAAATCCATTATTCTTTTCATCTTCTTTGCTTTTAGAAATCTGGTCGTCCCACTTGTTATCAATGTTATAAAGTGAACCCAAGATAGGTAAGCCATGCCAATGTCTTATGTAGCACCTTTTGCAGACTTTAAGCTGTTGATCAGTTGTCGTAATATATTTAGAAGGTAAGCTGATTGCATCGTCGTCACTTTCAAGTACTCCAAGACACAAAGAGCAGCTTTGATGTCTTTTAGAATTTGAAATATCTACTGACGATCTCAGGTGATACTTGGCATGAAGTTGACATTCTAATTCACTGATAAGGGTTTGTCTGCAGACGACGCAGTGCGCAGGAATGTGAGGAAGTAAACCGTCAAGTCTTTGTTGAGGATCAATGCCCTCCAAACTATGTTTCTGAACGTGCTCCAAAAAATCTGCTTCGCTTCCTAGACTTCCGCGACAAACAATACAGACATCACTTAGCTGAATTTTACAATGCTTTTCAAGCTTATGCTCTGCTAATATAGCACCAGATGAAAATATTTCATCACATATATTGCACTTATACCTCTTCCCTAAATCATTTGGGGCATGATGGAGACGCGTGTGTGCCTCTAACTCTCCTCTTGATCGCAATGTTTCTCCACAATAACTGCAAACTTGGAGAGATGTAGGTTTAGTTTGGAGTTTAATTGGAGATTTATGAGCAAGCTTCTTATGAGCTCGTAGTTCAGGTTCGCTCGAAAAATTTAATCCCTCGCAAAATTCACAATAATACAGGCTTGAGAGATTACTCGGACGGCAAATCGAGCGATTTATATTGTCAAATTGACTTAAAATATTTGTTGTGTCTGGAGAATATCTTTTTTTCAATCGAGACTGCAACAGAAATATTTTTCCATTAGTTTCCATACTGTTATACTGATTAATCTACTAATCAATACGAAATTTAAAAAAAAATAATAAATAAATCGAACTTTCCATCATTCCTATAATACACATTCATTTATTTTCCATTAAATAAAATTAATGAGACTAATTTTGGTTATTAAAATATCCATGCAGTAAATACAAAATCATCAGCATGGATATTTGTTACAAAAAAAAAAAAATAGATGCAACAGTACAAAAAAAAATACTGATGAAGTAGACGTATCGCTTCATGCTATTTTTATCCTAATCAAGTTATTTTTTATCATTTTTATTCAGTGTTATTATCACTGTTATATCTTCTTCTATTATAATAATAATATAGAAAGTAAAATACTGCTTACGATAACTCTACATTTACTCAAAAAAAAAGTTCAAAAGTTGTTTTTAATCCAATCAATTACTTGTCATTATTAAAATGATTCCCACTTAAATCGTGTAATTGATCGTAAACGGTACTTTTACTTTATCAGCAAACAGGAAAAGAAGTTGGGACGTTTATCTAAGTGAAAAATTGACAAACTTACTGATTCTTCAGCCAAATTAGTTACAGAATAAATTTGATTATCCAAGATGTCATTTTCAACGATATTATGAGAATGAGCAATATGCTTGTCCAGCAAGAATTCAACAGTAAATCCTTCTCGGCAAATTGGGCATCTGTAAAGGCACGTGGAATGGCTCTCTAAGTGACGTTGTAAATCTATGTCAGAAGAGCAATAAATACCACAGAAACAGCACCTAAAAAATTCTCCAATAACACCTGGAATAGATACAGCGTTTCCTGGTGATGCAACTTCATCATTATGAGACTGAGGTGCATGAATACTTGCTACATGCTCCATTAATTCCGCAGGAGTTTTGAAAACATTCAAAGTATCTGCCAAAGTATTTTCACGAGGCTCTTCTCCATTCTTTGAACTTGTACAACCACTACATCGATAGACACTACATTCTCGCGTGTGCTTCACGGTAAAATGCACTTGAATACCAACTCTAGAGTCAAACGTTTCTCTACAAAGAGAGCATCTATACAAGTGATGAGCATGCGACTCAAGTAAATGTTTCTGGAGTGAATCAGGGTCAAAAAAAAATTCATCACACGCTTCACAAGAGTATTGTTTCATTACTTGACCTAAGAAATGCTTCATCAGATGATTCAACATATCTTGACGTGATTGGAAGCTCAATTCACACTTGGGACAATAAATAGTCATTGATTTTTGTTGATTAGTTTGCAGATGACGTGCTAGATGTGCTCGGAATGATTCAAAGTCCTTTAAAGCAGCACCACATTGGCCACAAAGCAACGTACTCGGAGAATAATTATCCAAAGGTTTTGAATTACTGCCAATTAATTTACTTAGATTACCAATATTCATTTTACTACATTCATTTACTTCTTTAGAACTTTTTTCGACTTTTTGATGATTTTCACAATGTTCAAGAACATAATGCTCAGCATAACTTTTTGGAGATGAACAAGGAATCCCGCAAAGCGGGCAATTTATAACGGAGTCAGCATTTTCTTGTTGATGAACTGATTTTAAATGATCTCTTAAGCAAATTAATTTAGGAAACTTCATTGTGCATTCGCTACAAGAAAAAAGTTCTTCGAAATTTTTTTTTTTTACTTTTTTCAATTCATCTTCATCTTTTTCTCGTTTTCTTCGGCGTTTATTGCCATTAGAAATATTCAAAGGCGATGTAGAAGGGCTTTTTCCATTTAAAAGCGACTCATGAACTGCTTGAACATGAAGTTGTAGTTGTTCCATAGTTTTAAAGGTATCTTTAGCACAATACATGCAAGCTAGGGTTAAGGATGACCTCAATAAGGAGATTGTTGGCAAATCGATTGCTGGAGTGTCTGGAGAGTAATTAGATGACAATCTTTGGGGTATTGATGATGATTGGGTTTGTGGTATAGGGGAGCTCATGCTTGGAGATGATCCTCTACTCGACCAAAATAAATTCTTTCGATCATCAGATGCCTTAGAGTATTGATTAGAAGATGTTGAACGTTTATGAAACTGCATATGAGATGTTAAAGCTGCTGCTGTATTGTAACCTCGAGAGCATTCTGAGCAGTGATAGGGTTTTTGATTATCATGAGTTTTCATATGAATTTTCAAGTGGTCACTGTAAAAATAAAATTATCATGTATTTAGCTTCAAAAAACTTAATAACATAGTTATTACTTCAATGATTGTGAAGATGTTAAATACCTTCGAGAAAATGCAGCTTCACAATGATTACATCGATATCTTCTGTCTCCAGTGTGCAGTTTTACATGTCGATCTCTGCTGCGTTTATGTTTAAACAGTCGTGCACACCAGCTGCATCGATAGGGCATCTGATCACCGTGACTCTGTTATTAATTATTCCATTAAATTTTAGCTTCAATTACCAGCAATGATTTGAAATAATGTAAATTCGATAAATATTTATTCATTGTTTACTTAGTTTTCTGTTAGAAAGGAATAAATTTTCCTTTTTTCATATCATCCTGCCAAGAAAATATAAGCGCTTCCTGAGATAAGGAAATGCTACATTTCTAGTTATAAATAAAATAACATGCACTACAAAACTTATTTATTATCAAAGACATTTTTTATTCTAATATTAAAATTTTCTATTTTAAATTATTATGTTTTATGTATTTTTTTTATTGACAAACCTGTTCATGTTTTTTTAACTGGCTTAAACTTGGATATGATTTTTCACAAAATTGACATGGATAAGGACCAGATGAATTATTTGTATCAGTGGTTATTTTGATGTCAACATCAGCTTCTGGTTCAGATAAGAAACTCATCGATGTGGAAGTTGTGCACGAAGATGGAGTTCCACCACCTCTTTGACCAGTGAGACTGTCATCTTCATTCCTCCAAGAGAAACTTCCAGTAGCCAATAATCCCTCTGCAATAAACCAAATATAACTTCTATAAAATATTTCTCTTTTTCAATATTGAATTGGTAACAAAAAAAAATTCTATAAGAAATAGACAATATGTGTGCTAAGAACGGAAATAATGAAGCTGAACAATTTCCTCATTTCGTTAAAATAAAGAGAATACTAGGGAAATAACACCCACGAGATAATTCTGAAGATTTTGCAGAATTCTACAATAGCGTGGTCACTTCAATTCTAATCAACACCGCCCAATGCAATCGAGCTGCCAGTCGTGTTCATAAATCGGTTGCATCCTCCACCCACTTCTCTATCGTCTTTCGCCTCGTTTATTCTCATTCTTGCTACTTATTAAGTAACAAGGCGCCACTAAAATCTTTATATTAAATTCACTCTAAGCCGGATGAGCAATGACCACCGGACGTTTTGACACACGACAATCATTAACTCAACAGCATTGGACTCAATAGTTGTTATTCACTAACACGATTCTAATTATTTCATTAACTAATTTATTGATCAAAAATTGACTTCATTTTTTTCTAATGATTTAAATAATTTTTTAATTGGAAAATATGTAAATTTTTACCTTTTTTTCGTTTATCTAGAAGTTACGATTATTGTAAAAATATAATTTCGTGCACTACATTTTTGCTGGATATATTTTTTAACTGAAAATGTGCAGAGTTCAGCAACGTCCCTCATCTCTGTACGTAACGGCGCGAACCCGTAATCTCCCACGGGAGTCTGCCAGGGGACTCGAGCGTCCCATTTCCCACTGGGAGACACATAGGAGACGTTTGGGAGCAATGAGTCACCGAGTCTCCGTGTAATCTCGAAGGGCGACCACCAGGAGACTACGAATATTTCAATCGACCAAGACCAACCTCTGTCGTTATATTCTAGGTCATTCGTATTTTTTAAATAAATAAATGTTCAATTATTTATATTTATCGAATTAGTCCTCTTATAATTTTATGTCACAAAACTGGAATTTAACAATTACGTTCAAATATTTACAACAGTAAAATGCATTTAAAATTTTATGATGTTATTTATTTAATCCACCCAGTCAAAGTAGTAGTGTTAGCACAAATGTGGTCAGACACAACTGCAGTTACGCGCGCACGCGGAAACATTTCAAAAGTTCCACCAAACGCATTCGCAACAGCTGATGATGCAGAATTTGAAATTAAAAGATGGTAGTTTTAAAAATTTACATAAAAAATAGGAAATTCAATGAATTTAAATAAAAGTCAAACCTTTAGATTTCAGAACACATTTTTCTTCAGGAAGTGGCGATGGTGATTCTTTGTGAGCTTGAATTTTTTCTATAAGAAATTCCAACCGAGAACTATTTCCTTTAAACAACATTTTTCCTATTATCTTCTTTTATTTATTCTCCCTGTTACTGACAGTTGTTATTTATATGTTTTTTCATTAAACTGTCACGCGTCACAACATATTTTTTTGTATAAAAATATATCACAATTATGTATCAAAAATATAGAAGGCACTCACTTCTTTATGTACTTCAATTTTTTTTTTTGAATTTTTTTATGCAAACAATAAAAATTAATTTAAAAAACAAATAAATTGTTGAATTAACCATGTAAACAACATATTTAAATTACCACTTTAATAAAATCAACACTTTTTACAAATATCAATAATTCTATCAACATGAAAATAAAGTTAGCATTAATTTCTAATAAGTTTTTTGATTTTCCAAATGAAATAAAAATAAGAAAATGAGGTGATAGATATGTTATTGACTGATAAAACATGAATATCGATTTAGTTGATGAAAATCGATGAAAGACTAAGAATAAATGGCTTGCTATTTATGTGTAGATATAAACAGGTAGACCTCGTGGTTGGTTTATTTAACTGATTGATTTTTCTTGTTCGCGGCGGGTGTACTTCTTCTCGGAGGCTATAGTGAGAACTGAAGGGGCCTTCCGTTTATTATCAACCCCGTGCAAGACCTCGAGAAGCAGTTACGGAGTTTGCGGACTCATGGAGAAGGGACCCACACCAAGAGGAGAAGGTGAGGAGCCCCCTTGGGATACCAGCTACCGCATTGGACGGTAGGCGGGCTCGTGAAACACCCACCCCACCAAACACCCCACCACTATCGGTCGTTTATCTGTCATGTCTTCAGCTCTAAACTTCATCAATATAATTATTCAGATGTCTTTTCATCACATTCAAGTGCGATTCTGCTATTCCTCATCATCAGCCTTTTTTACTCGAACAATGCATCTAATCGGAAAGATCGAAAAGTTGTTTCTCAACATCACAGTTATTTTCACCACCATCTTCTATATAATCTTTATTTTTTGTTTATCAAAAAAAATTCTTATTTCAATTTAATTAATTTATTTTTTTTTTTTAATTATTTTATCAACTGATAATTCGTTTATTTAACAGGAATATTACACAGAAGGAATAAATTTGATAATTTTTAGATAATTATTCTTCAGTAATTTGTAATCAATGTAGTAACAAGAAGAACTTTGGAAAGATAACATTTTTAAATATAATCTACTTTAAATGAGTTTCATTAGTCATTCTAGGACAGCATAGGAAACTATTTTTCATTATCACCGGATGTCATTCAAAGTTGAAAGTTTAAAAAAAAAATTAATGAGTGGTCATTTTAGTGAATCTACTAATTACAATAAAACTTGTCAAAATGAGACACATAAAAATTGTGATCTTTAAAACATGATTTAATGATTACACCAGAAGATTTAATAAGAGGAACCATTTGGAAGAATGAGAAAAACTGTGATTAAGACAATCAAAAATAATAGTAGTAAGTTGAATAAAAACTAATTAAGAAAATCAATACTTGAAGTGAAAAAAGAAAAAAAATATTTTTTAAACGAAATCATTTAATACTTTTTAATTACATTCTTGATTTAATAAGGGTTAAAGAGCTGGTATCTTAAGAGTAAAAGAGGGCACAGGTTTTAAAAATAATATCCCTGACTCATCGAATGAAATTTGATAATTATCAAACGGCTGTTTGTTGTTAGATGATATCAAGTAGAGAGATGAAGAAGAAGCAACGGAAGAAGTCAGAAGAGGGAAAAGGGCCACAAGGGAAGAGGACGAAGAGGAGTAAGAGAGACGAAGTATATTATGGGGATGCTAGGATACTCTCATGGGACCAAAAGCAGTCCAAGGCACATGCGCCAAGCTGATTAGTTCTCGTCCCTCTCCGCACTCATAGTGCCAGAGGAGACCAACTGAGTCCTCTGGGATATGAACCCACTCTTCTTCCCTCCCAGATCGACTACCACCCTCTTCTCTTTGCACCATCCACTCTTCTACCTTCCCGGTTTCCGTTACCCTCGACGTGAAACCCTCCCTTGCTCTCTACACTCTATACTATTCCCAGTATAATACCAACTAGTGAGGACTTTTCGCGAGCACATTTGTAAAAAAACTACCCTTAAAGATCATATTTCAAATATTCAACGCGAGTCGCTTCCAATTTTCATATCAATGTACAATATTTATTTTTATATTTACCAGCTTCTCCTGTTCTTTTCTTTCGACTATCCGCATTTTTTTTTGTTTACTAACCACTTCTTCCTAGAACTTAATTATTAAACTTGTTGATAAATTCTCCAACTTTTTCAACAGTTTTTTCCAGTAATTTTGTTTGAAACATTTCTCTGTTTATCGTATTTCAAGAAACTCTCTCATTTGATTCTTAACTTTTACTTTATCATTGTTACTGATTCAGAAAATTTCTCATCAAAGTTGTTAAATAACTTTGTTAACTGTACCGTCAATGATTTTTTTAATTATTCAGTTTATTATAAATTATCTGTAGAAAAATTATATTATATATTTTAAACATATATTCATGATTGCAATATTTGATTTACAGTTTAAGTTTTTTTTATCTCTTCTCTTTAATTTGTCACAATTTAAATAAATAATTTATTTATCACAATTTATTATGCAAAATGAATTCCGAGGGCGTTGAAATTATGCAATAGACTGAAAAAAAAAACAAATATATATTAATGAAACTTAAACTCTCAACAATAATAATTAGATAAACATATCTGTGTAATTAACGAATAGTGTAATACACATGCTTTATTAACATCTATTTTAATACCTGATAAAATCATCCATATCCATTAAACGAGCACGTTTGTTAAGTGCATCAGCATTCTCTAGAGCCTGGTTAATTAAATCTTTTATCTTGAAATTCTCCTCTAGTGGCTAAAAAAAATTTAAAACAAAATTCATGTAAGCATAAATTAACATTTTATCTGTAATTTTTTAGTTATCAACACCTCATTACTATTCTAATTTCAATGAAAAACAAACAGTTAATTTACTTTGTTGTGAAGACTGCAGTGAATTCTGTAATTTTTTTCCAATAATGAGACCACTGCCGTCTGTTTAAATGCCGCCGACAACGTTTTATTTTTTCTTCCAAATGCAATCCTCGTTAATCCATCCCATTCTTGATAATTAATTGGAGGTGGTGGATTTTTTGGTTCTAATCGTACAACACTTGATTCTACTTTAGGTGGTGGCCTAAAATTATTTTTTCCTACTTTCATTAATAAATCAACTCGTGCTAGTAATTGTGTATTCACACTTAGTCTGCAGTATAAACTATTTCCCGGTTTAGCTACCAATCTATCAGCAAATTCTTTTTGAAACATTAAAACTGCACACCTGAAAAATATTATTTTATTACCAAAATATTTGCAATTTCAAAAACCACATGAAATTGTTGGGAGAACAGTTTAAGTGAAATACTTTACCTAAATGTTGGTCGATGAAGAAGTAGTTTAAATACCAACGGCGATGAAATTTGGTAAGGAATATTAGCAACACAGAGATCAAAGAAAGGCAGGTTCGCTTTCAATACATCCCCCACAATTATATCTAACTTTGTTTTAAAAGGGGTTCCTTGAATACGTTTTTGTAATTCTGCGACTAATCTTACATCAATCTCACAAGCTATTACTTTCTTACATCTTTCCAAAAGTTTAACCGTCATATTTCCAGTTCCAGGACCAATTTCTAAGACTACATCTGTAGGCCTTACTGCTGCTTTGTCTACCATACTTTGAATAATCAAGGGATTTTTCAAAATATGTTGACCAAAATCCTTGTTAAACAAGATACCTAATGAAAATAAAAAATAATGTTTAACAAATATTAAATAATTGATCATTTTTAGAATATTTAAAATTATTCAAAAAATTAATTAAGTTCATTCTAAGCTTAAATGAAAATGTTTCAAGAATATTCATAATAAAATAATATACATAAAGATTTAGGAGTAAGACTCGAATCATATTGATAAATAAGCCAAAGTTTATATGTAAACTCTCATAAATAATTCCTTATAACCTTATAGTTATATGAAAAATGTTTTGAAGTAAATTTGAAATAGAATCTCACTTATTATCAATTATCCTTACTATGAACATTATTATTATGATTTAATATTCAATATAAAAAATAAATGGTTTAAAACTAAAATAATGTGCTCTACTCAATTATAGTTTAAAAATAAATTAACAAATATTTTATTTACCTTGTCTAGCAACTTTTTCGTGGACTCTACTCTTCTTTTCTGCTTTAATTTTCGGCATTTTACTTATTTATTAAGTATAAAAATGTTTATAAAATATTGTTTTCAACATAAACACACAGATTAAAATCACGTGTAGATTAAATAAGCTTATTTTTATTCACCATAACCTCAAAATGCACGTTGTTATTGAACTACGTAGTTCCTAAACAAGAAAAAATGCAGGTAATGTAGTGTAATTACTTGTCGATCGAGCAAGTAATATTTTGTATTTTAATTTTTCATTACTCCAAAAGTTAGCGTCACTGTCCTTAACAAGTAGTAACACGTGTCATCTCACTTTCTCTTTGTAAATTTCATAATCTTATCCTTGTTTTGTGAAAGCTGACGCTTCCCTTTAAGTTTCTACACCAATAGGAGGCACGAATGAAATTTACGCACTGAAAGATATTACATACTGACGTGTCCCCAAAACGAATCACTTTGGCAATTCATGATCATTCTCGAACTCTATTATATTATACGCAGAGATACAGTGAACACTGAGCTTATCGCGTAGTGCTAAATAAAACGTACTTCAAATCTAGATTAATAAAAATAATAATATAAAATATCATCATGGCAAGAACATTACATTCTTTCGTAAATTCTTTCTCCAACAGACTGTAAGTATTCCATTTTTCTGGAGTATTATTGAGGAATCACTAAATGTAATATTTGTTTACTTCAACGAATTTAGAAACCATATAAACTATTATTATATCATGTTGATTCTGAAATAACCTAAGAAAAAAAATTAACAATAAAAAAGTGCTCTGTAGTTTTGAGAAAATACTTATGATGTAACAATCTACCATAATAAAGGATTTCAAAATCCTTGAGAAAAATTATATGACATAGAATTGGAGTAAATGTTTCTTTGGATATCACCATTAATATATTGATTGATTATTTCCCTCTTCTACTTTAAGTAAATATAAAACGTTTACTATCGTAAAGGACACGTCAGTCCTGTTGGAAAAGAAATCTTTTGTTAATAAAGATATGTGTATATACGCACACATATGTGTAAATCTTTTGATAAGTATTTTTAATTTAAGAATAAAAGTGTATTGATTTACAAAACACATGAAAGCCGAATATTACTTATTGAAACGGATTGATAAATTAGATTTAGAAAAAGATTTAGTATTATTACAGAGTAAGAATTGTATAATTTATTATAGGGAATGATAAGCAAAACGATGACAATCCTGAAAAAAAGCAATATATATATTTAAATATCCCATTAAAATTTTAATTTGCTTTTTAAACCATTCTTTATTATTAACATCACTGTTTGTACAAAATTATGTATATTATACGTTAATTGAAAGAATTTTACTCCACATTAAAATATGAATAAAAATAAAAAATAATAACAATCAACATTTTATAGTTTAAAAGTTTACAATTTAATGAGAACATCAGATACTGTTCTTCTGTTTATATTATATCATTCAAGACTGATATTATTTTGTAAAAATTATACTTATGTAACAGTTTACACAAAATGGAGTTTATGTTTTTTAAACAATCAATTATTTTTCAAAAATGAACAATTAAATAATAAAACACGAAGTTATTGAAAATAATAATAGATTAGAATGGATCAAATCCAATCATTGGTAATATTTTTTAAAATATCTTTTTTTAACCTTGGAATTTAAATTTGTGCTATCAACAGATCGATTCTCTAATTTAAATGAGAATTGTCATGCTTTCATTATCATAACCGTAGTCATTGTATTTATATTACAATTACAACAAAAGATTGTTATAGAACAATAAATTATTTGTTTCAGGGAACCTCCTCTTAGAACACATCTTAAAAATGTTTATGGCTGCTTGACGTTATCAGCAGTTTCAGCAGCTGCAGGAGCATATGCGCATCTTTTCACACAAATACAAGCTGGCCTCTTGAGTACTCTCGGTGGAATTGGACTTCTTATTGCATTAGGAACTACTCCTGACAATGGCAAAAATCAAAAATTGAGACTTGGATATCTGTTAGGTTTTGCATTTCTCTCTGGTCTTGGACTTGGACCTCTTTTAGAAATAGTAATTGCTATTGATCCAAGCATTATTGTCACATCATTAGTTGGTAAGTATTTTGACGTATTCATTTTATCTTTGTTGTTGATTATAAAAGATAAAGATATATTTCTTCATTTATTATTGTGATTAAAATAAAATCACAATTTTAAATTGTTAAAAAAATAATTGTATATTTTGTAATTTCATAATGAGTAATGTTACTTTTTATTTTACTTTAGGAACTGCTCTTGTATTCGTTTCTTTCACTATTTCATCTCTTTTTGCACCGAGGGGGCAATGGCTATATCTAGGAGGAACTTTAATCAGTTTTTCAAATATCACGGTTCTTCTATTATTGGCAAATATTTTCCTCCGATCGGTATTAATATATCAAATACAATTATACCTTGGACTTTTCCTCATGTGTGGATTCATCGTTTTCGATACACAACTTATTGTTGAAAAATTCCACATGGGCAGCAAAGACTTCATTGCTCATTCTCTTGAATTATTTATTGACTTTTATCGAGTATTCCGATACTTGGTAGAAATTTTGACCATCAAGGTAAGTTTAACGATTGAAAAAAACTGTTTAATCAGTAGAAACCGTCATTTATAAATATATTTTCTATTAAATAAATTGTTTTTTTTTCAGGAGCAAAATAACCGTAAACGTAAGGAGTAAAATAGAGGCGAAATGTGATGAAATATTCGGATAAATCCATTAACTAGAGGTCTTCATCCTTTTCTTATACATAGATTTAAAACATGTACACTCATATAAGTACTTTTAATTCATTAAAAAAATATTGATATATTGACTATAATAAAATAATTATACCATGTTTATACTTCGTTATGATATAACTGAACGATTTTCAAAAGGTGTAAATTGAGTGGATAGAAGTTACTTGTTTAAATGATATTTATTTGAAAAATTTCAAGTCAATTTTTTTCTTCTTTAAATTACACGTGAATTTTATTAATAAAGTGAATTGTTCTATTTTTTCCACAATTATATGAAACAAATAAATTTCTCAGTTATACTTATTGTTGTTTATTTATTTATTAGAAGTATCAACTAAAAGTAATTTATGATTATTAAAACCTAGCTTTACATATACATTACACTCGTAGAAGAGCATGAAAAATTAACATGTCATTGCTTGGATGATTTTTACGTGTGATTCTGATAAACAAAAGTTATGATATACATGAATATCGAAATATCTTATTGAATTAAAAAATGTTGTACAAAATTTGTACAAGATTTTACAATGAGAATTGAATAAATACGCAAGATGATTATTGTATACGATGATAAACAAAGCGTATTTTTCGTCCATCGATTATTAATAAGGTCTCTGACGATCGCGGTCTCTGTCTCCACGTCTGAAATAAAGAATTTTTTGTTATTTATGACATGTATATTTTTTTCAATAAATAATTAAGATATTTAAAAATTAATTATATATTACCCGCCACCTCCTCGCATTGGACCTCCTCGACCTCGACCTCCGCCTCCACCTCCACTTCTGTCACCACTTCGGAATCCACCGCCACCACGGCCTCCTCTATCACCTCTTCCTCCTCGATCACCCCTGAAAATTCAATTAATTTAATCTTTTATTCTATTACAAAACGTGATATAAAAAGTTTTAAATAATTACCTATAACCACCTCCTCGGCCTCCACGGTCGCCACCTCTACTTCCTCCTCTTCCACCTCCTCCACCACCTCCGGATCCAGCTCCTTCTGGTTTCGAACTCTTGCAAAGATTACATTCATTACGCCAAGCAAAGTTAGTGTTTCCACAATCAGGGTTAGGACATCTCCAATCACCACCACGGCCTCCTCCGCCGCCGCCACCTCCGCCATGTCCATCACGGCGATCATCACTGCGATGATGATCATCTCGGTCACCTCGTCCTCCGTAGCTGCTACCACCACGTCCGCGTCCACCACCGCCACCACTACCTCCTCGTCCGCTTCCTCCACGGCTTCCTTGCCAGCTACTTTTATGTTGAGCTATTTGGACTTTTATTGTGCAACCTTTAAAGCTTTTACCATCGAACCAGTCAATAGCAGAGCGTGCGGCGTTTTGATCATCATAAGTCACTGTAGCTTCACCTTTGAATTTTCCAGTATTTTTATCTTTGTACATCCAAACTTTTGGTTTGCCCGAACGTTTATCATTCTGTAAAATGATAAATAAATAAATTTTTTTAATAATAATGAACATTAATTAAATAAAAAAAATAAAATTTATAAAATTTTACTTTAATAAGTCCGATAGCTCCGAAATGCTGGCAAATTTCTTCTTCAGTGATTGCTGAATCCATGCCTGAGACAAAAATGGTATCCTCTTGAACGACCATCCTGTCGTGGCTCCCATTGGAATCACCGTAGCCTCCTGCAACACAATCACCATTAGAATCTCTTATAATAAAAAAAAAAATTTTTTTAACTTCTAACAAAGTCATAACTCATTAACTATTTATCCCTAATCATTACTGTAATTATTCTGATTATTGAAGCAACGATGAACACACTTCGCGACAAAAAAAAAACTAAATCCATTACAATAGATGATGTTGATTTTTTTTAAAACCTTTTTTACCTCATCTAATATAACTATTTTAAAGCTCTAAATACTATTGCTTATGTTAGTTTCTTAAATTTTTCCCCTCGTACATTTTTACAAAACCCTTTTAGTGCAAAACTCTCCTCTTTAATTAAATATTTAAACAAGTAAATGAGTAAATGATCACCATCATAGGTTGTCCTCGATCATCGTAAACCATATTTTATATTATTTTCATTGTCCCTAACGTTCAATGTACTCTTTTAATTATAATTATCCCTTTTTTCATACCCATCTTCATATTAAAATTAGCTTCAGTTGTAGAGTAAATTATAATCAACCATAGTTTTTATTATATCCTACCTACAATTATTTACTTATCAGCGCACACTTACGCGCTTATATAATAATTTTATAATACCCTTACAATAAATTTTTGGTATGTAAAAATTAAATTTAGTAATAAAACTCTAAAGGATATACCCATCAATTATTTTCCATTATAAAACACTTGTTTTATTTTTTGTTCTAACAGAACACTAGGTTGCAGCTTAACATATAAAAGGGCTGCAAATAAATATAATAAAAACCCTTTCTCTAACTTATTACAATAAATATAAAAATTTGTTTATACATCCTTATTCACCAGCTGATTCTCAACTATTAGAATTTTATAGAAAATTAATCCACAGGATATTTGAAATCAGCTTCCATATGATTGACCTTATTTCCACGAGCCTTTTTGTTTTTCCTGATACCATTTCCTGATTAAATTATCTCATCTTAGTAAATTTTTTTCTTTCAATAAATGACAAAAACCAGGAGCTTTGAGTGAAATTTAAAAAAAGAAATTGGTGATGTTCCCTCAATTTTTTCAATAGTTCATAATCACTCGATAAATAATAATCATATTTAAAAAAATATTTGTGCTACTTATTCATTTAATAAAACTATTAATAAATAGGATTAAGCAGCCCTTTCATATAAAAAGTAACCGAGTATTTTAGATTGTAAATATTAGAGTGAATGCGTGAATAGCACCAGACCAGTACAGGCAGTCTGGTGCATTTACCTTTGTTATAACCACCACGGCCACCGCCACTGCTAAAACATAGAAGCAGATATACCAATGAGACGACTCATGGGGACAGACTGATCGATCGATTGATGCGTGGCGATTCATATGCTGCTTGCCACCCCTCTCTGTCTTCTTGATGTACCTACTGTCTAAATGTCATCTATCTTCACATTATAAAATATTCTATGAATCAAGTCTGATAGTCACGGTCACTGTCAATCTGTCAAGTACATGCATGCAAATTTTTATTTTTTATAACTTACATTGATCAATCTAATAATACAAAAAAAAAGAAATGAATTCTCTTCGATAAATTATTTTATTAAAGATTGACAGTAAAATCAATCATTAATAAAACAAAATAATCGCATTGAAATTATTATTCCTTTCGTAAATGATTATTTTTTCTCAATGTAAATTGTTATTAATCAATTTTTTTAAACTTAGAAATCACAAAAAAAAAATATTTTCAGTCAATGATCATCCAACTAATCATTATCAGTCATATTGTTTGTACATATCATACGTCGTATTTTTTTTTTAGGCAAATTTAATTCTTCTTTTTATTACGATTATTCAATGAAACCCATTTTTATAGTTAAATAATCAATAGATAATTAATTATCGCATTGAGAGTGAATAAAGAACATACAGAAGATTGTAAAGAATAATTTTAAAAAAATAAAAAGAAAAGATAAAAACAAAAACTAGTGGAGTGAATAAGAAATCCGCAGATGTAGCAGCAATCCATCAGCAGATCCACTTTCTTAGGTTTCATATTGATATACTTGACAGTTATAAATGTTATTCACCAATCCTACATACCTTAGGATAGGATTAAAGCGCAAAAATTGTTTTCCAATGGAACAACAATAAGTTTACGCATTTTATATAAATAAATACCTTTTTTTCAATAGTTTTAAACAGTTAAATAAATGTATGGATATTTTTCAACCATCTTTACGTCAATTTGTCATATACAACCTGTTATTTTTTTACCTTTATAACCAGTAATACTTGTGATAAACCTGTAGGCACACTTCAATCACATTAACGCCAAAAGGCAAACCATTTTCAGATGAATAAATGTTTGAAGATTTTGTATGTTACATTTTACCATTAATAGTGTATTAATATTTAATACAAGGACCAAACAACCCATTATTATTTATTTTTGGGTCTATTATGGATATAAATTTTTCAATTCTGCTTTGAGGGGAATTTGTTCCCTACTTCGACGCAGTAAAATCGCAGAAAAAATAAAGAAAAAACTTACTTGTATCCACCACCACCTCCACTGCCACTTGAGCGATCGTTGTAGTTACTACGGTCACTCCCGTATCTACCACCACTTCCTCCTTGACCTACAGTTCATTTAGTGAAAATGTATGAGTAAATGATTTTGTCATAATGCACTCATCGAAATGAAAAACATGAAAATTGTCTACAGTATCATTTTTATGGTTACCTCCGTATCCACTAGAGCTTCCTCGATATCCGCTACCTCCACTGCTTCCGTAACTGCTTCCGTAATTATTACCACCACTGCTGTTCTGATTACCAGAACTGGCTCCGAAACTACCCTGATTGTAACTTCCTTGGCCCTGGGATGGATTATAATCTGATGAATTACTACTATTATAGTTGTAACTCCCGTAACTTCCGCTGTTGGGTGGAGGCTGGCTGTACTGACTATAGCTACCACTACCGCTTGATGGTGGAGGGTAGGATGTATCCTGGTCGCCACTGGGTGGCGGTTGACTGTACTGGCTGTAGTTTTGCTGTTGATAGCTTGCGTACTCTAAAAAACATTGATTTTAAAATCTTATTGTTAATTATATAAACAGGGATCAAGAACACGTAACACTAACACTTTCTAAGTTTAAGAATTTGTTTCATTATTTTTGTAAACAAATATGAAAATTTACTGAAAATCACTCCAAAATTGAATAAAACATAAATGAGATTTTTTGTAAATAGTCATTGGTCAAGTAGTACTCTACATCAATGTTTTTTGACATCAAAATCGAAATGGAATGCAGAAATGATCATATTTTGAAAAATTGTGTCTACTGAAGCCATTTTGTTTTGAGATACATATGCTTATCTAAGCATGAACATGGGGAAAGATTATTATTGAATGGCATTGATATTTGGAATACCGAATATATCAAATATCTATACAGAGAATTTAAAAAAAAAAACTGAATTTTCAATACTGCTAGCAAGTAAAGCTAATTAGATATATATTTGAGCGGTTAAAGTAGAATAGTAGTAGAGTTAAATTTTTTGAGTAGACGTTTCGAACATTCGAATTCAAAGATTTTAAATTAAATATTTAAAAGTTGATTAAAAAGATACTTATACACAAAAAATTGAAATTAAAAAAATAATAATTAATTATCTATATACTTACGGCTATCGGTCATGATTACGGTGGATAAAGTAATCACTAAAATGTAAAATAACCCGCGTAATGGCGGGAACTAATCACTGTTGCGATGGCGTCAACAACACGACTGGCTTGGGTCTGAGGATAGATCATGCGCACGGTTTCATGTGAACGGAAATACGTCAATAGTGCTATGTCGACAAGAGCGCTACAATACTTTATTTCCGGTAACAAATACCGGCAAAAATTTGAATACCCTAATTCATCAAAAATTGTAAGGTCTAAATAAATAAGTATAAAACATTATTTAAATAAAATAAAAAAAATAAAAAAAATTATAATTAAACTATTATTATTTATTTATCTGAGTTATAAATACTACTTGATTAAACCATAACATTATGACAATTTGTTCTCAATGACATTGCCGAGTATGTATATAATATTTACAAAAGTGCAGAATCTTTGGAATAAAGCAGATCCGCATATAAACAACACATGAATTGGAAGCGAATATAAATACATCCATATCATATAAGTTTGATATTTTTCTTTTTTTGACTTATTCTTCATTATATCCTCTTCTCAGTACTTTGATCATTGAAAATATATAAATAAAAGAACCCCTCAAGGGAAAAATTGCGTTAAATAAAAATTATAACATTCCATCAAGATACATTTAATCAAATTAACTAACTATTTGGAAGGAAATTAATATAGAAAAAAAACTTAACGATAATGAAACTTAATTTATACGATCCAAAACATAAACCACTGACGCGTTATAATCTGGAAATAAATTTTTTATCAAATGAGCAAAAATTCTCCACAATTGGCCAGCTTATCGAATTGATGAAAAAAAAGTGTAGATCACGAGTTGGAATGCTGTGAAGGTGTGAGTCCACCAGAGTGCTCAGGACTATGTTTTTGTTTTTTCCTCTTCTTCTCTTTCTTTCTTTTCTTCCTAGCTTCTTTTTCTTCATCATGTCTTTTCTGCTTTTTGTGTTTCTTTTCGTGAGTATCCGATCCTCCAATATCAGTCGTTGTGATTTCTTGTCCAGCTGGCACTTCTCCAGGTTTATGTTTATGCTTCTTATGTTTGTTTTTGTGTTTTCTTTGAGGCGCTTGATTTACGTATCGATATTGCTCAGGTAACTGTAAGAGATAATTTATTAGTGAAATAAATAATTAATACATATCACAATATAATTAATAGATATGATATTTACAGGCCCAGGATGTAATCTAAATCCTGATAATTGAACACTAGTTAGTGGAAGCAATTCTTTTCCTCCAATCGGTGGTTTCTCAATTACTGACCTCAGCGAACTTTAAAAATTTTAATAATTAATAACATTGAAATCATAATTCGTCGATAAAATTTTGTTCAATTGATAATTTACCTGTTGTCTTGATGTCCAGGAGTATCGATAATACCAGGAAGATTTGGAAGAAATGAAGAAAGTTGTTCCTTTAACTTTTTACCACTGAATTTACTATATGAATGCTCCAAGCCATGATGGGCCATCAAATTTGAAGCCCCTGTGAGTTCACTTTTTCCTACAAACAATTATTTACTTTTAATATATATTTGAAAAGCTACTTTACGTTTCTCTCTCTCTCTCTCTCTCTGACGCAATAACAACGATACATAAAAATAAAAAATGGAAATGGAAAAAAACGAAATTTTACTTACCAGGAGGTTCTTTCATCAAATAAAAAGGTCCACTGTGAACAATCGAAGGATTTTTTCCAAGAGAAATAGTCGTTTTCAGTGTTCCTGTAGAATCTTGCCGTGATACTACAGGGGACCGAGCTCCCCTCGGTGATGACTTTGGCGAGTATTGCTCAACTTTACTACGAAACTGATCGCCCATCATCATTCCTTCAATGTCACCTTTTTGGTGTAATTAGCCACACAAAATAAATGAATTTAATATTTTAGACGACAGAAATTTTTTTCAAGCCTTAAAAGGCTGATAATCGGCGTGGCTATACACAAACACAGATGATACATATATGATTTCCCACTATTTTACACTTTTCATAAACTCGTGTAGATTTCATGTTGTTAGTACACTTTTATTCGAGGTTAAAACTTATTAATAACGATTTTTATAACAATTTACGAGCCATGTAAATGTAAATATGCATCAACCCACAACATTGTGTGGATGCAATCGTATACACTGGGCATCATGGTGCTCAATAGTACCAATGCGCCATCTTCCGTTTAAAAACAAAAGAAACAAAATAAAAAAAAGAATAAGAAAATGAACCAATAACAATGGCTTAGCAAGTTGTCTAAATTCACGACTTTCCATTCAAAATTTAAGCGAAAGTGACTTTTGATGTGACCTTTTTAAAAGAAATCAACCAGGAAAGTTGATGAGAATTACATACTCGATCTTTATGTGCATCTCTTTAGCAGACAGATTATTTTTCCAATGAATTTTTTGACGGAGTTTTTGATATATCATGTATCAATAAAATTTTTAATACTATTTTGATTAAATCGATTGACGTTGTGTTGAAATAATATGAATATTAGTATAATCAATAATATAAATCTAATTTTATTATAAAGTCACGATCATTGCAACTAATTTTCTCGACTAACTAATTTTTATAGTTGTTTTAATACTATAAAATTTATTGATTCAATAAAACCATTAATCCATCAATAATAATATCACTACCATCTTAATTATAAAAACAATTATTTCATGAAATAAAACTAAATAATTGTAATGTAATGAAAAATTTCATTTTTTAAACGGTTTTTACTCGAGTTCAGCTTTAAATTTGATGCTATTTTTTGAGGACATCTATTGATGGTTAATGGAACTAAGTTGCCTACATTGGTGTACCGACAGATATGACATTTGCACATACATAGGATTATCTCTCTTATTCGTGAATGTTCTATGGTCTTCTAAGCAAAAAGATGTCGCACCGAATCCTGAAACAGTTGTGATCTTTCCTTCGTTCAGTTGCGGCAGTCCGCCATACTGTTTTGCCGCAGTGTTTGTTTTGGTTTGATTCACAGTTTGCACCAAAAATTAGACCAAATTCGTGATAAAAATAGGCAGAAGGGCAAAGTGCATATTTTTCAATTAGTAAGTTGATAAATAAAGGCAATAAGCTTGAATTTAACTCATTTTGAAAGTAAGGCCTACATAAAGGCTACTGTCATCAGCGCCTTGTCGTTGTCAGTCTTAAACGTGACGGTGAACATTAGAAATGGCCTGCGCCACCCTCAAAAGATCTTTGGAATTCGATCCAGTCCACAGCCATGGACGACCCAGTAAGCGAAGAAGATGCGTACCAGTATGTGTATCACCAGGAAGTTCAACTCAAAGAATACCTAAACAGCAAAACCCATCACCATTCGGAGAAGTCGCTCACAAATTGACGCCTGGTAATTATTATCAATTGTACGGCCATTTTCTCCCCTGTTCAGGCACAAGTTATCATGGGAAATAGGGTTTTAATTTCATATTAGCATTTTTTAATATTTATTCAACGAGTTCGTTAAGGTCAGGTTTGGATTAAATCCATTGGGAATAACGAATGCTCAAACCCACGCGTAAATCATATGGTAATGTTGTAACGGACATTCGGGTGCTATCCTTTTTTTATATGGCTTTAGATGGCGACACGATAATTCCAAAAAAATTTATTTGATAGGTTTTTTAAATACTTTAACAGAAATTTTTTGTATACCTTTTTTATGACAGGTTAAATCGAATATGGGACAATTGATCTTTTTCAAACAATTTATATTACTCGTTTTGTCATGCTCCTTTTTATGATTATGATTAGTAAAAATTAATTCAATTAATTTTTTTAATTTACAATTTTAACGAAAAGTGATTTTAGAAAAAAAGATTCCAACAATGTTTTATTTGTTTAAATGAAGTGTAATTAGTATAATAATGTGAAAATTTTAGAAAAAATGGCTGCTAACATCAGAGAAGAAATTCGCCGACTTCACAAACGCAAGCAACTACATTTCAACCCTCAGCAAGGTAACAGTAGTGGTTGTGATTCTTCAGATATGGAAGGTCCTGCAAGTCCATCTGGCTGTGCTTCAAATTCTTTCAGTAGCAGTCCGAATGGTCGAGAGAAACCATTATTCACGTTCAAACAAGTGCGTTAATGTGTTAAATTACTGCATATTAATTTAGTGTTTTAAGTCTGAATGAAATTTTAATATTCAACTGTGAACTTTCTGCAGGTTGGATTAATTTGTGAAAGAATGCTCAAAGAGCAGGAAACTCAAATACGTGAGGAATATGATCAAATATTAAACATGAAGCTTTCTGAGCAATATGATGCTTTCGTCAAATTCACGTACGATCAAATTCAAAAAAAATTTGAATCTGCGGCTGCACCGAGTTGTAAGTTATTTTTTTCCATAGTTATAATAATCAGTTTTATAAACTTCTATTACCATACTATAATAAATATTATTTATTTCATTATAGATCTATCTTAAATTAAAGTATATACCTCGAAGACAGAATACTGTGAAGAGAGTTAGGTAAGCGAGCATCATATAACAAATGTTTTTAGTAAAAATTGTTTATAATAAAAAGATGGATTGTTTATGAAACATCTATGTTTTTATAATAGATTTTTACTTCATAAGAGGAAAATTTCGCTGGAAGTTTAAGCTAAAGTAGTTTTAATACTGCCTCAAATATATAAGATTGTATAAAATCAATTGATTTGAAAAAAGTGATCATCATATTTGAGGATTTCAACAATCGGCAAACACGGAGGAAGTTTAGTGAAGTAAGTTGAGTAAATTTGGTAGTTAAAAATGAAATAATTCTAAGTTCAACAAAAAAGTAATGAACAAAAAATGTCGATAATCGATCGACAATTTCACGATTATATTAGAGAAAAAATTAAGAATATTTGTACTGTCTGATGTTTAAGCGCAGTGGTATCAGGGAACTTCATAACTACGACTATTCAAGTCCCTAAACGCTAAAATACTTTTAAAATTTACAACGGTTAATATAATACTTATTAGTCGTTATAAAATAATTTTGACTTTGCACAAATTCTTGCTGAATTGATTTTTTGTAATAGGAAATTATACAAATGTTGAATTGATAAAAACATATAAAATAAAAAAAATTAGCATTAAAAAGTATTGACAAAGATATCAATTAAATGATTATACATTTACACGTTTACACTTTAGCTCAGTACCTTTTTCATAAATTGTACAAAGTCTTTAGGTAAATAGAAAATATCTTTGAATAATTTCTACATAAAACGTTTTTGATACCAACAATTAAAAAGATTTTTAATGAATAAAAACTTCATTCTATTTGCGCTGTACATTGCGCACATTCATATTTCATTTACTGTTAAAATTTTTAAGTTTTCCATGATAAATTATAAATAAAACATTAGTGTTTACTAAAATACAGCATTTAGATTACAATCTAAAACTTGATTTTTTGTAAAAAAAATAATGTGTTCATCTTTCATACTATTTAAACGGTACTATCATTATTATCATCATCATCATCATTTATTGTTTAATAAACAAAATCCTATAGTTAATGAACTACATACTTTTGTACACATTTGCTTCATAGATCACTTTAATATTCATTGAGCAACATTTATAAATAAATTAATAAAAAGAATATAGTAATGTTTAAAATTGTAGTAGGATGTACGGATAATTTATATAAACAAAAAATAAACAAAATTTTCAAAGTTAATAAAATTTTTTCGTTCCCTGGTAGCCAATCGCTTGATTAAGCGCAATAAATTAATAAATATTATAGTAAGTAATAAACTTATATTAATGAATTCAAACAGTTATCGTGCCTATTGTAGACATTACTTGTTTAAGATTACAGATTTTCGCAAACATAGTTATTACTAATTATAATTGTAATTAAACCGAACTATTGTTTTTCCTTATTCTCATTGTGAATAATGATAACCCATCACAAAAAATGAAGTGTTATTTTTCAATTCTTGATTCTTTTCTTATAAAATATAAATAATAAACGTTAGGTAATGTAAATTTCATTAGTTTTTAAAATATACATTTGTTTCATATTCGTCCAAATAATTAAACGATCTGTTACCTTTTCAATCTCCCAGTTGTTGGCCATATGAATGAAATGAATCTACTGGGACATATATAAGAAAAACGAGTTTGTAATAAGGATTTATATTTTTCTGATTTTTCTTATGCTCAGCTTATAACCAATAGTGATTATATTTATTATTAAACTAAACAAAAAAAAATATTAAAAAAATTTAATACTTAGTTTTAATAATAGTAATCGTAACAAATAGTTAATTAGATAATTAGTTAGATAAGAATAATGGTTGCGAAGTGAAATTTAAAACTGTACTATTCATTATTAAAATTATCCGTGTTATTTTGTTACATTAGTTGAAATGAAAAAATTCATGTTTGATAATTGGTTAATATATAATTTTTTTATAATTTAGAGCTTATTGTGCATCGTGATAATGTAAACCAGTAAAATGATTTAATATAAATTAGATTAATTTAAGTAATAAATCTAAAAGTCACGAAAAAATTGGGCGTTTCTTATTTTTTTTTATAAAAAATAGAATATAATTACCTTAATTGTCATTAAATAAATAAAAATGATCTAAACGATTGATAGCGTCACAGATGCGTTCAATTTTTCAGTGAAATAACGTAAGTCATGTATACTCAAACAATTACAATAATTTATAATAAATTGAGTACTAATAATTCAAGTAATAAAATCGAACGAATAAAAGATCGTAAAAAAAAACTCCTTGAGAACGTAATTCCTGCATGGTATTTTATTTTCAAGGGCTAAAATACCTCTATAAAATGTAAACTCATTATTGAAATAAAGATAATTCTTAAGACTGAATGTTTCTATGATTTTATTATTATACAATCCCTAACTTGATATAATTACTTATCGATAGGTTATATAAGGTCATGAATCGATGAGATGAACAATTTATAGTGACGAAAATTCAAAAAATAAATGTAAACCTTATAAAATTCTAGATTAGCTAACAATAATTAAACGATGAATGTTTTTTTAATATTTTCACTTCATCGTTAAAAATGTACTGTACCAAGTGTCACACGTGCTTTGTGGATAAAAAAATAGCTTATAAATCGTGTTAATAGTTTTTATGTAAGGGTAATTCTATTAGAAGTGTGTATGGCTTCACGTGAAGAAGCCCTACCGTGACTATATTTACTCGTAGACGAGTCCTAGTTAATTGTCACTTCTGGGCGGGAAACAAACCTTAGCTATTCTCCGGGAAATTTAATTACGATAAAAATGTTTCCTCTGTTGCTTTTAGCCTACGTTGTGGCTGTAAAAGTTTTTAAAAAAGTTACACCTAATGGTAAGTTACATTACTTTTGTTATTTAATTGTTATTTCTCGCAAAGTTCTGGTGAAATTTACGTTTTCAAATTATTTTTATTCAGGCAAGCTTACAGTTTATCTCGGTAAACGAGATTTTATAGATCATCTAGATCGTGTGGACCCGATTGATGGAGTAGTTGTGGTTGAAAATGATTACCTTCAAGGACGAAAAGTTTATGGCCAAGTAAAAATCTCTATTATTTAAAAAGGATTTTGTTGTATTGTTTACGATTCGAATTCTTCATATATTACTCCATTACTAGGTCATTACAACTTACCGATATGGTCGCGAAGAAGACGAAGTCATGGGTGTCAAATTCAGTAAAGAAATGGTACTTGCCCGTGATCAAATAATACCAGCAAAGAAAGAAAAAATTGAAACAACACCAATTCAAGACCGACTTCTTAAAAAACTTGGCCCCAATGCCTATCCATTCACTTTCCACTTCCCACAAAACTCTCCAAGTTCCGTCACTCTTCAACCTGGTGACGATGACCAAGGTAAACCTCTTGGAGTTGAATACACTGTCAAAATCTACGTTGGTGAGAATGAAGACGATAAAGGGCACAAACGTTCATCTGTAGCTCTCGCGATTAAAAAACTGCAGTATGCACCAACCTCTCGTGGACGAAGACTTCCTAGCTCTCTAGTATCTAAAGGATTTACATTCTCTAATGGAAAACTCAACCTTGAAGTGACTCTTGATAAGGAAATCTACTATCATGGAGAAAAAATTGCTGCAAATGTTATTATTACTAATAATGCTAGAAAAGCTGTAAAAAATATTAAGGTATTGTCACTTCAGTTAATTATTATTAATTTTATGCAGAAATTTTTATTTTCAAATTGGTTAATGATTTTTTTTTAATCTATCCAGATGTATGTTGTACAACACTGTGAAGTAACAATGGTAAACACACAGTTCTCACGACATGTAGCCAGCTTGGAAACTCGCGAGGGCTGTCCTATTACACCTGGAGCCAATTTCACTAAACAGTTCTACCTTGTGCCTTTGGCCAGCAGCAATAAAGATCGTCGTGGTATTGCTCTTGATGGACATCTTAAAGTACGTTTCCCCTAATGCCTAATTTTTATAAAGTTTAAAAAACAAATAAATATTTATATTTAATACTCTGTAGGAAGATGATGTCAATCTAGCATCATCTACCATGGTTGCCGACGGTAAATGCCCTGCTGAAGCAATGGGTATTGTAATTTCATACTCTGTTCGGGTAAAACTCAACTGTGGTACTTTGGGTGGAGAGCTTGTTACTGATGTTCCATTCAAGCTAATGCATCCAGCACCTGGTGCAGTTGATCGAGAGAAGGCTATGAAGAAGACCAAGAGCATCGACCGAACACGTTATGAAAATTCTTGTTATGCAAATGATGATGATGATAACATTGTCTTTGAAGATTTCGCTCGACTTCGATTAAATGAGCCTGAATAAATTCATTGTCGTGATAAAATAATTAAAAACAAAATTGTCGGTGCTATCTGATTATTCTGAAAGGGTAGAATGATGAATTAAAATAATGTGAATATTTTGTTAATTCTTGTTAAAACAGTAACAAAGAGATAATGAAGACTATTGATTGATTTTTTCAATCGGGGAATTAATTACGAATGGTATTAAATGCAGAAATTATTTCTGCTTTTTTTATGGTGCTTTTAGTGACAAAAAAATTTAAGAATCCTCTCAGAACAGTCAGATAAATTAGAAAAGCATAAGGAAACAAGAAATATAACAACGAAAAAAACAGTTTAACTGAATAACAAAAATAATAAATATAATTAGTTATAAGAATTTGCTGCAACTATAAATAAAAATTATTAAAAATTTAAAAAAAAATCGAAAAAAATATCGAAAAATACATTTTTCTCGTCTCAGAATTACTTTTTGATAGTGGTGGTCAAAAAGGAATTCATTAACAAGACGAAAAAAAAAAATATTCAAGTAAGATATTAATTAATATTATGTATTACATTTAAGTTTAAAACTTTCCCGTTTTTCCAGAAGTGACTAACAATCTTTATTGATTTATTTAATATTATAGTATTAATCTTACAGTTTATTAACTATAATGTATTAATTCTTCATATTAATGAGCTGGTTCAATGTGTTAAACGAAAGTAAATTGGAGAAAAATAAAAAATAAAATGATATTATTATTTTGATCTTTATTTTTAATTCAATATAAATTTTCTGAAAAATGTTTTAAACTTGTTAAATAAATAAATATTTCAATACGTATAATAGATTATTTCATTCTTTGTTTTGAAAACTCAATGCCTTAAAGTATAGCAGTAAATACAATTATTTTATATAAAAAGAATTATTTATTCTAGTCTTTATACAAAATGATGGATTTATTTGTAACTTTGAAAAAATAGGATATAAATTCGATCTTTGCCATAATTTTCAGTCATACATATGTGAATAATATTCCTGATACGTTTGAATGTATGCTTCTTTTTCTGCTGGTGTCATTTCTGCGATCAGAGTATCATTGACATCAGTAATAGCAACACTTTTTCCACCAACACTGACTGTTGGTATCAAGTCATCTTCTTCAGAGTCCATTATTTCTATTTCACCTATACAAGTTGTAAAATTATTCAATTTCAATCAAAAAAATTAAAAAAAAAACTAATTATTTTGAATTTAATGTTACAAACCTGCATCAACAGCTTGCATTTCACCACCATCTTCATTATCACTGCTATCGCTAGAGTCTTGGGGAAGAACAGTTTTAACTGCATTCGCAGTTTTCGTACCTCCTTTTTTCTCATGAGCCAACAATACTGACATAATATCATCTTGTTTATTATTTGTTGTTGATATCGTTGTTGTTGCTGTTGCTGCAGCTTTATCAAGAATGTTATCTTGGTTATTACTACCATCGACATCAGTTCCATCATTAATAACAGTGCTTTCCAACATCCAAATTGGTCTCTCTTTTCTTTTCGTTGCTGAATCGTCAGTTGTTTCATCTCCTATTGTTACGTCAACTCTTGTATCCTCCACTGCAAATCCTGACGTTCTAGATGCTTCTCCAGACCATTGTTCTCCAGGAGCACGCAAACTGCTTGGCTTTCTTGTATCCAGTCTGTAAAGTACATTTAACATCATATTTTGAACATATAAAATTACGTATATTGATTTTGAATTGAATTGTACCCTCGAATTGTATTAATGTCCACAGGTTCTGGCTCTAAGATTTCTGGAGCTAATTTAATTCCTTCAACTTCTCGTAAAAGAATATAAAGTGGTTCTAACTGCTCGTTAAATTTTGCAAGTAGAAGACGAGAATCTTTTTTTGGCAGTGCTGATTGATCTTCTTCTACTAATTCTCGACAGAATGTACACCGAAATTCATCTGTCGTCATATCAAATAATTGATCTGCCTAAAAATAATATATATTAGAATGAAATTTTTCAAGTAATAACCATTAATATAAATAATTTTTTTTTATACTTACTTCAAGATCAGTAAAGGTTTTGGAACAATTTGTACATTTGAAACTAGCTCTGCTAGTAGCATCTCTTTCCTCTGTTTCTAGTCTTTTTCTCATGAGATCTAGTTTGTATTTAACTACGTTTACAAAAGTCTACAATATTTAATTCAAAAATCTCAATATAAAATTATCCAATACAATCATTAATTTAAGTTATTCTCATTTTTGCTTACCTTATAATTAATAAAATAATAATTCACTTTTTGTGCTTTTCCATCTGATCCAGTTTCCATTTTTAATCTAACTTGAATAAATTTATCATTTTTTAGTGTTGCTATTCTGGCTCTTAACATTTTTCTTTCAAATTTCAATAATTCACATATATCATCTTCTTTCATACCTAAAATGATTAATATATTAGAAACAACTATATCTATCAATAAGTAGCTTTATTTGAATAGTTATTCTTACATGGATTTCTAACTAACAAATCAACAATTAGGACATCTTCAACAGCATAAAATCCTCGAACGACAAGTCTTGCTAACTGTTTTAAACTACTTGGAACTTCTGTAACTAGTCTTTCTTCATTACTCATTGTGTTTTATGTATATTAAGCTGTATACTGCTGAAAAAAAAATAAGATACATCGAATAATTTCAAGTAGACAACATATCAATTGTTAAAAGATTACAACTCCGAAAAATTTAGTTTGCATTTTTATCTATGATGATAAATAAACTAACTTGTTGAGTGTAGAAAATGAATAATCGATGATGTTTTTAAAATAGATTGATGAAAAACACAACTGTTACCAAATACATTCATATATTACGAATAATTAATTCAACCAGGGAAAGCTTTGTAAACTGCGTATTTACAATTGTAAAATTATCTTCGAACATAGTTGATCCATATTATAAAACATTGTATTGAAAAAGTAAAAATTTCTAATTATTTATAATTTATTTACTACATATGTACAATACCTATGATTAAAATAATATTATAAATAAACAAAAATTCGTATTTGGAACAAAATAAAAAATTGTATTCAATTGTTTTCCGTTATAAAAAGTACATTGTACTGAATAAATAGTTTTTAGATTATACAATTATTTTATAAGAAAAAAATTAAAAATAAAATATTCTAAATTGTTGTATACTAACCTCAAAATTTCAAATAAATTTTATTTGCCAAATATAATCTTATAATTGATATATTAAATTGAATTTTAAAATAACATGGTAATCATTTATACTTTATATGAAAATAATTTGCCAATAAGAATTATTTATTGACATGTGTTACCGCATTATTTATAAATTTATTCACAAGTTTCCAAAAAACCAACAACTCAGAACGCATGCGGATTCCCTCTAAGTTTTGATGTGAACACAAATGACACATATCGACGACATTGGAGCATTTACAAAATTGAGGTTAGATTCAATTGTCATTTCATACAGTAACGTGTTACATGTGGACATACGAATTGTCAAATCAATTTAACCTACTTAAATAAATAAACAAAACAATAATCCATTAGTTAAGAAACAAATGAGAATACAATTTATTGGAAATAATGTTCGATGGCAGCAATGTCACGTTTCACAAAGTGAAAATCGTTGTTGTAGGAGATTCTGGTAAGTTTTTTCTAATGTTTTGACTACTCTCTTATCGAAATTTAAAGCACTGACGTGGCTTTGTAATATATTATCATTGTTTATTAAAAAACTAACATACAATACATTTAAATTAGGAATAAATTATTTACTTATTTAAAAAGAATATAGATGTACAGCTTAAGGTTTACTCCATTAATAAAAATTTAATTACTTATAATTTTTATAAATTTATTTGATTCAAAAATATTTAATTGTTCATACAAATTTGTTTTTATCTATAGGAGTGGGTAAAACATCTCTTACACACCTGATATGTGAGCAACAACCAATAACTAATCCAGCTTGGACTCTTGGATGCTCAGTTGAAGTTAAATTACATGAATTTAAAGAAGGTACTCCATTTCAAAAAACATATTTTATAGAATTATGGGATGTTGGTGGTAGACAGAGTCATCAGAATACTAGACATGTTTTTTACAACCCTACTCATGGTAATTAGTAAAACAATTTCTTTCTTCGACAACTCGATATTTGTAAAATAAATGTATTCATCTTTGTTCTATTTATCAGGAATAATCCTGGTTCATGATCTTTCTAATAGAAAATCTGAACAAAATCTACAAAAATGGTTACAAGAAGTTTTAAGTAAAGATGGAAACAACGGGAAAAATAGACAGTTTGATGATTTTGATCCAGAAAGATTTGTTGGTTCTACACAGGTAACAAATCGTATTTTTTGCTCATAAAGTTTAAGTTTGGACATAAATCTTATCATAACGTATACGTATACATCTAAGTTCATATGATTTAGATTCCAATATTAGTGGTTGGGACAAAATTAGATCTAATTGAATCAAAATCGTATCTTCATCGAAGATCATCAACAATAGCTGAAGAGTGTGGTGCTGATGAAATATTTTTGGTAAAATTTTACTTAAATAAAGTTATATCTTTTTAAGTTTTAATAAATTATTATAATATAATGTAAGTATCGACAGTTTGATAGATACAAAGATTTTTCTAAAATAGGACTGTCTTCATGTGCGGTCATTAGCAGCAGGAACCACATCATCGGTAAAACTAAGCAGGTTTTTTGATAAGGTTATTGAACGACGTTATTATGGAAATAAAGATATAGCAAGCCCTGAGAAAAGAAGACTTCATGCTTACACACCTCCATATTCTCAAAAAATTTATCATAATGATTAAAAATAACATTTCTCCACCAATTTCATAATATATGATAATCTTTTATAAATGATGTGATATGAATGGCCTTAAATTATTGAAATTTTAATGGTCTTTACAATCTCAATACAAATAATAATAACAAAATTAAAAATGTGTTAATAACTTTTTTTTTCTTCACAATGACAAAAAAAAATTTTAATTTATAAAATTCATTATCGATTTGAATAATCAATATGATTTTCTCATTATTATTCCGAGAAAATTCAAACATTCCTAATAATTTTATTAATTTTTATAAATAGTTTAGTTACGATTACAAACAAAAAATAGGATAATTATGTATAACTTAAGAAAAAAAAATAATTACTTTATTATCTGTTTTAATGTAGGTAAATTATATTATATCTGCAAAATTGTATTCATTTTTTAAATAAAAAACAGTTATAATTATATTTATTTTATTTTTAATTTGATCTAAATTCAGTAAAATTTTATATAATTACATGATAATTTTTATAAATCAATTGAATTATAAATAGTTATGAACGCTAGAAAACGTTAAAATTGAAGCGCCAGCTGTTTACATGTGAATGTTTTTAGATTTGATAGTAGAAGTTGGCTATAGAGCATTCAAATGTTCCTGTACATATGTGACTGTTGTACTTGTGTATATACCCATTGCTGCTCTTCAACATCTTTCGAATATAAACTAGCATTTTAAAACAATATTTTTTCAAAAGTTATTAAAAATGGCACAAAATATTAATCCATTTTTTTCATCTCCCAGTGCAAACAGCAAAGCAAAAGAAGAAAAGCCAAATATACCAAAGGATAATCATGCTGTAAGCAAACGGTAAGTGACACTCGTATTCCAAGCAGCGTCTAGGATGAATAGAGCAATAAATGTTTAATAATCATGAATATTTTCTACTAATTATCATCAATTCACTTGCTATAACTATTTGGGATTATTTTTTTACGGTAAAAAAATTATTTTTAAAATTTATGTTTAATTTCAACCTTCAATTTAACTGAAAATTTGAATGTTTTGATTATTTGACTTGTATTTGTCATGGGTCAATGTTTTCTTTGCTTCTTCTTTATTCACTAATGTCCTTAAATCCATAAATCATTGAGAAATTTTATTTTGATTTGAAACGAATCTAACATTTGAATAATTATTTGTTTATAGACTTCAAAAAGAGTTAATGGTTTTGATGATGTGCACGGAAAAAGGTGTGTCTGCTTTTCCTGATGGAGAGAATTTATTCAAGTGGATTGGAACAATAATCGGCCCCATAGATACAGTAAGATAAGCTTTTACAATAAAAATATTTTTTTGCAACTTTTGAGTATTTCTTAATCTGATGTAACATTTTTGTCTTTTTAGGTATATTCTGGATTAACATATAAATTGACATTAGAATTCCCTCATAGTTATCCATATAGTGCTCCGATAGTTCGTTTTATGACCCCCTGTTTTCATCCCAATGTTGATCATCTGGGTAATATATGCTTGGATATACTCAAAGACAAATGGAGCGCTTTGTATGATGTCCGTACTATTTTATTATCAATCCAGTCACTTCTTGGAGGTAAGTTTTATTGTATTGAAACATTTATTATCTACAATAATTCTATATAAAATAAAAACTATCTCACTTTATGAATTACTTATTCAAAAAACAAATCATTCACTACTTTCTCACTTTGATGGAATGTTAATTAATGATAAATAATCAATACATTTCATTAAAAACAACGAAATAAAACAATTTAAAAATTTTTTCAGAACCAAATAACGACAGTCCATTAAATGTACAAGCAGCAGAATTATGGAATGATCAAATGAAATACAAGAAACATTTACTCGAAGAATACCATAGAGAAGTTGATCGTAATTCACGAGATTCATGATAAGCAAAATTTTTCCATTTATTATTCATTTATCTTAAATATATCATCTTTCATACTGCGTCATACTATTAAGAAAATGATTAAACAAAATAAAGGAAAGAGCATGTGCTCGAGTTAATAACTATAAAAGTATGACATGTGTGGCTAAGTTAAAAATTTTAGTTGAAACACAGTTTGTATAAGATACATTATGTTAAGGTAGTGTGAACTTAATTAAAGAACTAATGATTATGATTGATTGGTTGACACATTCGAAGCCACATCTAAGTCGTACGTTAAAAAAAATTGATTTATTGCCTGTAAAATGACGATGGCTTTTGTAGAATTATTTGCAATGATATCATTTACTATTCATTATTTATTTCATTTTACACTATATAATATTTGACATTGCCATACGCAATAGCTGTATACTTCTCTTTATATTCTGATATTTTACTGTCATCTAGTTTTCTGAAATAAATATTTTGAATGTATTTATTATTTTATGTTTAAATCAATCACTCGAAATTCTATTTTTCCCTGATATTCGTGCATTCACATATTTTTCTTCAACTGTATGTATTGCAATTATTAATATTCAAAAATGAAAGATCATCGACCTTGGACTCATGGCTAACAACTTGATAACAGAAAAAGATAGAAGCCAACTTAAAGTAGTTTTATCATTTTGGACCTTGTTCTCTACCAAAGGATTATAAAATGAGCTTGAAAAATCTTTCTAAATTGCGGAAAATTCTTTTTCCCAAGTCATTATCATTGAACGTGATAGACAGATCAATATTCATCAATATGCGAAAGCTATCGACCACCTCTAATGCAGTTGAGGTAATTGATGCTGTCAGCCATTCATTAGTTATGTATGGCTATAGACAACTGAATAGCGAGACGTGCTAAAAAAAGGCGGAGAAAGGTATGAAATCAAATACTGTTTTTCAAAGATATTCTTTCATTATTGTTATTTTACTACTTTTTTTCTTAATTAACTATGTAGTATTTGATTTCATTACTTTCACCGATACTTCTGCATTTGTCTTTGGCATTTAATCAACTGAATGAATAAAAAAACTATATTTTAGGAGAAGAAAGTGCACGTTAATGGAGTTGACATCAATTATGTCAAAACTGGATTAGGAGCTCACCCAGTTTTATTGCTTCCTGGTGCTTTAGGTGAATTTTCAGCTTTTATTCAATTATTTGAAAACATATTTAATATGTATCTATAAAAAACAGAGAATTAGAAAATATGAGAATATTTATAATTAAAAAATTTTATACTGCAAATTATTTAATGTTTTAGGATCTGGATGGACTGATTTTAAACCTCAGATTGAGAAATTAGACAAAACAAAGCTGACAGTCGTTGCTTGGGATCCACCAGGCTATGGAAAATCAAGACCACCAGATAGAATTTTTTCAAAAGATTTCTTCGAGCGTGACGCTCAGTACGCCCATGATTTAATGAAGGTACTAGGATTTTCAAAGTTTTCTCTCATAGGCTGGAGTGATGGAGGTATAACTTCACTTATACTGACGGCTAAGAATCCAGAAAGTGTTGATAAATTAGTCATTTCTGGAACTAATGCCTACATTCTTCCTCAAGAAATCAAGATCTATGAAGGTAAGCTAAGAAAAGATATTAACTTATTTTTTCTATAAATAGATAAAAGATTCATTTATGCATTTTTTTACTATTACAGGTATAAGAAATATTGATTCATGGTCTGAGCGTATGAGAGCACCCTTACTAGCTCTCTATGGCAGAGATTACTTTCAAAAAATGTTAAACGCGTGGGTAGATACAATGAGTAATATTTACCAGACGAAGAATGGCGACCTTTGTAAAGACTCAGTTACACAAATTAAATGTCCTACACTAATTATGCATGGAAGAAAAGATGTTATGGTTGACCCAGAACATCCGGTTTTTTTAAAAAAGAATATTCCAAACTCAAAGTAAGTATGATTATGTACGTTAACGCCCTTAAAAATTTTAATATTCATAATAAAAAATAATCTAAATTACCTCTAACATGAAAAACAATAGAATTAATGTTCTCAATTTCGTCTCTAATTTTCTAGGCTGGAATATTTCAATAATGGATCACATAATTTTCATCTGAAATATCATGAAGAATTTAATAAAATGGTGACTGATTTCATTATCAATAATAACTAAAAATACCGTTTTTTTATTGTTCCAAATATTCATATTTCAGAAATAATTTTTATGTAAATACTTTTGATTTTGTAAATATATCAGAACTGACATTTAAAAAATGCTGCTTGAATTTTAAACTTGTTTACCTAGACAAAAAACAAAAATAAAACAAAAAATTATGAGAAGTGTAAGAATGATACAGCATAAGTTTGGACAAAATAGTTTAACAAGAATTTAATTTCTAAAGATATGATGTAGGTGTTTTACATTCCACTATACATCAACCAAAACATAATATGCATTAATTTGAATAAAAATAATCATCTATTTTTGTCATTAATCATTGCATCATTTTTCATTAAAATATCCATTGTATAGATGGATTGACTTGAAAGTCGTTTAAAGACTTTTAAATTAACCATCGCATTAGAAAGAATAGAATAAACTAAATCAGATGATTATTTGATTGCCAACCTTTAAGTATATGTACAAGACCACTTAGAAATGCTCCGTTGAATGTGATAAATTGTATCGAGCAGTACATCAATGAAGTAAAAAGTCTGTAACCACACGAAACGTCCACACCCTTCCGTTCAATTTCGTGTATTCTGACTTTTTTACTTGAAGTTACTTATACTTTCTTCGGAACTTTTGTCAAATATTATATTGAAAGTATTTCTAAATAAAACTAAACATACTTGCAAACATTAAAAAAATATTATAATTGAAATCAATATCAGGATGAAAGAATTTTCTGCTCTACATCAGGCATCAATTTACTTAAATTCAGTTTAATCATTACAAGAGATTTTTTTTTTGGCTAAGAAGCAGCAGACTGTTATAAAACAAAATCGATTCCTATCCTGAAGCCTCAAGTCCTCGCAGTCGCTATATATCGATGCGCTAGAGTGAGTTCTACATTTGATGAGTCTGAGACAGGGTTGGGTGACCAGAAAAATCGATTGAATTGTCGACATGCTTCATTGCTATTTCCTTATTTCTAATTGTCTTCCACAATTTTATTTTCTAATATATTACATCTTTAAAGTAAATATGACCCTAAAATAAAATTGCTGTTTTATTCTTACTTCCACAATCAAGACTTATGAACTCTCAGAAAACTAACACGTAAGCTAAGTAGAAAGTGGACTGTTCCACTTGTAAGCGATCATGCCTTTTCTGAAAGCCTCAAGTGAATTGAATGAATCCCAATTTCATTCTTTTTTATTATTCGTCATTTTGTAATTCTTTTTATCAGTAGAAACACGAATGATTTTGATATGAATATTTTTACGACTTCTACCGAATTATTTGTATGTGAACTGATAATCTCATGACTTTATGACCTTAACTGATCTGTAAAAAAGACTGTCGCAGTAAGTGGGAGTATGATGGTCATTTAGTAAATTGAACCAAACCTTTAGAAACCTTTAGAGACTTTAGAAGTGAGATATTTTTGATTTGTCTAAATTTTTATTTATTTTGTTCAATGTAACAAATGTAATTTATTTACTCAATGATTTTTTATTCTTCCGTTTTATCACCTAAATTAAGGGAATTATAATTTCTTACTTGATTCCAACCAATCAGCGGATTGAGTGAATTAATTGACGATTATCAATAGCATCTCCGTAACTAGCTATTTTTTAATTAAAAAAAAGCGTTGACTCACATTCATTTTAAAATTACTCATTTGTTTTTCAGAATATTATATAAATAAAAATTTATTATCTTAGATCTATGTTAAATATAATTTTCCATTGATTTTTTATTGACATTATGAGAAAATGTATATACTATCAATAGAAAATTCTTTACTGGAATAATCAGTAGACAGTTTTAGAAAATATTCATAATTAATCCATGTATATATCGATGAATATCAAGGTTTATTTCATTTATAATCCATAAAATCATCTAGATCATCATTTATAAATAAAAGATCCAGAATGGAACAGTGTCAAGTTTACCGTTGCTGTTGATCAAGAATCAAGCTAGTTACACGATCAATGTGAAAGGAGACTTCCTCTTATCTAGCGTGGGTGACATGCGTGGCAATCCTTTAACATGTGTGCCTACGCCTTCATCATAAGAATTTACTTGATACAAATGCAAGATTGTCTTGAACAACATTCAAAACTTCGCTTTAATCGCTTTATATCCGATCCATGCTTTTAAATGACTTGAGATGCAACCGATTGAAAAAAAAATATTTCTTTTTTAAAATAACTTACAAATCAAGCTGGAACCTGGATATGTAGTAAGAGAGATACCAAATATGGTTTTCTTACTTTGTGTAAACCCTTCTCATCTGATGTATTTTCTTCTTATTCTTTTTCAAGTGATTTCCAGTCGTTATGTCCTGCTTTAAAGTATGTCCTGGCTCGAAAACCGGCGGGTCCAGTTGAGATGAGCAAGACGAGAGTTCAGGCGCACCTCCAACAAGCTTTCAAATACATTTATTATTTTTTTTACTTGTTAAATGACCCTTGACCATCCAGCAACACGACTTCGTGCAGCTACTAAAAATATTTGTTCCTTTTTATGGCACTATAACGGATCTTTGAATCGTAATCATCATTTGAGGAAAAAAGATTTACCTTATTGCTCATTTTATTCCATTCATATAAAATGGTATCGTTTATTTTTTTTCAGTTTTAATGTAAATGAATTCTTGTGTGTAGGCTGGACATCTATGGGAGTTGATGCATCATGATATACATGTCTGACTGGAACTATTTTGATTTTACTTATTAATTACTTGCTTACTAACTTCACCACCAGATAATTACTTATTCTTCATTTAGAGAAAATTTCTTTTTTACCTCCGTTACTAATAAACTTATTTGTACCCATTTTTTGACCTGTAAATGATTTTATATTGGTAAAACGTATGTTTTTACATTCAGTATTAGTACTAGAGAAGCCAGGAGAATAAAAATACCCATAAAAATGTCATTCTCATGGACAATAATTTTGAAAATGCTTGTAAATATGATGATTGATGAAACTGATGGGAAGAGAATAAAAAATAGAATAGAGTAAAAAATAAAACAGGATGACTCAGATATAGTATAGAAGTAGAGTGGATATTCACCGGCACGCCTTCATCCTCCTTTTGTATATAATAATATAAACTCGAATAATATCAGTGACAAGAGGTAAGGTGACTTGTCTTGTTCTCATCGTAGGTTTTCGCGAACATGAAGAGGAGAATTCCTTCTATGGCAGCTTGGCGTTGGGATTAATATTGGACCAAAACATCAGACTTGGTCTTATATGTCCGTATATAACGAGAAAGCGGGACTCTCTGTATTTAAAATCGCGACCTTATTACCAAAGTACTTGCGAAAACTCGATCTACAAATGGAGACATTAATTTATGATAATTTATCACTATAAGAAAAATTTTTGAAACGATGGTGAAAGTATTTTCTCATTCATTCCTTATTTATTATATCTTTTACTTATTTGAAAAAAAAATTCGATTGTTTTTTGAATATATTCGTCTTGAATATTGGCAAAATCAATAGTTTCTGTTAAACATTGGCCTGCTGTTCACAGGGTTACTAACACGTTTATTCATTGACCGAGCTACTAGAAACCCTCTTGAAATATTCTGCGCACACGCGATTCTCTGAAATTACTCGTTTATGTGAAAAAAGCGTATGACTCATTTCTCTTTTTCATTTAAATTAGAACACTTGGGGATCGATTGTTTTGTTACATTATAAAGAGAAAACTGAAACGTATTTATTTTACCATTCATTAAAGCAAATTACCAATTAAAATTTTTGATAATATGTTTTTTCTCACTAAACAAACATTGCCTCACTATTGATTCATTTATGATTTACAGCATAATTTTTTTGAATTAATCATCGTCACTGAATAGTTAATTATTCATGTAACTTTCAAAATCTTATGATAAGATTATTTTAGTTCATTAATGTTGATGTTTCTTCATTGAATTAAAAAAATAGTTTTCTATGACACGAAATGTTTTTATTTAATTAAAGATACTAAATAAAACTAAAAAAAAATATTGAACAAATTGATAAATAATTTGTTAAAGATTGTTTTAATGTCTTCAGACATGAAGATTGAGTTCAAGTACTCGCGAGAGCAATTTTTTGTACTAATTGAAAACAAGATTGCAATTGAAGAGACTGAAAGTAGACATGATGTCATTCGCTGATTTACAAACTTATACACGTACGTCTAAGTGACCAAATGAGGAATAATAAACATAGGAGACATTAAATCGAGCGTGTCACCGAGTCTCATTTTCATCCGATGCCTTCAATTTCATTCCTCTATTATTGTGACCATTCTCCAGCTGACTGAGAAATTTGTCCCTTCTTTCTGTTATTTCTCTTCGAGTGTAATTAATTTCCTGCTCCGAAATGAATTTATATAATTTAATTAATTAAATTTCTCATTTTTAATTACTTAACGCACCCAGTGACGATGTATTTTCAATGTTGTCGTAAGTTTTTCATAATTCTGTCATCGCAATTCTATCATATTATGGACTAGTTGAGGCTTGAGTGTCAGGCAAAATCAAAGTAGTGCATGTACACACTCATACTGAATGAAAAACGTGCACGAATGATTTTTTCACAGAGTCATGTAATATGTCTGATCCATACAAGGTAACGACGAGATATGGCACTGCAAGGAGCAGCCACGCCTGCTACCCTGGCTTGCAGACATGTATTGATAATAAAGCGTAACTCGGAGTATACATACAGAAGTTCACATCTACCATACAGCATATAGCCCCTCACATTACATAGCACGCGTTCTACTAGACATTTTACCTACGTGCTTGTCGACAAATCATTCATCCCACTTGCTGCTGGTATAATCTAGCAATTTAAACGCCTTTCATGATGGATAACTCATTTATTTTAATAGTCATTTACCCTTTGCTTACTTAGCTTTTTTCTTTCATTTGTGATGTTTTTAGTGAACTCATCCATCTGAAAATTAAGAAATAATTATTCTCAATTAAATATTCATTATTTTATAATTTTCATTAAATTAATTAAAAAAGTCCATCCTTGGGTATTTTTTTTCAAATTAATTAATTAATATTCTTATTGCTCTGAGATGAAATTTTTAAATTAGAAAAGCTTATTAAATTTAAATATTTTATGTTTTAAATTTTAAAAATAAACATTCAAGTTTTTTAAAAGTTTTAATTGTCGTTTTGAATGTTTTTATTATCTACTACTTTATGCTTATGAAACTGACTCGATAGATATAATTCAATCGTTAAATATAAATTTTTATCAATGTTTTGATTATGTATCATAATGACAGAATAATCACAGGTGTTGTAATAAAATATTTTTATAATTAAAATAAGCCGAATTCATCATGATTTTTATGATAGTAGTTTTTTGTGCTTGCAGCTCTAGTTAGAAATTATCTTTAATATTCTTAAAAAAAAATTATGTAATTTCTAATACCAAAAGTTTTATTAATATAATAAAATCTGCAATTACTTACATTACACTTTCGCAATCCTCCAAGAGGGTGTGTTCGTCGCGTCGTGATGACTCATGTATTGACTTTCCTCCTCTTCAAATAAAATAAACCTGCAAACTTGCTAGGTTTTGCGAATTGAGGATAATTATTAAAAATGGATATATATTGAAACCTTGTTTTTTTGATAAAGTATAGAAAAAGAACCGTAAGCCAGCTGGTATCAAACTATTGAAACCTAAGCAGGTGCATTAATTAGGCTTCTTTTTTTCTGAAAATCAAAAATTAAATTATTTATTTTTATTTCACCTAAAGAATGATACTAGATGCAGTAGAAGCATGCATTTAATTAATATATAATATTCTCTATTAGGATTTACTCCAACTAGATAATGTATGTACCCAAGACAATTGACTAAATCAGTTAAATTTGCTACGAGATAACGTGCGGATGTTCAGATCTGCAGACTACTAGTGCGATTAAGATGATTAATGACAACCTCCTGTACTGCTGGCTCCAATCGCAAATAATACTCTTCAGCATAAATACCAGAGAAAATTACATGAAAGCTATTTAAACATAAATTTTAATGTTTACAAGTGACAGACTGATCGATAAATGTATAATATAAATACGGCTGAGCTAAATGACGCACATTTTAAGGCATTCTCAAGGATTTTCTATATATATGGAATAATATGTTTTATATTGTAGTTTCTACGACCATAAAATCTTGATTTGTATTCATCTAAAACTTGCTAGATTGTTTACACTTGATCCTTTGATATGTAGGAGTTAATTTTGGCTTTCCAATGTGGGTTTATATGGATGATGATTCATTTTTATAACCTTAATTGTTAACTTATTAATTTTGACAGGAAATTTATTTAAATGTAAAAGTTTTTGGTTATGAGAAACATTCAATGATTGATTAGTTGTTAATTAATTTATTATAACTTATTGTATTCAAAATTGTTGTAAAGAATGTTTAAAATACTTTGTAACAGCTTAGCTCATTTATTATTTGAATTTTTGTAAGAAATAATTGATGGATTTTCAACAATTATAAATAAGCTTGAAAATAATTATGATTTATAGCGATTATTTATCATTTAGAGTATTAATATTGAAATAAAATCAATAAAAAATTTGATAAAAAAAAACTTTAACTATTATTTAACCATTGTGTAAACTGACTCGGGAAAGACATTTTCTTAAAAATAGAATTTTCGAAGAAATTTTAACAGAATTGATTTGACAAATAGAGTTGATTGCTGCAGAGAAAAGGAAAAAAAATTAATTGTGAATAACATAGGCCAAGTTGGAGAAGTTTGGTTGGCAACACTGCCACTGCTGTTAACCGCCTGCGCACTGTGGCGCGACAGCAGTAGTTAAGACCTGGTGGGGTCGAGTGTTTCAACCAATCACAAGTTCCAATGACGATGACCCTCGATTCTCCCACTCTTCTTCAGTAGACTTGAAAATCTGTAACGGGCACTGCGGCCATCTCATTCGTTTGTGGGCTCACAAAGAGTTTGGTGAATTTATAAAAGTCTCGATAGCAGAGAACTTCGTTTTATAATACATCTTTTAAGAAAAAGTCAATACATCGAAAATGAGGGAAATCGTGCACATTCAAGCTGGACAATGCGGTAACCAAATTGGAGCTAAGGTATGCATACTACTATTATTTTTAACAATAAGTGTGTCGATTAACGGTCAGAACCATGGCGTCGAACTGGTTTCCTTCATTTGTTTCTTCCAAAACAATTAAAATTAAAAATCATTTATCAGTTTTAAAGTTATCATTTTCAAGCAAATTATTAAATTTATAATATTGACATTTTATCATAAAACTATTGATTAATATTATTAAATTATATGGCTGAATTAAAAGATCAATTTAAAATAAAAGTTTTGAAACAATTGTAATGAAGCAAACTCGTGTTATTAATTATAATCACTCTCTTAAAATCTAATAAAATAATTGTTACAGATAATTATATGAATTTGATATTTTTAGCAAATTTACTACAAAAAAATATGTAGAATTAAACTAATCTGTCATGGCGATAGCATTTACCGGCCGGCAAGCGTTGGTCTAACGGTTTTTTTTTATTTCGACTCTTCTCGAAAGCGTCACTGTTGGCGCATGGCTGATCCCCTTAGTAACGAACCCTCGAACCATCCATACTTTATGACATGATTATCAGATTTTGTTTAGTTCAAAACAAAAGTAAGTGTCAATTGATGAAGAAGAATAGTTAGAAAGCCATAAATTATGCAGAAAACTTCACTTATTTTACAAGGGTGTGGCATTAGTGCCTGGCAGGATACCGGTTGATGCGGCAAGAGCATTGAGCGAATGCGCGCGCAATACTCTTTTCTTGTCTCTTTCTCTCTCTCTACTCTTTCTTCCTGTTATGTCTCTCCTCTAAACAGACCATCGTCTTCCTATTACTCACCTATACCTATATAATACCATGTTAACTTTATGAATGTATTTCGACCTACCTGTACTCTGTAACCTCGGTTACTGCTGAATTCAAATAACTTTCATCGATTTGCCATTATAGAAAACTATCATTTTTTGTTGATAAAAATTTCATTTTATTTACAATTTAATTTTTAAGTATATAAAAAGTTTCTAATGGATTCTTATCATTAATTCAGAGAATATTTCTTTTTAATTTATCAAAAGTTAAGTCATTAATTGTTACAAGTAATTTTTGCGTTGATTTAAGTAGATATCAAAAATATGAACCATCGTAACAATTTAAGTACTACTTTTTGAGTTCAACAAAGTCATAAAATTTGTATGTCACAGCTATTTTTGATGATAAAAAATAGGAAATTATTAATTAAATTACCTGATAATAACTGTTGCTTGATTTAAAACATGTTGTAGATAATGATCGACGTATATCTTGTCAAAACTACTATAAGTTGAGTCTTAGTAATTAGAAATTTACAATCGTTACGCCCACATAACTTTCAAGGATGCCTTATAAAGTCAATGTCCGTGAGTTATAGTTTGCAATAAATAACTGATAGTCAAAAAATTCAGATAAAAACATTACGTTTTTTTCTTAACTGAAAACGAAATAAACAATGACGTAAGATCTATGCAAAAAAATTTCAATTCCTCCTATTTGTAAGTATAAAATCACTTATAAAAAAAACAGTAGCTAATTTTAGATGGAGTTGTGCAACGGTTGCATTTGACCATGCAGGGACAATATCTTTGAGACCAAGGACGGTTAGTCTTACGTGATTGACCATACCATAAGACATACCCAAATAAAGCAAAAGATATATCTACACTTTTTCTTGCTGTATTTTCGTCTTTTATTTTGTCTTTACTCCGAATTATTCCCAAGCGAGTAGTGCCAAGATGGCTCTAGACATGAATAACATATATTTCCAGGTATTGATCGCGAACTAAAGTTCAACTTCCTCGCCATTTTCATTTTATTCTGTTCCTTCATCCAGTTCTTTATTTCATTCTATGAAAAGTTTTATCATTAGTTAAATAAAACTTTCACTATTAATGCAAAAAGTTAAATATCCTCGTGAAAGTTTAAAGACATTAGAGATGTTTAAAGCAGCTGTTCATTTTCCTTCTTGATTCCTTGAAGGGTCTCTAAGAATTTTGATGTAAGCCAGATGCTCAGGCATTTATTAGCAGCCGGTATACGATGATTCTCTGAAACTCTAACATAGACATTGTTGGCTATACTTTAATGCTAATTTTCCAAAAATTTTCGACATTCTTTTGTTTTTTTTTTTAAATCCTTTTTGTTAAAAGATATTGATTTCAATATAATTAATAGAAAACATACTAATTTTGTCATTAATAATAATTCTTAACTGTAAAAAATCATTGCAAAATATTTAATAATAATATTACATATTTAAAGCTGAAAAAATGATTTAAAAAAAATAGGAAATCAGATTAAAGTAGTACCAATTATGTTAATTATTTAGAGTATGTACCTAATTGATATCCATCATATCTATATATAGTAATGACATTGATGACTCATACACACATAACTATATGTTACGTAGAAACTATAAAGCTAAAGCTAGTGGGAAGTGAAGGGATAGAGAGACAGAGATAGAAGAGAGAAAAGCAGGTTTGGTCGATGCAGCTTTCCGATGGTCATATATGGAAATCCATGAATAACAATTCCTTCAAAAGTTAATCTTATAAGATGATGACAGTGTACTTTCTTTCTACTTAATTCAAAATCTTACCTCAATAGAATGTATTTACAATGTAAGCAAATCCACTTGAAAGACATCTTCATCCTCTAATTACTGAGTACACCTGCATAATCATAGATTATTATCTTCTATGCTATTATTTCCTAACAGTAATAATTGAAGATTAAAACAAAAAGGGTGAACTTAAATATGAAACAGGATGGTTTATTCAATGAAAATAAGTATTTTTTCTTTCTTTTTATTTTTAAACATTGTTTATCATTATCATCATTCTCTACTTGTCGACTACACCTGGATAACAGTTGGTTTTAATTTTAAATATTTTTTACTTAGAGATAGGAAATATTTCAAACTAAGAGGATTCTTATTGAGGTCTTTGAACTACAGAAAATACCTAGCAGGCGGTAAACCAATTTCTAAGTATCCTAGAGCTTCAGTTTCTTTGGTGTTGCGGTAATGGATACAAGTTGCGTTTTGTCTCGGTCGAGTGCATCTGACTGGTCTGGCGCGATTGACCGACACCATCTGAGAGTTACGAACGGTACTGGGTGTTAATTAGTCTCGATTGGCACTCAAGCGATTCGTTAAGTGATTCGACGTGCAGCAGAGCCATCGAAAAATTTATATCCGGCGTGAATGAGTTTATGGAATGCATATTTAACATTATTTTAATTTTAATTTCAATTTTAATTAGTTTATCAAGAAACTATCATTATTTACACGCGATCCAACAGTTTAGGTCATTGTTCTTGATGGAAGATAGTTCTTCGCCATGAAAAATAATATAATAGGTTAATTTAATTAAGTTAAAATAGTTCAAGTTTATCGAAAATTCAATAAGTATTAATTCATGTCTTTTGTATTACAGTTTTGGGAAATTATCAGCGATGAGCACGGTATCGACCCCACTGGAGCTTACCATGGAGATTCAGATCTTCAATTAGAGAGAATCAACGTGTACTACAATGAAGCTTCCGGAGGAAAATATGTGCCCCGAGCCATCCTTGTTGACTTGGAGCCTGGAACTATGGACTCTGTTCGTTCCGGACCTTTTGGTCAGATCTTCAGACCAGATAACTTCGTCTTTGGTCAATCAGGAGCTGGTAACAATTGGGCTAAGGGGCATTACACTGAAGGTGCTGAGCTTGTAGACTCAGTACTCGACGTTGTCAGAAAAGAAGCTGAAAGCTGCGACTGTCTTCAAGGATTCCAGCTTACTCACTCTCTTGGAGGTGGTACTGGATCAGGTATGGGTACTCTCCTCATATCCAAGATCCGTGAGGAATACCCCGACAGAATTATGAACACATACTCTGTGGTACCATCACCAAAAGTATCAGACACAGTCGTTGAACCTTACAACGCTACACTTTCAGTCCATCAACTCGTTGAAAATACTGATGAAACATATTGTATCGATAACGAAGCTCTATATGACATTTGCTTCCGCACGTTGAAACTCTCTACGCCTACCTACGGTGATTTGAACCATCTTGTTTCACTTACCATGTCTGGAGTCACGACTTGCCTCAGGTTCCCCGGTCAATTGAATGCTGATTTAAGGAAACTTGCTGTCAACATGGTTCCATTCCCACGTCTTCACTTCTTCATGCCAGGATTCGCCCCTCTTACCTCTCGTGGTAGCCAGCAATACAGAGCTCTTTCTGTACCAGAACTTACCCAACAAATGTTCGATGCTAAAAACATGATGGCTGCTTGCGATCCACGACACGGAAGGTATCTCACAGTCGCTGCCATTTTCCGTGGTAGAATGTCAATGAAGGAAGTTGATGAGCAAATGCTCAACATTCAAAACAAAAACAGTTCATACTTCGTTGAATGGATCCCGAACAACGTCAAGACTGCCGTTTGTGACATTCCTCCACGTGGACTTAAGATGTCTGCTACCTTCATTGGAAACTCCACTGCCATTCAGGAGCTCTTTAAACGTATTTCTGAACAATTTACTGCTATGTTCAGAAGAAAAGCTTTCTTACATTGGTATACTGGTGAGGGTATGGATGAAATGGAATTCACTGAAGCTGAATCAAACATGAATGACTTGGTCTCTGAATACCAACAGTATCAGGAAGCTACTGCAGATGAAGATGCAGAATTCGACGAGGAACAAGAAGGCGAAGTCGATGAGAATTAAATCTTCGCTATTTTCACAATGACACACGTGTTTAATCACGTTCACGCTTCTTTTCTTTTTTACGGACCGTTTTTTTTTTCGACCAAGCTATTGTCAATGACACTATGTTTATAATTCCATCTTAATAAGTTGCTTTCATTAAACAAATAAATTTCCACGATAGCTTAGTTAAGAAACCGTGAGATTACAGTGTATTACCGCTAACGTGGTTCGAAAAAGTCATCTTTTATGAAATTATTATATTGAATAAAGCAACTCTTTATTAAATTATATCCTTTGTCAATCCATTTACTGTTTCCTTTAACTTATTCTATATTTTTAGTTTGTATATGCTTTTAAATTTTTATATCATTCCATATTTGCAACAACTAAGAAAATAAAAGTAAGAAGTGTAGTAATTTATTAATGCTCTAAAATTATCACTAAGATCAATTATCATTTTATAATTTGGAATAATACTTTTAAATAAGTAACATAAATTTCCAAATTTTATATTTATAATATAATTAGTATCATGATAATAAAAGTAAATATTAGAAATATTCAAGCTGTTTTATTTAAATCTCGTTAAATTTTTTTAAAATTAAAAAATACTCAACATTAAATTTTAAGTCGATAAAACAGATTACAGAAAGCAAACATCTACTTCGAACACTTTTCGCTATGATCGCTTCAGTCTAAACAAAATGATAGTTCAACAAAGTTTGGCGGGTTCTGAAACAATCTTTTTGTAACATATTTGGAATGGATTAACAAAAGTTGGTTATATTAATCACTGATAAATAATTAGATAATACTAATGTAATTTAATAATACATATCATCACGTCAATATAAAGACAAATATTAAGACAAAGATAGTAGTATTATATTCACATAACCGCAAAAATCATACTCAGTATATAAAAAGATTGCATAATTTATTAGTGACAACAATCAATTGTGCAAAAATTTTTGACTTTTCTAAAATATTACTACTAAATGTTTATTGAAAATATCAAGACCATAGAATAAATATTTGGTTATTTTATAAGGAAATAACTCAGCAACGAATTTTACAGAATTTGATATCGAAAGGATTTATTTAAATAATTATAAATTCAACTGTAATTGTTTAAAAATCGAATGGTCAATATTAATAGCACAACATAAAAGCAACATTTGTATGACAAAGGACCAAGTTGATGATCAGATGATATATGCTAGCTAAACAGCTGGAGGTAATTTACAAGAATATCTTTCAAGCATGGAAATACCATACAAAAACATAGAAGTGTGGAAAGGATTGTTGAGAAGTTATTTTTTCTCAAAACATACAAAAATGAAACTTAAATAGAATTATTAATTTAGAAAGTTTAAGTACCACCATACATGTGCAGTTATTTGCTTAAATGTAGGTAGAATGTTGACTGAATAACAGAATTACTGATAATAAATAAAAAATGCTTTTATTATCCTAATTGATAATATTTGAGATAAAAAATAGTAAATGAAACATCGCATCATAAAATCTATTTGAAGAATTCCAAGCATTTCGTATTGCAGTGTATTCTGGACTTATTGCTCGACATTAAAACTCGAGCTTAAATTTGAAAAAAAATGAAAAGAGTAAAACGAGCTTCCAGAAGGGTTGAGTCATCTACAAATTATTTATATCTTCTTTCTCAAATTAAAAGTGCAAAAAATTTTATTTTATGTATAATTTAATTTTATAATCGTAAAAAGAAGTTTTATTATTACTGAGAAATTTATTTAAAAAATAGGAGAAAGAAACGTTAAAATAAATTTTTAAGAAAGTCTTTCTGAAGCGAGTTTGCATCCAAAGAGACCGTAGAAATTTTATTTCTATGAGGATAAAGTTAGTCCCCACCACTTCCCAGCTTGGCTGTTGGGGAACCGTGAAGATCGTCGCAAGGGTTGACCGATTTGAGTCGAGTTTGTGCTACGAACGTGACGACAACGCTCTAAGAAAACAAAAGGTTCTTCAACGAAGCACCAGGTTAAAGAAATTCATTAAACATCATGAGAGAAATCGTACATTTACAAGCTGGACAATGTGGCAATCAGATTGGAGCAAAGGTAATTTTCAAATTATTTAAAAACAATTTCAATCGTTTTTATTAAAAATTTTGCTCATACTTCTAAAAAAATATATTAATTGCAAATACTAATTTTAATTAAGATATTTTTTTTCATTTATTTATCAGAAATATTTTAATCAATGAAACGATTCATTTACATATCGGAGAGATTCACGGATAATTTAAAATTAATTAAAAATGAATTGAAGACAGCATGATTATTACTCTTGAAATGCTATTATTATAAATTAGACATATTTCCGTAAAATGATTTTATCAAGAAACTCCGGAAACAGTACATTTTTTTCAACTAATTCAACGAATTAGTCATCCAGAAGTCTTGATAAGTCCAACTTATTATGAATTATCAGCTATTAAATCATACATAAGTCACTTGAATCCTCATATCTCTTTCAATAAAGTGCATGTAGTAGAATGAGCAATTGCAAAAAAATTAAATAAATAAATAATTCGACATTATGTATTTGCAAAAATGAATTTAACATCGACTTAATTACAATCAATTTTCTTGTTTTCTAATTAAATATATAAATCATTATGAAAATCAGTGAATTAGAGAGCAAATGAATATTTTGGATGAATAAAAAAAATTCAATTGAAATTATTAGCTAGTGTCTGCAGATGAATAAATTCTACTTGATTAAATTTGACTTATTTATTGCATTTCAATGAAGCTTAATTTTTAATATTTTTAATAGTTTCATATTTTTTGCACTCATTCAATTAAAGTAAGACAAGGTCAATGACTCATTAGAATAACGGTTCTGTAAAATTTTCTGCACAACATAATAATTCAACGTTTGAATGGTTTCACTATGATTAGTTTGTGAAAGTAGATCATAAAATTTGCAATCTCCATTATTATTTAGTAGCTGTAAACGGTAGCCGATGTTGTGATTGAAATGATGCTGAGTGTTATACTACTTAGTGCTTACAAGTAGAACAGAGGATCGTAAAGTTGAGAGAGTCAATATATAATAGAATAATAACTTCAACTTTCAACATTAACATGTAGAGTTTCGTGATTAGAAAATAAAAAAAGGAAATTGACGAGAGTAATTTAGATAACCAATGAAGAATAGATTGAATCTAGGATCAATAAGAATTAATATGTAATATCCTTTAATTAAAAAAACAATACTCGTTTATATCATTAGCATTATAAAATTGTTTTATTTTACTTCGCCAATTATTTACCGCTCTCCAAACCTTGTGATTATACGCTTCAGGTAATTTAAAGTTCGTCAACCGGAATAATTTTTAGCAGAATGATTATTTTTCAAGGATTTTATAAGAAGAAATATTTTTTTTAAATAAAAATTTCCTAGTTAGAAACCAAGAATTAATTTTTTTGTTTATTTATAATTTACATTTTATTCGTGGAGTTTTCTATAAAAGGAAAATATGTATTTAATGATACTCAAACATGCAAGATCAGACAAGGGTGACAAAATTCTAATAATAAGTTAAAGAAAATAGTAAAAGAATGACAGAAATGAAGAAGATGAAGTAGAAAAGGGGGTGAATAAGGAGAAGTGACAGACTCCTCCTCAACGCAGGAGGCCATAGGCCGTGTTAATTCTGTCGTCTTCTATTCCTGGACTGAGGAAATTCATCTACATAATGGCCTGCTAAATTTTAGAATCATCTTCACATTTTCAACCATCCAAATATACTTAAACAGTATTTCTTGATTAAACGACACTATCTGAAGTTTAAAATTCAATACTTTAATTTAAGATAACTATTTCAATCGTTTATGAATATCGCAATAATAATTTTTTTTTTTTAGTTTTGGGAGGTAATTTCAGAAGAACATGGAATAGATCAAACAGGAATATATCATGGTGATAGCGACCTACAATTGGAAAGAATTTCTGTCTACTATAATGAAGCTTCCGGTGAGTAATAATTAGCGAACCTTTTTTTATTACTTTTATTAATTTATTCTATGAGAGAATGCAATAACATTAAATAAAAAAAAGCTTAATTAAAACATAAGTCATATATTTTTTAAAACATTAATTGATTAGAATTATTTATCAATTCTTATTATTTTATTCTTTGAATGTACAAAGAGTATTTAGTTATTCTACTGACAGTCTAACTACCAATTTCTTAATTCTGCTCGCAATCTGTCTGCTTGAAAATAGCGTAAAAGAGCCAAAAGCTCGCGACAAAGAAAAAGGGACTAAATCAAGTGAGAATGAGCATGACTTGTGTTCTTTTGCGACTGAAATAAATCCTTTGTAGATTCATTTGCAAGTTTATACCAGACTTATCGCCACGGTTCATTGTAACAGCTTTTAAAGCTCATGTTAATGTTGAATCTCTAATAAAATTTAATAAATTTTATTACTCTATTTAAATTAACTAATTTAATAGTCTGACTTCCTATTTGAGAGTAAATTTTAATCTAATTAACGTCATTTGTAACGTTGTCTAAATATTTTCAATAGTGTTTTTTGCTTTCTCTTGTTTCGTTCCTTCTATTAAATTGCCAGAATGCCAAGAGTTTATTACGTTCATAAACGACGCCAGAGTTCATTTGAAAACAGCACACGGGTCTGGCCATATATGCACTTCCGTTTATTCCGGTCATTGTTCGGACTTTTTGGTAGAATAATAACTCATTCCTCTCATTCTTCCAACCATGATATCATAACTAAAATATCAATAACATGCACAGCTATGTTGCAACCCGAAAAATATGTCTAACTACTGATATTGCTACAAATTAACTGAATGATTGGGTTAATTATAAGTATGAATTTTTTAATAAAAAATTGATAAAACATTAATTTTAGTTGCTACGTCAACTAATGGAGGCAAATACGTCCCAAGAGCAATTTTATTGGATCTGGAACCTGGGACGATGGATGCAGTACGTTCAGGAGCATATGGAAGACTTTTTAGACCCGACAACTTTGTTTTTGGTCAATCGGGAGCTGGAAATAACTGGGCTAAAGGTCATTATACTGAAGGAGCAGAATTAGTAGACTCGGTTCTTGATGTTGTTCGTAAAGAATGTGAAAATTGCGACTGTCTTCAAGGCTTCCAACTAACTCATTCTCTTGGAGGAGGAACGGGATCAGGAATGGGAACTTTGTTAATTTCTAAAATTCGCGAGGAGTATCCTGATCGAATTATGAATACTTATTCTGTTATGCCTTCACCCAAGGTTTCTGATACTGTTGTTGAACCCTACAATGCTACTCTTTCCGTCCACCAGCTTGTCGAAAATACTGATGAAACATACTGCATTGATAATGAAGCGTTATATGATATCTGCTTCCGTACTTTGAAGGTTTCCAATCCTTCTTATGGCGATTTGAATCATTTAGTGTCACTTACCATGTCCGGTGTCACGACTTGTCTTCGATTTCCTGGTCAACTCAACGCTGATTTAAGGAAATTAGCTGTCAATATGGTTCCATTCCCTCGTCTTCACTTTTTCATGCCTGGATTTGCTCCTCTTACTTCTCGTTCTATGCAACAATACTCAGCGTTATCTGTTCCTGAGCTTACTCAACAAATGTTTGATGCTAAGAATATGATGGCTGCATGTGATCCAAGACACGGGAGGTATTTGACAGTTGCAGCCGTGTTTCGTGGCAGAATGTCGATGAAAGAAGTTGATGAGCAAATGCTTAGTGTTCAGAATAAAAATAGTTCTTACTTTGTTGAATGGATTCCAAATAATGTCAAGACTGCCGTCTGCGATATTCCACCCAAAGGACTCAAGATGTCATCGACTTTTATTGGAAATACTACAGCTATTCAAGAACTTTTTAAACGTATCTCCGAACAATTCAGTGCTATGTTTAGGAGGAAGGCTTTCTTACATTGGTATACTGGCGAGGGTATGGATGAAATGGAATTTACAGAAGCCGAATCGAATATGAATGATTTAGTTTCTGAGTATCAACAGTATCAAGAAGCCACTGCTGAAGAAGATTTTGAAGCTGAAGAAGGTGGTGATGATTTCGAAACTTGCGATCAAGAGTAATGGAGACTGAATTTATTTGTACGAAATTTTTAATAATCTACTTAATCGAAATTTTATAAGTGAGAACCAAAAAATTTTTTTAAAATAGATATATAATAATGAAAAAATTACAAAAAATGATTTTTATAGTTGCTTCTTTATTCTACGCTCTTTTCACTGTATGAATGAGTCAATAATAATGAAATATAATTTTATTGTTTATTCAAATTGAAAATGTTTTTTTTCATCAAATGGCAGAATTAATAATTTTATGTATTAAAAAAATATCAGAAATAAATTTTTTTTCTGTTTTCAATAAAAATGATTCTTTTCTGTCAAAATAAGATTTTTTTATTCTTCAATTTTGTTTCGATTATTATCATTTATGTTACTGTCATGTTCCTTCTCATCTATATTCTCTAAAATAGTTCTGTTATTTCCTGTTTCTTGTTGTTGGTATTCAGAAATTAATTCGTATAAACTATTCTGAGCATCCTCAAGTTCGCTTTCTTCCATTCCTTCACTAGTATACCAATGAATGTAAGCTTTCCTTTCAAACATTGCACTACATTCATTAACAATTCGTTTGAGGGGTTCTTGGATAGCTGTCGTATTTGACATTGTTGTAACAGTCATTTTGAAACCTGGAGGAACGATATCACAAATAGCTGTTTTAATGCAGTTCGGTATCCAATCTACGAAGTAGTTTTTCTTTTTATTTTGAATATTCCACATCTTTTCCTCTACTTCCTAAAGTAATTAATAAATATTTATATTAATTTAATTTAATTTTTTTTTAATCAGTAGAGTTTCAATTGAGTTTAATAAGGATTCATAGCTTTAAAAATAACTAAATTTATATGAATTGAAAAAAATATTAACTTTAGTAGATATTTTTCCTCTAAAAACTGCGGCAACTGTTAAAAATCGTCCTTTCGATGGATTACATCGAACAAATGATAATTTAGGATTGAACATTTGATAAACTAAATCTCTAATCATAACTTTCCGATATGGTTCTACGAGTTTCGACATTAGCGGAGCGAATCCTGGTACAAAGAAATGTAGTTTTGGAAAAGGCACCATATTTATATGAAGCTTCCTTAAGTCAGCATTTAGTTGGCCAGGAAATCGTAAACATGCCGTCGTGCCAGCCATACAGAGAGATATTAAATAATTCATATCGTCATATGACGGATCTAAAATTTGTAAAGTGTATGAACATATATCATGTAGAGCTTCATTGTCGATAAGAGAGGCATTGTCAACGAAATTAGTAAGATATTGAAAAGCTAAAGTTGTATTGTAAGGTTCAACAACTGTGTCTGAAGTTTTTGATGATGGGAAAACTGAGTATGTTGCTATGATTCGATTGGTATACTCATCACGTATATTGGCAAGAAGTTTGCTTGTCAATCCTGACCCAGTTCCACCTCCTAATGAGTGTGTAATCTGAAAACCTTATTTCAAAATTTGTATGATGAAATGATGAAATCATCATAAGTTTCAGTTAAAATTATTTATTTTTTTATGTATAGAACAAAATTCTGCTTTTTTTTTAAGGTTTGAGGTGATCTTACCCTGAATCAAATCACAATATTCAACTTCTCGACGAATTATCTCCAAAATTTGATCCATCACTTCTACTCCTTCATAATAAAAACCTTTTGCCCAATTATTTCCTGCTGCAGCTTTACCAGAAATTATATTATCGGGTCTAAAAAGTCCACCTAGTTGACTTGATATAACTGAACTTGTTCCTGATGGATCCAAGTCAACGAGAATTGCTCTTGGAACATAAGTATTATCTTAAAAGTAAAAAATAAAGTGAAGAAAAATTTAAATTATCGTTTTCATAATTAAAATAAATGAACTCTTTCAGTACGATCAGTTTCATTAAAGTAAATATTCAAACGCTGTTTTTGAAGCTCTGATTCTCCTTGCCAATTCCCATCACTGTTGATGCCATGTTCATTCGTTATAACCTCCCAGAACTTTTATTAAATTATCAAAATCATTAAATTGTTTTTTCTGTATGCATATATGGCTGATAATTGAATTAAAATTTCATTTTACCTTACAACCTATTGTATTGCCACACTGACCAAGTTGAAGATGGATGATTTCACGCATAATTTAAATGAATTTTTAAATTAATTTATCATAGAAAAATCAAAACGAAGTAACAAATAGGCATTTTTATTGTTAAATAATATTCATACTGAAATTTTCGTAAATATTTATGTTTATTGAATTTTACAAATTTTAAAAATTTATGTTGAAGAAGCCTAAATATAAAAATGAATGAACTGAAAAACATTAATTAGATTTTTTGATATAACAAAATTAAAATGAAAATAACTTCAGAGTATACCGACAAGTAAAAGCTCCTTGAATCAAAATAACTTTTAAATTTGATTGAAGGACAAAAAATTATTCAATTGGATTTATAAATTTAATAATTTTTTTATCTAGTTGAAATTAATAATCAACCATGCCGCGGATTATAGCACATTATGATTCATTTCTCTATAAGTTGTGATACGCAATAAAGTATGTTGTCCTCGTACTCGATGAGATAATACATACATAATTGTCAATTTTTGTCAAGGTTCAGTCTCATCAATTTCAGTCAGTGTGAAGGACGATAAAGTTCGATAGCTATGGTGGGTATTATTGTACCACCAATTCTTTATTTTCATCATATAAGCGTGATCGCTAGATTTTTTACTAAACAATTAAGCTACAGAAAAAAAATTGTGTTCCATCAACTATTAAATTGCTATCATTTACAGTTAGAATTTAATATTAAACGATTTAATTGCAATCATTTAAAAGTTTTAATTCATCCAGACTCGATGAACACGCAATAAAATGATAAAAAATTATATTAAAGTGCAAGGTTATTAATCAATAATCTTTTATAAATCTTTATTTTAAGTTAATATCAAATATTATACAGAAATTTAGGTCTAAATAAAATGTGTCTCCTCATAAAACTGTGTGCGATTAAAAAATAACATCACTTGTATATCTCTTGTAGAAATTACTCAGTTTTGTCTTAGTCACAGTAATCATCATCATCGTCGTCATCATAAAGTAGAGCTTCCTGATACTGTTGATATTCAGAAACTAAATCATTCATATTCGATTCAGCTTCTGTAAATTCCATCTCATCCATACCCTCGCCAGTATACCAACACAAAAAAGCTTTTCGTCTATACATAGCTTTAAATTGGTCGGAGAGTCGTTTAAATAATTCTTGAATAGCTGTAGAATTTCCGATAAATGTCGATGACATCTTGAGTCCTTTAGGTGGGATATCACAAACGGCAGTCTTTACATTGCTAGGAATCCATTCAACAAAATGTTCACAATTCTTGTTTTGCATATTAAGCATCTGCTCTTCCACTTCTTTCATTGACATTTTCCCACGAAAAATTGCAGCGACAGTTAAATATTTTCCTCGCTTAGGATCACAAGCAGCCATAATGTTTTTGTTATCAAACATCTGGTAAGTTAATTCAGGAACAGAAAATGGTCTATATTGTTGGCTACCTCGAGCTGTGAGTGGTGCAAATCCAGGTACGAAAAAATGAAGACGTGGGAAAGGAACCATATTAACAGCTAATTTTCTTAAGTCAGCATTTAATTGACCAGGGAATCGTAAACAAGTTGTTACTCCTGACATTGTGATGGAAACTAGATGATTCAAATCTGAATAACATGGAGATGTAAGTTTCAAAGTGCGGAAACAAATGTCATAAAGAGCTTCATTGTCAATACAATAAGTTTGATCAGTATTTTCAATTAATTGATGACAAGCCAGGGTAGCATTGTAGGGTTCAACAACAGTATCAGACACTTTAGGAGAAGGTACGACTGAAAAAGTGGACATTATTCTGTCAGGAAAGTATTCACGTATTTTAGCAATTAACAGCGTTCCCATTCCTGATCCAGTTCCTCCCCCAAGTGAATGAGTCATTTGAAAGCCTTGAAGACAATCACAACCTTCAGCTTCTCTTCTTACTACTTCCAATACTGCATCAATTAATTCAGACCCTTCAGTGTAGTGACCTTTAGCCCAATTATTTCCAGCTCCTGATTGGCCAAAAACAAAGTTGTCCGGTCTAAATAGCTGTCCATAGGGTCCTGAACGAACTGCGTCCATGGTACCAGGTTCCAAGTCTATGAGAATTGCTCTAGGTACATATTTTTCAGTGTTTGCTACATTATAGTAGACGTTGATGCGTTCCAATTGGAGATCTGAATCACCTTTGTAGGCTCCATTAGGATCGATTCCATGTTCATCACTTATTATCTCCCAGAACTACAAAGTTTTAATGAATAATTATTTTAATTAATTTAAAAATAATTATGATACACTTTTGAAACAGTAAAGTTGTGTAATGTGTTAGAAAATAATTTACGAACCTTTGCTCCAATTTGGTTTCCACATTGGCCGACTTGAATATGTACAATTTCACGCATGTTAATAATTTAAATAATTAATAATTCTATTTTTAATAAAATTGTAAAGAAAAATTCTACTAGATAAATTTAGATAATTCTAAAAAATAAAATTCTTCAACTCAAAATTTATGTCCTTAATGCCCTGAATTTAAACATTTAATTAAAACAAATGGTTGTTCAAGTTTACCTTGACAACATCGTACTTATTTTTTTAATTTAACTAAATCTTAATGAAAAAAAAGACGAACTTTAGAAAGGAAGTACATTATAATTAATGGAAAAAATAAATACAATGCGTGCCTATACTGATATTATAATACAAATTTCATTATGAACTTATTTTTAATAACACACTCGTGATTTATTCAAAAACATGGTCGGCTCATTTTTTCCCTCGAAGATCTACAATTTCAGTACTTTCTACTCTTGTATTTTCTTCTTCCTCTTCAGTTTCTCTATTATCATCTGTAGCATTTAAGTGTTCTGTTTCATCTTCACTTGTGGCTAATGTCACTCGAACTCCTCTTTCTGTGTCTTTTTCAGTCGATTCGACTTTTGTCTTCCTTCTCAACGATCGTCGTCCTGGACCACCATTTACTAGGTTTCGAAGTGGTAAAGAAGTTTGTTGTTGTTCTCGGGTTGATCTTCTGTCAACCCAACAATTATATTTTTATTCATGCATATTATATTTAATAAATTTTTAAAATGAAAAATGAGTTATTAAATACCTTGGTAATGTAGGACAAGACCAAAGTTTAAAATCCGCTCCAAACCGTTCTCCTTCTTCTATCGTTTGGGGCAAATGAATATTGAGAGTTTCTGGCAAGAAAATTGACGTTAGAGCGCCTGCCACGCTCAACGAACCCATCACTATAAGTGGTAGGACCCTGGAGTAGACAGCCAGGTGAACTATGTACGGGAAGGTGAGAAGACCGATTCCCGCAATAAATGAGGCAATACCCATTGCTTGAGACCTCAATACCGTTGGTAGTAATTCACCAACAAATACATAAAATACTGCAAATGATGCAGCTATTCCAAATTTTCCAATCATTGCTAAAGAAACTGTCACCCAAACTGCATCTGTTATCATATAAATGTGAGTTGAATCATTTTGTTTATTACTTATTGATTGAGTTAGTTTTGAGAATTAATTACTTACCTTCAGGCACAAACATACAAGAAACACAAGCAAGACCGCCTAAAAGCATCGTAAGACACAAAACCCACCGTCGTCCCCATCTGTCCATAGCGTACCATGTTATAACATATGATGGTATCTCTACAATTCCACCTGTAATGATAATTAATTTTCTTGCTAAAAGTTTATATTGTCTTATAGTTAAATATTCTAATTGTAAGTAAACATTCATAAAGTATCTGTTTAAGTTATTTCTCATGTCGCGTATTTACAATATTCATAATGAATTCTTTATAATTACATAGTAGAGTATAAATTACTTGAGAGCTCATCATGAAATTCAAGAAAACTAAACATATCTATTGTCCTTGAGCTGAAGAAACTCATTAATAATTGAGCATTACCGTAATTAAAAATGTTTCTTGTGTCTATTCATTTCTTCTAACAATTTAGAGTTGTGTTTACATATGTTTAAATTAAAAATATTGATTTACGAATTAAGATAAAGAAAAATACTTTATGAACAAAGAATTGTTATTGAGTTAAGTCGTACATAAATTTCTTGATAATTACGCAATAATTTATTCATAAGATGATTAAATAAAGCCTAGGAGCTTAATCTTGTCATGCAATTTCTATGAAATAAAAGTCATACCAATGAAAAATGCGAGGTAGTCTGAGACTCCTAAATTCGTTGTATTGTACGAAAGTCCATTATAAACGACTGCATTTGCAACCCAGTCAAAAGCAAGAATCAAAAATTTTTTTCGAATGTTTGGATTCGTCATAATATCCATAGGAGTTGCTGAAGGTGGTGGAGGTCTATCTTGTGTTTGCATTTCTATTGCGATTTCTCTTGAATTTCTGCCATTGCAAGAAGTTCCTCGTTTCTTTAAGATATCCATCTTTAATTAAAAAAATAAAAGAATGTTTTTATTTTAGATTAATAGCTTGATATAAAAATGAGTTAAATTTTTAATATCATCATTTCTAATCAAAAATATATTCACCTCCATTTTTCGTAAAAAATTAGTTGGAACTTTTTTTTTATTAATTCTTGCCATGCTTTGTACAATGACTTCTGCTTCATCTATCCTGTTCTTACTGAGAAGCCATCTTGGTGATTCAGGAATGATCCACCAATAACTAAAAAGGATAATAAATGGCACTGATGTCGCTAAAGATAACGAAAACCAATTTCTCAGAAGATATCCCTAAAAAGTTAATTACTTGGTTGAAATAATTTAATTTAGTTAAAATATAATTACATTTGTTTCAATTTCTTTCTTTCATTTAATTAGATAATTGACTTACCAACAATGCAAGAAGACACATGGCTGTAGCAAAAAACATACAGATAACCATCCCTGCAAATGTTCTGTATCGTGGGCCCATTAGTTCTAAAGCTAAAGTAATTAATTGTCTATTAAAAAATAAATCAACAATTATTTTTGTATTTTACTAGATATAAATTGTTTAAAAGAAATCATACCTAAGATGAATGGTATTTGATAAATGGCAGGAAAAAATAGACCATTGACAGTTCTTAAGGCCGTGTAGACAACGTAGTTAGGGCTAAAACTTGTTGCTATAGAGAATATTACTTCGAGAAAAAGTATTGCAAAGAAGGCTGTTCTTCTGCCCCATTTGTCTGCAATCCAGCCGAAGACAACATTGCCAAAAAGACTTCCAACATAAAAGAAAGTCGTTGATGTAGATGGTAACCAACTGTTGTCGCATACAAGGTCTAGCTACGTGGATGCAAAATGCCATTAAGATCATAAATACACTGATATGAAGACTTGCTTAATATTAATAAATTTATTATTTAATATAACTAAATATTCAGCATAGTTAAAACTTGTTCTCTACTCACAATTTTCAGAGTAGATCTAATTAATTTTGTGTAATCAATTCATAATGATAATCTTAAAATCAACTTTTATTCTCTTATTGAATTTTTTTATAATCATGTCATTTATTATTCCAGTGTCTGTCAGTAATTATGTAAAACATGAAGCTATAAATTGAATGCCATTAATACATCTGTTATTTCATCAGCTATAGATCAACATCATTCGTTAGATCGAAGTGAAAGAGAAAATAAGAGTGAGAAGAAAAAACATTCCAATGTCAGTAATTTATGAAATACTTAATAATTAATCAGAAACTATTCAGAGAATTTTGAAATAATTATTGATAGTTATTGATATTAAAAAAATGAATATGAATTTAACTTTTTTTTTTATTTTAACTCATTCATCACTATCATAGTCAAGATTCTTAGATAAATTATCACAAGATTAAAGCAATGCAAGAGTTTATTGCTACTACCGCTTGTATCGGTGCAGATTTGCGATATGTCCGGACGAGCTAAAAGTATTAGTAGGCTCCCACAGAGAGGTGTCCATCACCCTCAGTTGACAGGAGGAGCGTGTCCCTCTCCTGTCCTGCACGTACCTCATAACCCTCTTTGGCTAAACCCGCACAAAACCCCTTGCTCTCCTCTCCTTCTTCAACCTTCTCGTTTCATCAGTATTTTTATTATTTACAATTGTTTGTAATATTCTTCGTTTAAAAATAGTTTCATATGCAGCTAGAAAGTTTAAGAAAATAACTCAACAATATACGTTTCTTCACACGAATTAGAGCCAATTAAAAATGAAAGTTCTAAAGAACGAAACCAGAAATCAAATATGATTAATTCATTTATTTATTAAGAAGACTTTTTTTTAATATATAATGATATTTTGATATTTTCTAGGCATATGGATCCAAGGAAAATGGTTGAAGAAAGTCGAAAATGATATAGTAAAATTTGGATAATAAAGCAGTTATCTTGTGGTGAAATAAGTACGAATGTACCAAGAGTCTTTCAACAAGTGAGCGTCATAAATGCTACAAATCTCCAGAGTAAGTAGATAATACTCTAATCCAAAGCCTAAACGTTTCTACTATACAATCACGGCACAATTATCGTGTTTAGTCGCTGAGTAATCAGTAAATTTTGAGTGATGACTTATTGCGTGGGTTCCAGCTTCCGGCAAAATGTCTTTTGAACCCTTGACCCCTTCATTCAGGTCATTAGTCTTTTTTACACATATTCCGTATTCAAATAAAAGACGAGTTTTCTCTCGTCTCATAGTGTTATACAATCTAGTAAAAGATAAATTTATGTTACAGGCTAGCTAAATGGGGAATAAATAAAGTGAAAATAAAAAATAGAAGTACAGTAGCGGAAGGACAAAATTTGTCGTTGAATGTGCGTCAATGCAACGTAGAGCGAGTTCCCGTAAATACTGTGCTGTGTTCCTCCTTTAGATGTATAGGTATGGTACTACTGGAAGCTTGGGTGAGTGTTTGATGTGATATATCACATGACCGGATGCGGGGGTAGGTAAATTGGTCGGCAATTGCTGACGCCACTAGAGGCTGCAATCTATCGGCCACTCACTCGTATCAACAAATCTCATCTACCTGGATTGTAAGTTTTCAAGGTGAATGCACTTTTCTCTTGCCTCATTTTCTCATCAGTCTATTCTACTCCGTAACTTGTAAATTCATTTCTTTCTTATCAGAGCTTAGCCTAGTCTATTTTCACATAAAGTTGTTGTGCTTTATCTTCTTCATTTTTCTTTTATAAATTACTTATATCTTTTTCCGATATTCAATCAATGTCTTTTCTTATAACCAATTTTATTTTATCATAAAAAGTATATTTAAAAAAACTCTTGAGAAATATTGTTTTGCAATAAAAAGAAGATGTTTAATAACTCATTATTTGATTAGTTCATTTTTAATAACTCTAATTTGAAGAATTATCAAAAGAAATTTTTAAGCAATGATTTTAAATATGTTAGAGATTGTTTCAATTGTTTTATTTTGATTGTTTTCAAGGTAGCTAATGATGCCTGCTAAATATTATTCAAGTTGATTTGTTACAAGGGTAATAGCCGAAGACTTAATGTACCCAATGATTACTTTGATCAATTCCTCGACAGGATTACTCGATAATGAATCGTTCCGCCCCTCAATCTCATGTGTCTCTGCACGTAGACATAATATCACACGCAAAAATCACCGTTTGACGACGGAAACTGCATCATACTTAGAATATAACTAGAGTACATAGCGTGTAAATTAACTAACAAGCTCGTTTGATTTTTTCTAAGAATAGTACGATAGATGAGACATAGCCGACAATAAGAAGTTTTCTTAAGTTGGAGCAGCGAAAGGCCAAGGCGGAGTAGAATTATAATGTCACGTGAAATTAAAGTCGGGTGTTGAATTAATTGTGAAACACCAGAAACAACGTAATTGAGTATTATTAAGTCTTGTAATAGGTTCCCAAGAAATTATGCAAATTAAAGTCAAACTAAAGAACTAAAATGATGCTACAAGTGTCACTCCCTGACCACCCACTCATTTATCTTTGTTTCCAGACTACTTCTACTCAATCCCTTTGTCTTTTTTAACTGAAACCTATTCAATTTCAAGAATTTTTTATTTATAGTATATCAATTTCTTTATAAGCATTGAACTTTTACCATTACTTCTAATTCAGATATTTATTTTTCTTAAGTTGAGAAAAAATTGAAATATGTTAAAAAGTAAAAATACTTTGAATTTTCAATGAATTAATTAACTACTTAATAGCATCTTATTATATTAAAGTGTGTTTAAAGCTCAAATGAGATAAAAAATGAATTTTAAATTCAATAAAAGATACTTTAAGTATCTTAATAATGAATATTATAATATTAAGATTAATTAATGAATTGATTAACATTTTAAAGAACTTAGAAAACAGAAGTAAAATTAATGGTAATTTTCTTAATTAATCAAGAATAAAAAGAGAGAGTTTACCTCTGTGACGAGAGTACTATCGTAATCCCTGGTGTCATAATTCCAGCCATGTAAACACTTGGTTGTAGGCCAATCAGTGCTGCTAACGGGCGGGGGTGGCAACCGGCTATAAGCCGATTGTAGTGTTGGTAAAGTGTCAAAAATGTTAGCATCATCGCTAGACTTGAGTAAGGTACCCCGTTGTAGCCATTCTTCTATAATTGTCGTATAATTTACATCGTACATGTAACACCTCGAGTACTGGCGCTTGCCATCTGATCTCACAGTGTAGGGCAATGACAAAGCTTTGCGTTGTTCCAGGGTCATTAAACTTGTCATATTCTCCAGCTCTGGTATTTTACACCAGTGTTCTGGTGACGCACTTACAAATACCTGTAATGTAAACAATTGTTTTGTTTCAAGATAATTAAGGAGTGAGAATGATTGATATTTACCTGAGAAAAGGCGAGAAAAGCTGCTGGAAGTGTTGCAGGTATGCACAGAAGATAGTACATGATGTTTTGATATCGGCCTTTCTCACCCACATGTAGTAAGACGTCATCAAAATCTATGGAGCTCATTGTTTCAGTGCGAGAGTCGTGTGTGCTCTCGCCACTCTAGATTTCACGATGACAATCGACAGGTCACCTGCAGTATCCGTCCCCAGATTAGATGGCATGTCCACCGTTCATCCTTCTATTTGCTCGTTACCACAATTTTCACTTCTTCCTTTTTTGCTTTTTCTTATTTCAATGTTTAATTAACTATTCTTATATTTTAGTTTGTAGTTTCTATTGAGTTTATTACTCGCAACAAATTGTATCACGAGTTTTATCCAGTCTTTACACGAAGACCTTGAAGAATTTTTATAAGAATCCCTATTAAAACTTAATTGGATCTTAACATATCGATAGATTTATTAATTGTTATTTAGAATTATTAAATATTTAATTAATTGTTAAAAATACCCAGCATTTTTAGGAAAAACATATTTATTAATTCTGAGATAATTCTGGAATTAATTGATAGTATTAATTATATTGTTTAGATAACAATTATCAAGTAGTAATTGTTTAAATGTCTCATTTCAATATGTATTATCACTTTAAGTTCACAAATTGTTCTACCGATGATGATCAAAGAGGGAATAATTCACTTAATCTTTTTCTTGGGCTCTTCTGATGAGTTTTTGCTCTCCCACTAGTAGTAACAAGTTTTATAACATTTTTTAAATCAAGATAAATAATTTTAATATGTTCCAAGCAAGTTTATATCAAAATCATCTTCATTGATTCTATATGGATGACCTCGACTTATAATGAAAAATTATTCTTAACAGTATCTACCATTCAAAAGCATAAATATAATTTTTTGATAAAAAAAAATAGTGAATAATTATGTAATGAGATATTAATGTTTGGTTTAAATTATAATAATTTGTAAATAAATCTGAAATTATTCCAAGATATGTGAAGCAAAAATGTTTTGAAGATATGTTTTAGAAGATAAAGATGAATCAAAGAATAAGAATAGATCAAAGATAACTGCAGTTTTGATGATTTTGCGAATGTTTATGCTAAAGATATCTTTTCAGGGAAACTGTTTATCTATCAATATGTAAAGAATGATTCAAGGCCATAATGACTAGCTGAAGTCAAGGTCATCTGCTATTGATTCATAAAAATAAAAATTTATCTAAAAAAGTATTACCTTAAAAATTATATTACGGTCTTAACTAATATTTGGTTGTAAAAGCTAAATGTAAAATCTATTTTACCCTGTTTATTCATTATGTATTTCCGAAAGTCCCAACTTATTGAAGTTCTCGTCCGTTTCCACATTAAATCAACTTTCGCGTTCCCGGACCCACACAGTTATCAAATTTTTATGTACTTAGTCTGATAAAGACAATTAGATACACTAATTGACTCAAGTTCAAGTCACATATTCTTCGTATAAAATTAACACAATATTTTTGTCAGCCGTTATTATCTTTCATTTTCTCATTTAAATTTTTCTTCAACATCTTCGAGAGTTGTTTTAGATTGTCACGAGCTGGTGATAACTTTCTACCGTATTCCAGATTATCTGATGACAGAGTTGGTGAAACACTTGTAACACTGATCCAGAGTCTCTAAAACACGGACGATCTCAACTAAGTTTCGTTGCAGAATGTTCAACGATCTAGACGCAACTTATCGACACCACGACAAAGATTTACCGTCTGACGTACTCGTACGCTTGATGGTTATACATGAAAGATTGTCGTCGTGTTTACATTGATATGATGACTTAAATTATGCTTTATTAAAAGTTGTTCAACTATTAGTAAACAAACTTTTAGAAATCTTTGACTTTAATCTTTAGAATTTTATATGAAGAGGTTTATTATGCAGCATGAAATAACGATTTTCACATGAAAAATGTTGTTTTTTTTTTTAAATTCGAAGTTATTGAAAGTTTTTTTTTCTATTTGTATTTATATTTCAGGTAACTTCGAGAAAAACCTGTTATTCTTCCAGTCACTAAGAGATGTTTTGAAAAAGAAAATGATTATTCCAATATTTGAAGAATTTTTTGAAAGAAAAATACTATTGATTGATAGAAAGTGACGGTTATCTTAATTTTAAGCGGAAGACATTTTGTCAGAAAATGCTTTGAAGACAAGGTAAAGTGGCTGAGTTTAACGGCTGGAATAAATCTTCCACAGCAATGATCAAAGGGGATAAAAAGAGTGATGCGATTGACATCGATATTAGTGTAAACCTGATTGAAACGTCATGGATCCTCTGATTGGAGTACCATAGTAAAACTGAAACTATCCACACATATCAAAATACTTCTTAACACTGTTAGGTAATGAGAATTGACGTTGATAGTTATTATTACAATAAAAATGTTCAATATAGATAAAAATAAAAAATAATAAATAAATAAGAGAGGTAAAGAGTAAGACAAGGAAGGACATGCTCTGATTTCTTCTAATATGAGTGGGATAAGAGCCGGTCCCTCTATTTACGTCATTGAAGCAGTGGCGCGTGCCTCAACGTCATAGAATTTGCATAATAAAAAGTTTAAAAAACAATACAACATATTTAAAAATTGACTGACAATTACATATGCTTTTCACGGATCAATGAACAAAATGTTTAAATTCAATCTCCCACAAGAGCATCTTCTAAAAAAAGTTATGTTCTTTGTAGATTAGCTTTTTGCTAAAACAAGTTTTATTTATCAACAATAGCAAAAAGGATGTTAAAAGAAATTCTACATGATATTATTACGACAATCGATTTACTTTGGATCGATGAACAATGGGAAAATCTAGGACAAGTATAAATGTGTACTAAATTTTACAAAAATAAACACCATTTTCTTTTTTTATACTCATATGTTATAATAATTTTTATTAGTTATTTAATTAATATTAACCAAATGAATCAAATCAGAATAAATAATTTTCAATTATTTTCAATCAGTTGAATTGACTAATTATAATTTCAAATTGACCAAATTGTTTTATTGGAACATTTTAGGAATTCACGTTTGTTCTTAAACGAGAATTAATTTCATAATTTTATGTAAATTATTAATGATTAACAAACATACCAGTTTCGTGAGAATAATTGTAAAATGAAGAAAACTTCAGAAATACTACAGGTAATTTATTTACTAATAGAGCAAAAAATGTTTGACCTATAAGTTATATCCATATATTGAGTTATTCAATGTCTATAATTGATTGCGCAGTTTTTTTTAAAAATAATTCTTTTCTTTTCTTCTTTCAGATTGAGAGCATACGAACACGTGGGATGAGAGATGTGTAAATTTGTCGTTAATATTGATTCTATTGCAACATGTTAAATACATTAATGGAGCTTTTCTTTAATTCATCATTTAAGGTAGGTGTAAATATAACACAAGACTCTTGTTACGATGCCCTAGGTTCGTTTTCGTATCTCGGTCGCGTGCGTAAGTCTTTATTATTCGATCTTACAACAATTGCATGTGACGTCACGGAGTGTCATATATGCTAAGATAGTGAAACTGAATTTTTTTTGTTTTTTCTTACTTGTTTACTATGCTTCTAGTAACGTGTAAGGCTATCTTATTAGGTAATCTATTACTATACACTAGAAAAAAAGCTTTAAATTTTTAAAGAAAGAAACAACACAATTCTATTAGTGAGAAAAAAAACCAAAGTATGAGCATTACAGCGTTATAAAAATGAATATTATCAATGATTGATTAAAGGTGTTGCAATCGTTCTTGACTGCTTAACTCAAAATGTTCAATGGGAAAACTTTATTTATTAAGAGTCACTTTTTCTCAATGTCATTTTAATTTATTATAAATATTAAAAAGAGTGTTTCTCCCAAAAAACTTTTTGCTATCAGTGAAATATACTCAACCTGTATTAATACCAAGCATTAACAAAAAAGATAATGTCAAGTTTAAATAAACAAGGTTGACATGAATCTAGATAACTAAGTGATATATAAACTACGATTTAACTTGTTTTCCTTACCAATGTCGTAATTCCCTTTTTGAAGTTTGAACCTCCAAGAGACGGTTCATGCTTTAATCAAAGTCTTCCCTGCTAATTTTTAGAATGAAAATATAGAAATAATTGACGACACATAAGAAATTGATTCTATTTTTTATTTCACTTGAATTTTTTCTTGTGTGTGAGTTAGATATGATACATAGTCGTAGATCACGTAGCGCACGGGGATCGGAACTCTCGACGAATAAAACGCCGGGGTAAAGCGGCACTCGGAAGTTCGGTCGTAGCCACGGACACTCTTCAACGAATCAATCGAATCACTGCAACGTCCGACATCCGGTCTTCGTTCGGGTATATTATTTCTTTACCATTTCCTCATGTAGATGAAAAATTTCTCAAGATGAGGGCTATGTTCCCATGAAAAACGTGAATAAACCAACTATCAAATTATTTATACAATTTTATTCTATTAAATACTTGAAATCTTCAGTTTTTTTTTTTACAGTTTGATTGTTTCTATGACCATTTCTTTTTTTAGATACTCAAAGAAAGCACTCATATGTCAACGATAAATATTGATAAATCATTTTGACCTAAGACAAACTTGTCTAAAACCTAACGATTACTCAAAAACTATATTTCTAAACGTAACAAGTGGTCCCCATGACGAACTGAAACTGAAACAACGTGCAGGGGCCTACGATCTCCTGTCCCGTCTCCTATCTATCATTTTCAGGTCTCCCTTCTCTTTTTTTTCTCACTCCCTCTTCACTCTCTATTTCACTTCTTCATCTCTTATCTCTTCACGTCCCTCATTGTCCCTTCATGGCTCTCTCATCACAGCTACTCGACTATTAATATAAAAGGGGTTCTTTAGCACTCAACCAGCGTAATTCTGCAGCGTGGTACAACTTTGATGATTCATTTCGCGTATTAAACGAGCCCATTTATCCATTATAAATTGCTAAACAATGGAAAAAATTCATCGAAAGTATTTATTACTGATTTTATTCTGTTATAAATAACGATCCATATCTATGCTGGCTATTATTAGAATCAATTTATTAATTTATGAGTTTTTAAGTTTCATTTTTTAAAGGTTGAATAAAATAAATCGAATTTAAAGGAGAAAAACATCTATGGTGGTATAAAAAATTTTAATTAATGTCAGACAGAGTTATAGGAGAAGATTTATTTCACTGGGAATATTTGTCGGTGAACCGCCGTAGTTTAAATTTCAAAACAACATATGGAGCGCCCTCACATGAGAAAAGTGAAAATGGAGGGATATAATGTTTACATTCACGTGAAATTTCTTCGTAATTAATTGTGTATTATCATGTAAATATGTTTTTAGATAATATTTTTAGTATTGTGTTAACGTTTTAAATATTTTAAATCATGATAAGAAGATAGTTATGTTTATAAAGGACTGTTTTAAAAGGTATTGATTAGTTTATACAACATAACCTTACTATTACTGTTGACATTTTTTAAATACGTATCTCGAATTGTTTTAGAGTACAAAAATAAAAAAGGAAATCAATATATTTTATGTAATTTATTAAATAATGGTGATGTCAACACTTTCATCAATGTCGAAAATTAATAAAACTCGATACAATGCATCTTCACCAAGAAAGCATCCTCGAGTAATAAAATTAAATTCAGAGTCTTTCCATTGTAATATACAACAAGATTCTCCATTGAATAATCCCAAAGAAGTTCAATTACGAGATGAACAAAAGAAAAATTTAGTACCACTAGGATCAAAAAGAGAATTTGTTGAAAAATGGCTTTTTAATTTTGATAATACCACAAGTGATTCAACTTCTCCTGGTTCTTCAGTGGTTTTTGACTCTCCATCACCAAAACGAGTGCCTTTATCACCTCTCGATGATTTTCGTCATCACAAAAGACCAAAATGTTGTAATGAAAGGAAAAATAATCCGAAGTTTTTAACTTCCCCAATAAAATTCAAACAAAATCAATTAAAAAAAGCAAATAAAACTATCCTCCATGTGCCTGAAGATAAAAATGACATACAAATAGAAGATCCACTGAATAATAGCTTGAGTCTTACTCCAAAGCTGAAAGCTCGGAAAAAAATTGTTACTGAAAAAGATTTAGAGGCTTGTAGAAAGGCATTTTTTGGATCTCCAAAGAAAGCATCTCCAGAAAAAAAACTTTTTAAGCCGATTTCTCCTCACAAACACTCACCAAGAAAAAGTTATCTTTTTATGTTTAGTAGATTGTCTAAAAAGAAAGTAGAAAAATGTCCATTCATTCGTCGAGAAAGTGAAAATGATGAAAATATAATAATAGATGATCATTTTGGTTCTCCTGAACATCAAACTAATTATGAAATTGATTGTGAGTCACCAAGAATAATAGACTCAGAGGTTTCAGCTCAATCACCTTGTATTTTAGACACTTCTCTAAGTAACTGTGCTTCTCCATTGCCTATAGAAATAGAGTCTTTAGCATCTCCGGCTGCTAATGAATGTATTGAACTAGAATCAAGTGAAGGAAATGAACTCGATCAATCTATTGATACTGAAGTTAATCAGACTTTGAATGATGATATCGAAGATTCTGCATCTCTATTGAATGCTACAGTTTATCACAATAATGATAATGACAATAATATTATTGAAGATATTGATATTAACAAATCACCTAGTAAAAGTAGTAGTAAGTCAGACAGTAATTTCGTTATATCTCAAGGTTCTTCAAAAGACACCGATAGTACTCATTTTACGGAAAAGAGAGATATAGATAAACTAGAAGAAGAAGAAGAAGAGGCAGAGAGACCAGAAGATGTGAATAAAGAGAATGATGACATTGATAAAACTTTAATTGCAGAAGAACACTCACAAAAAATATCTCAGGATTCCTCATCTACCTCGTTAAGCATACGCGAGTCACAAAGTAAAAATACTTGTCCAAATAATATTAGTTTAGAAGCTTCTCCACCTCCTACTACCAAAAATTCTGAATGGGATAATCGAACCGTTGTTAATCCAGTCGTTAAGCGGAAGAAAAAACCGAAAAAGTTAGTATCCTACATACTTCAATTATCTTCTTTACATTCAATCTTCTTTTGAATTCTTTTATAATTTAAAATTCAATTTTTTTCCAGAGGATCATTGGTTGCGAAATTACAAACTTTAATTACCTCTCAAACGTCATTTTTAAGAATATGGAGGCATCAAATGAATCGAGATCGCTTAGAACCCAGTTCTCAAAGTGTCACTATAAAAGTCAATCGACGTACTTCTCAATATGGAAGAATATACATTTCAGGAACTATTATCGAAGATAAATTTAATCTATTGGATAAAAGTGATCAACAAAATGATTCTTCAATTGTTAAAAATAGAAGTAAAAATAATTTATTGTTAAAAAAATCTGTTACTATTTTAATTGCTCCTGAAATTGTTGGTAAGATAAAATTTAATGAGAGTAATTTTTTAAATATTTATCAGCCTTGGGAGATTATTGATAGTGAAGAGTTGATTTTAAGTGTTCTTTATTTTACTGTTAATGTTGATACTAATGATAATCAAAATGAAAATGATAAGTCTAAAGACGAAACAAGTAATAACACGAAAACTAGAGAAATAACTATTCAAGAATTTAACTGCGCTTGTTTAACTGCTAAACGATTAATTCAATCGTGCGATATTAAATGTACTAATATTAAACCTAATGTAATGCAATATATATTTGATAATTAAATGATTAAAATGTAATTTTAAAGTCAAATGTAAATGAAAATTGAATTGTTAAATATAATTGTAAATATACATCATGAGTCAAATATTTAAAAAAGTTCCGGGTATTTTAGTTTCATGCGCCGCCGCTTAACTGTCGACACAACTGTCATGGCTGTTTGTTAGTCGTAGAAGCCAAGTCAAAATTATTGTTGTGTACGATTTTGCATATATTGTATTCATAAGCAACGGAAAAAAGTTTAACAAAATTTCTTTTGTTTATCTTTAAACGATCTTTTTCCATTAACTAGCATTTAGGTATGTATATCTTATAAATTACTCATTAAATTTAGCAGTTTTTCATGACACTGACAATGTCGTCTCATGATATAGATAATGATTAAGTTATTAAAACTTGAAGTATTTTATAAACTTTATTATATATTTTCTTCATAGAATACATTTCATTTTTGATGTTTGTTACATAAATTTTTTTACATTAAGCATTTTTTATAATGTTCAATTGTGAAGCGTAACAATAATAGTAGTTTGACATTTCTTTGTGTACAACAATGAAGTTAAAACTATTCAATAATATTTATGGAAAAAAATAATAATTCACGCATTATGCCAGTGTTTATTTAATTAAAAATAAATTTTATTTATATTTTAATTGTTTGAATTAATTTAATTTTTTCATAGCTTAGAACCATGTCGATAGCTCAAGACCGACCAGAATTATACGAAGAAGTAAAACTCTATAAAAATGCCAGAGAACGAGAAAAGTATGATAACCAGGCAGATTTATATGCAGTCGTAAATACACTCCAGCACTTGGAAAAAGCTTACATTCGAGATTGTGTAACTCCAAAAGAATATACAGCAGCTTGCAGTAAATTATTAGTACAATATCGTGCTGCATTCAAGCAAGTAAGTTTTCATTAATAAAAATAGATAATAAAAATTTCTTATGATATTTGATTACTTACAGGTACAAAGTGATCAATTTCCAACAATTGATGCATTTGCAAAAGCATATCGTTTAGATTGCTTAGCAGCGCTAGAAAGAATAAAAGAAGATCGACCAATAACAATAAAAGACGACAAGGGTAATACATCGAAGTGTATTGCTGATATTGTATCGTTGTTTATTACATTGATGGATAAATTACGGTTAGACATAAAAGCTATGGATGAACTTCATCCTGATTTACGTGATTTAGTGGACACTATGAACCGGTTAAGTATTTTACCGAGTGATTTTGATGGAAGACAAAGAGTCGCGGAATGGTTACAAACGTTGAATAATATGTCAGCATCTGATGAGTTATCTGAGACACAAGTAAGGCAATTAATTTTTGATCTTGAAACGTCGTACAACGCATTCACTAAAGTGCTACATAATTCATAATTTTTTTTATTATTTATCAATGATTATAACAGAAACAGAATTTTTATATATACTCAATAAGAAATGTGATGAATATTCGTGCACATTATTGTGCTTTTTCCTGGGCAATATGTTGCTTTTAGAGTAATATTGAACTCACTGTTTTATTATAAAAAAATATTTGAAATCATAAATCTCCATTAGTACCATTTAATTGGTGATGATTATAATACATACATGCACAATATTTTTATTATATAAAATGGAGATTTATTTCGTTGTTTGATAGTCAATCAATAAATTAATTAATGGAGATATCTTATTAGCTATTTTGTAGTAATTTTAAATACTTGAAGTGTGTCTCATATGATTTACAATCATTTGTCTATCGACTGAGATTAAAAAATTAATCTTTATTCAATGATAATGTTATTTTTCTGCAATTATTCAATATATAATTAAAAATCGTGCTCAAAAATGATTTCAGGAGCTTGATTGTATAAAGATCTAAGTATTAAATAAACAAATTCTAATAATTCAAGTTGTTTATTGAATTTCAATGTACATTTTAGTGTAGTACTGTGTGGACTGAGTGTAAAATGTTTGAACGGTTGAGTGGTAGGTATCGTTGAGTTTTATCGTAACGATTAAAAGTTTGACAGTATCGTTTGTGTTGAGGCTCAGGTGAAGTGTAAACGCAATCTATATATCGAGTAGTCTAAAGTTTACGTTGGAGTATAGCTGAAAACATGAAATGGGTGCTGTGCTCTTGCCGCTTAATTTGCGTCAGGGGTTGCTTTGATGTTCTACAAAGTATACTTTTAGAATCGTATTTACGTGGAGGCAACTGGTATGCAAATGGTGTGGCGGGTTAGAGGTGAAGCGGACTAGACCTCGGCATTCGTTTCCGCTACCACTACCTACCGTCGAATGCGAGCCACGAAATACAATAACGGCTTGGAACTATTGACCAAACTAAACTAAATTAAAGCCGACTAAACCAACAACTAACTTCTCTAGACAACGTACAGGAGCGAATTGTAGACGATTGTGTAGAGTAGGATTTGCATGGTACAGACGTCAATTTTAAACCTTAGCATTGAGATGCACCAACTTTTAGATTTATTAGGCAACTTGTTTTGTTTACTTCTCAAGTCATTTACAATCTCTTAAGAAAAATAATTCTTGGCAAGAAATAACAATTGTTGTTTTACTTGTGAATGTTCTTATTTCTATTTATTTTATTACTACTAAATTTTTTCAATTCTTTTAAAGTTTTATCATTAATCTTTTGATTATTCCTGGTGTGAAATAAAGCTTGTACCAGATATCCTTAATTTGACGTAAATGAGTCACTTGAACAATTTCGTTGGATTTTGTATCGTTTTTTTGTCAAAAGTATTTAAGTAAGTGGTTTCTTCAAGTAATTTATCGTATCATTTGAAAAGTTTGTCTTTTTCGTATCGTCTTTAAACGACTTGTAACATCGTAAGGCAGAAAGTTTTCATTCGTTTCTATATGGAAAGAAAAAACGATACGTCTTCAAAGACGTTACGCAAAATCCAGGGATTGAGCCGCCAGTTTATTTCCCAGCGATTTATTTATTGCCAGATATAGTCTCTCGCCTTGGGCAGTAATACTAGAGAGCAGAAAAGATTGAAAGTCCCAGGCGATTCGTAACTGGTAGACAGAATCAGGGATTTAGTGTACTATATTCACACTGAAAACTATTCTCTTTTTAAAATAAATTTACCTTATTACATCACACTTTTTTGGTTGTCTTTGATGGCTTATTTATTGATTCACGTGAATAAATAGTTTTTTCAATAAATTTACATAGAATCACTAAAGTATCGAGATAGTTGTCTTGATATTGGAACTAAAGCCAGAATAACATTTGTCCCAGTTGGTCATGATTTTTGGCCAGTCCTTTCTTAAGATGTATTGCGTACAACATGCTAGAGATATCTGAAATTGATCCGGTAAAAGGAATACGAAAAGCAGCGTGCGGAAAATATAAAAGTGAAATATCGCTTTCCATATCTCCAATATCCTTGTGGTTTCCTTCAAAGCATGGTCATTTCGCTCCTTTTTTTCTCCTATTTCCTGGTTTTTGTTGAGATTTAATCTTTGCTATTTTACTATATTATAAGCTGAAAGTTAATTTTTTTTTAATTGAAAAAGATGATCTATTTTTCTTATGTATCTTTTTACTTTTATTCTCTTAGATTTTTTGTGTGTATTTTTTTTAACGAGTTTAATGAAGACTATAATTAAATTTTATAGCTGAAAGCTGTTAATACATTGCAAAATAGACGTCTATATAAGTATTAAGATCGTTATTTTATTGTATTTCATACAAAAATATGTACTGAAATATCTGAAAAATTATTTGAATAATATGATGCAGAGAATTAAATATTTTTCTGGTATAATTAAAATGAAATATAGGGTTGATTTGAAGAAGTGATGAAATAGAAGCTAGATGATAATTTTTTTGCTTATGCTTTTTTATTTGTATACGCGTGACCTGTAGTGAGATGTAGATTACTCGAGATGGAATTCTCTGTGTGTCGCATTGTATCATTTCTTTTTTAGTAGTTTTATTTTTCTTTTTTTTTTTAAAAATTTTTTTTCGTCCTTTAGTTCTTCATTTTATTTTTGTTCTATTCCTGTTGCTTAAAAACCATATCGCACACTAGATACGTGATGTGCCTTGCAAATATACTCTATACACTGAAAAAAAGAAGGAAATGGTCTGACAATTGCTTGTGCGTGCCAAAGACGATATAATTTTTCAGTAGTTATTACTATCGACAAAAGAATTTTTAACGTAATATTTAAAATCATGATTTGAATTCGAAGATCTTTGATTCAACAGTAAAAATTTTTTTTATTTTATTTAATATACTTTTTCATAATATTTGAACAGTTTAAAATACATTGAGATTTATTTTATATTTGTAATCAAATATTTATATTTTGAATTTACATGTTTCTGCATTGAAATAAATATAAGAAACTGTTTTTATCTGTTTATTCATAGAAAAAAAATAATATTCTTTACAGTAAAACGTAAAATTTATAACAATATTATCTTAAAGCAAAACAGACTATTATTTTGTATTAATTAAATTTACTGATTGTAAGACAACACAGCTGAGAAGAACTTTTTATTAAAAAAATATTTTAAATCAACTTCATAGCACATAAAAAAGAAAATGATATCGATAAATCCTTAAATAATTGGTGCTTTCAACAGAATCTTTTGAAAATATTAAATTAGTTTTTAAGTTTAAAATTATTATAAACATAAATATTTGAATAGTACTTTGTAATGTTAGTTTTGTTGTAAAGGTGCTATTCAAACTTTTACGTACCTAGCTTTCTGATAAATATTTAGAATCAAGATTTGTAGTGATCAATATTTTTGTTTCTTCTATAATCTTAGAGAGTACAGAGGAGAAATATTTCAAGTTTGGTGAGTGTTTAGTGTTATATGTAGTTGACTGATTATAATGTCGATCAACGACACAAACGTATCTAGTGGTTAATTTTGACTCTCGATTTGGTCCTGAGGGACTCATCCGTGCGGATCGTGAGCGAACTGGCCGTTGGCGATCGTCGGCACCCACACTATGTCGGACCAAACCGAATATGTTTCCCTTGGGATAGCAAACAGGCACTACGGTAACATTATGAAGCACCTTTAGGCTATATTGTGGTTCTATTGCTATCAATATATTCTGTTAATTCACGTTTTAAAGTGTGATTTTTGTTATTTACCTCACATACATTTTCAAAATTAACTATTTTTGTTCTCAAAGGTCTATTCAACTTTTTACTGACTCAAGCATAAAAAAAAATTGTACTTGAGTAACATTTATAGAAACAAAGGGAAGCTATCATTCTTTTCTAATGGTCTAGGAAGTTAATAAATAATTTTATATATTTACACTCAGGACTGCGAAAAGTTTTTGATCACAATGAATACTAGTAAATTATTCAGTCATGGATTTGTGATTTCACTTTCAAAGACTTCATCGGTATTCGATTCAGCAGACACGTTTCTTGATTGCACACGTCTCTACTGTATTCTTAAAGATATAGTACCAACATCGTTGGGATCCTGTACAAACGTAACATTTGTTGGTGATTTGACGAATTTACGAGCTTTCTTTTTCGTTTTTTCCTTCTCTTATTTCCCTCCAATTTTCTTTACTCTCTAAACCTATCTACACTCGTGTAGCTACCGATAAATCACTTTTCTATCTCCTTGAGATTTAATATACTGACATTTTTCTTTCGTAGACATCGCTAGTCTGCTCTGTCGTTCAATATAACATTTTACTTAGCGAAAATTTTTAATAAAAATACTTATTTTTTTTTTTTTAATATAAAGATAATTCTATTAAAATCGATGGAAACATGTTTCAGGAGAATTTGCAAACACCTGTGAGTTGTATTTTATTAAATTGGTAGTTTTGTAAAAATAAGTATTACTCTTTTAAAACATTTTATATAAAATTTATTATATTTTTTTATAGAATTTCCCAAAGTTATCAAAACTTACTTTTAATATATTTATTTTATCAGCAAATCACTTAAAAAAAACGTCAATGTTGGAATAATTAATTGCACATTTTTTTCTATATTCACTAACAGAAGTAAACATACATATTTATTTAATTATGTATCTCAATTTTTAATATTAACATACATATAACGAGTTATCTGTGCCAAAGAGTATAATAAGATAATCTTGTTAAGCTCAGATGATTGCAAGTTATTTTCAAACATTCTCGATTGTAATGACTTTTTAAAAATAAGTCAAGGTACAACTCGACTTTTAGTATAAATTGAGCAACTTCATCGTCAACATTAAAAATAAAATTTCATTTTTAAGTACATTATTTATTCGATTATAATTATTTAATTATACATAAACAATGCTTTAAATTGACAATTTAAATATTAACAGTAAATACTTAAATTATATTTTTATTCAAAAGTTTTAAAGTGACTATTTATTTAGTTTTAATGAATAGTTACTTGGTACTAAATCAATAATTCATATATGTAATAGAAATAAATCTTTATTTTATAAGTAATATTGTTTTTTCATCGTAGTTGGCAAATAAATAGTTAATAAAGATTATTTATTAAACAATGCATTTTACAATGAATATTTTAATTTTAAATTGATCTGTAGTTCCATTTTACTATCATTTTAATATTCATTGCAGAAAAGAGTGTGTTCTAAACTTAAAACCTAAAATTACCTAAATGTCTTTAAGTTGCATCGAGGCCACTAAATGGATAATACAATGACACTTAAGTACTCTTTTAAAATTATTGTATCGGAGTTTTTGGTAATTTTTAACTAAAGATTTGGTGATAAATCTTCTTCAAGTATAAAAAATGATTAATTTTCGATAAATATTTATGGATTATTAATGCTATTCACTAGGCTAAAGTGAATTTTTCACGAATTACATC